CGTTAATTATTATTATAGTATCTAGGCTACTACTAGTACTTATAGCTAGAGTTAGTAGGTTATTATTATTTACCTTTCTCCTTATATTACTTATATAGTTAGTTATTAATCTTAATAATAAGCTTAATATACTAGAGGAAGTCCTTAGGTCTATTAACCTTAATAATTTTATCCTTAACTTTATCCTTAAGGTTATTATAGAATATAAAGATCTTACCTTTATTAGTTAAGTCTAACTAGGTGTAGATCTATTAGAACTCTATAGCGTAGTCTTTAGCTAACTTAGTCTATTTAAGGTAAAGTAAGTCTCATTTAGCTTATTATTTCTCATTAGGGTCTTAGAATAGAGACTTTAGGGTGGACTTAAAGCCCTAGAAGCTACTAAAAATATCTCTAACTTTAGTAGAATAGTAGTTAAGTATTTCCTTATTAAGGTACTCTTTAAAAAAGGGTTTAAACTACTAGAGGGCTTATCCCTTAAGGAAGGTAGATATATAGATAACCTTCTTAGTCTTATTCTTAAAGTTACTATAATAGAAATTCTAGTAGTTCTTAACTTAAATAAGGAATCCCTTAAGCTATCCTAGGGATCTATTAAAAGGATTAGGAGAATTAAGTTAAAGCTTCTCTTATCCTTCTATAATAGGGGTAGTAATAATATTAATAGTAGCTTAAAGAGTATAGTTCTACTATTTAAGTTCCTAAGTGCACTAATTAGATAGGCGTATAGCGGCCTAAAGTTCTTTAGTAGTATAGGCGTTAGTATTAAATATTTCCTATATCTATTAGATGTTATAGTTAGCTTATTTAAGCTATTCCTTAAGCATATTATTATTATTACTATTACTATTATCTTTTATTCTCTAATCCCTAAGTTCTTAAGTAAGGTTCTTTTTGATAGGGGCCTTCCTAGCGCCAGAGGAGGATCCAGTGCTAGGGGTCTTTCCAGAGAGTTATAAAGACATTATAATACTATTAGTAGTTTTCAAAGGGTAACTTACTAAATAGGAGCAATTAAAGTATTATAACTAGCTAACTAATAATAGGGTTTATATTAATAGTAAGTTAAATAATAATAATAGTAATAGTTATTTATTATTTTATAGGTCTAATTAAGTAATTATAGGTCTTTAAAGGGCTTAGTAATTAGTTAAGTCCTCAATAAGAGTTATAGAGTAATTATTACTTAGGTATAGCTAAAAGTCTTAGGTAAGAATCACAAGTTAATTACTAAAGAGCTATAGAAGTTTGTCCTCAAGCGGACTCAAGTCCATCCTATATATAGGTCCTGGGTAGTCCTATTACTGGGTGCTATATATGCCCTGTACGGCTCCCGTATCCTTGGCATACGGCTTCCGTCTTTCTGGAATATGGATGCCGTATCTTGATTATATGGATCTAATCTCTTATCTTATCGTTACGTGACCTATACCATAGTTCTTCCGTTCCTGAGGGATCCTTGCGTGTTCCCGTGATCCTGCATACAAATGTGTTGTTATAACCGCCTAGTATCCTAGTGGGGCGTCCTTCGTTGGTTATGCCTAATGGGTTGTAACATCGCAGTAGGCGCACGTTCCCGCACATGTGGATTTGATTGCTGTCAATGTAGTTGACATCGGGTCCTACCGAAACGGTGGAGCCGGCACGCTGCACTGACTGTCGCAAGATATCAAGGCAATGCTCCTGTTGCGTCCTGTTGGTCCCGTGTAAGCCATCTAGTGGTTAACGAAACGGGACGAAGGGCTTTGCGAAGGGGAGTTCTGTTCCCGCCGTCAGTGTCATGGAAAGACGAGTGCGAGGTCAAGGTCGGACCGAGCTCATCACGCAATGCAGCATGTGAAAGACGTCAAGGCCGGCCGTGTATCCGCCCCAAAACCTGACGTCTGGATCGGGCGCCAGCACGGCGATACTAGCTTCCTTTGGAACGAAAATGCGGTGTTACAGTAAAGCGGACTTGGATACGAAGGGAACGCAATGCTGAAGGCGAAAGTCAGTGACAAATGCGGTTTCGTAGGTCCCAGGAGATCCTTAGACAACTTCATCTAGGGACATGGTGACGAGAACAATGATAATGATGCCCCACGGAAACTCAGTGAGCCAAGGTATCCGACTGGCCTTTTGTCTAGCTCTTGGAATTCTGACCCTCTCAAAACAATCCTTCTTCATCTTCAATTGCTGGGTTTGGTAGGAAGCGAAAGCGTTTGACTGACTCGTTGTTACAATCTGTTGGGGTCACAGAAGTAGGGCGTGCCCCCGCGATATCCATAGCTCCAGAGCAAAAACTATGAAAGCTGCGTAGAAGTTTGTCCGTGTCATTTTCCAAGTACATTGTAGTGTTTACCGCACTGAGTCACTAACCTGCTTAGAATTCAGTATTCAGTCGCTTCGAGAGCCAGGGCTACCATGAAGACGGTGCAAGCTTCGAAATGCGCGAGAATGCCGTAGGAATCGCCGAAATCATGACCTACTTAGAATTTAGCACAAAGTTCCTGGCCTCCTTATACTTTAGCACCAAGTCACTGACCCGGCGCAGTCGCCGAAATAGAGTGCCTACTTCATACACTGGGACGCAATTGCATGAAATCTCGGGAAAAAGGACTGATGTGAATAACATCGCCCCCGAGTCGTGCAATGCATGAATGCATTGCAAAACTTTGACAATAACTCACCACAAACATACAAACTCGAGGTGAATGGAAGAAAGGAAATGCGAAAGTCCAATCTTGACTCAGAAGACGATAAGGAGGGCTACTGCAGCGCGAGGGAGCATCGGCATCCTTCGGCCACCTACAACTATCCGGGGGTTATATCGAGAGAGTAAAGTGCTAGAACGCCGACCTGAAAACATCTTTCGATCCCAAGTGACAATCTGCATTGCTTCGCAGCACACTCACACATACAATCATGCCCTACTTGCCTACGAATCTGATGCGTCCGGGAGGAGGGGAGCCTGTCTACCATCGACTTCCCATCGACGAGACGGGCCTTCCACGAAAAGAAGCTCGGCGACCGGACTGGCCGACGCTCGTTTCTGTCAGCGCAGCAGCATTTATTGCCGGTGGGCTTATGGTCGGGGTGGTGCTGCTCCAGGTTAATGGGTCACTACATGTCCAGGAGTGCAACCCAGTTTCGCCAGAGGGAACCTTTGGGGAAGGGTTCCGTACGGATTTTGGTGAGCAAACCACGAGCGATGATCTGGACTAACAAGTTTTTCACTTGGATGACTGGCGACTAACGAGATGTGGTATTGGTGCAAGGCCCCGCCAAGCAACACATCGAGCTGCAGGAAGTCAACTTCACCGGGACGCCGCACGTCACCGACGACGGCTTTTTCTTTATCCCCACCGAGGAATCCAAGTATGTGGGAGAACCAACAGACGAGATGGACGAGGCGTGGGAAAAGCTAATCGGTGGTGAGTGAGACCAATCCTACAATACCACTACAGTCATTTCTCTCCGCTCACTCTTAGCCACTGCAAGATCGCGGCATCCTGCTATCTCATCAAGAGGCATATGATGCTTGGGGTCCCCAACACGAGCAATTCTGGAATCAGGGTTCTGGTGGGTACTATGCGGATTTCGAGATGCTTCACATGCTGCACTGCGTCAACCAGATACGGAAGCTGTTTGCCCCGGAGCGGTATCCGATGGTGCAGTCCAACCGGTTGCTCGTTCACCGCGATCATTGCTTGAACTCGCTCCGGGAGCACATAATGTGCAAGGGAGATCTAACGCCGCTGCCAACCAAGTGGACGCCGGGTATTCAACACAATTATATTGAGGCAAACCGGCCGCACATTTGCCGAAATTTTCAAAAGTTGAGGGCCTTTGCGACAAATCGAAAGAAGGGACCGCTTGCTGTCAGCCCAGATTTTGAGCAGAAGAAGGGATCACTACCGGGACGTTAAATTATCTATAAATATAGAACGAAACCAAATCATTTGGCTCAGACAGTACATGGTGGAGTGCTCCAATAACAATAAAAATAACAATAACAACAACTGCTGCTGTAGGCGATATTGCGGAAGTGCCTGTACGACCCATTTTCGAACGGTCAGCTCATCGCTACCCCGATAGCCCAGTTTGCTGTTGTGGTATGACTTATGAGACCGAGGCTGTCTACAGAGTGGCTTGCTAACAATAAGATTGAAATTGTCGGGCCAGCACTCTTTCCCCGCGTGGGGGATCGACGACGTGCATTGTGCGGCCAACAGTCCAGTCTGAAGCTCCCGAGCCGAACCGAACCGACCACCCGGACCGGCTGACGCTCCCCGAACATAAATCGACGATATCGATGCTTGATTGCGGGGCCGGATTCACAACGATATTGGTGGGATGCATTAAGGATTGAGCCTCAAGCCCGTCGCTCGTGGATACATAATACAACTTCCCTTCCCAACCATCGCTAAGCTAAGAATTCTTGCCTCACTGCCATCATTCCAATACACAGAACACCTTTGCCCTTCTTCCTGAACTATTGTAGACGCCAGACGCAAAATGGCAACTCAAACTCAAACAGTGAGCGACGCCGAGGTGAAGCGGACATTTGCGACTCAATTCGAGACCAAAGATCTTGTCACGTTCGACGCAGGCAAGCAATACGGTGACTGGCGGGACGAGTTCCACAAGAACGGTTGTGTTGTCATCAAGAACGTAATCAGCCCCGAACGCGCTCAGTACTATTGCGACAAGCAGATCGAGTGGCTCAAAAAGTTCGATGTCGGCTTCGATGAGAAGGATTCTTCGACATGGACTGCCGATCATCTTCCTGTCAGCTTCAAGGGAGGGTAAGTGATTTGACTTTTGAAACTTTCGCGGTACGTTATAATGTACTAATCCTATGCATCAGCATGTACTCGGCGTACGGTGCATCTCACGAAAAGATGGCATGGGAAGCTCGTATGGAGCCCAAGATCATCGAAGTCTTTGAAAAGCTCTGGGAGACCGACGAACTCATCACATCATTTGACGGCATGAACATCTCCATGCCCAACCGAAAGGACATTACTTGGAGCCCTTGGCCACATTGCGACCAAAACCCGGAGAGGAAAGGGTAAGCCAAATCAAGTGTATTTCAGAGAAGAACTCACTGACTAGTCGCAGCATGCAAGCCGTCCAAGGCTTGCTGAACTTTGCTCCCAACGGACCCAAAGATGGAGGCCTAATGCTCATGAGAGGCTCGGCTAAGCTCTTCGACGAGTTCTTCGCGCACAAGCGTGAATCCGCGGATCACGAAGACGCCCCGCCCCCCGAGATCAAGTTCATGGACCTCTTCCTCTTTAGCGAGAAAGATGTCAAGTGGTTTGAGAGCAAGGGTTGCGAATTGTTCAAGGTCAACATGGAGCCCGGCGACTTTGTCCTCTGGGACTCACGTACGATGCACTACGCCCGCTTTCCTGAGGGTGACCAGATCAGACATGTGCAGTACATCTGCATGACGCCGCGAAAGTTTGCGACGGATGAAGCTCTTGAAGCGAAGAAGTTCTGCTTTGAGAACTGGTACGGAACAACACACTGGCCTCATTGGTGAGTTACAACAACGAAGTCTCCGGCTGTGCATTTGGCTAATGATCTGCAGCAACATCCGCCCTTCGCAGGACAAGCCAAAGAGGAACGGTGAAGTTTGCCCGAAGTACCGATCGGAACCATTCGAGAAGCCAGAAATCACGGACAAGTTGTTGAAGTTAGCAGGTGTCAAGCCCTACTGAGCGACGTTAGCACTGATGAGAAGAATCGTACAACTTATTTGCTAGAGTAAAAGAGACAAGTACAAGATTTTAAATCCCAATTTGAATCCCACTCTCTCTTGGCAATTCCGCTGAGTTGTTGTTTCTGATTGGTGGATTCACCTGTACCGAAGTTCTGAGCCGAGTGCCGGCCGGAGGTCATCGGCCGGTCAACACCCGCCGCCCGCCGCGCTCGTTAAGACAGTCTCCCCGACACAGGGCGAGAATGACATCCCAAGAGCCCCTATGCACGAAGAGAAATTTCGGTGAGGACTCACTACTCTTATGTAATGGGTTGGGAATAAAGTAGCTGTTACAAATACACGTATCCGGCGAAGAGCGCCCTCCCCGGTATCTAGACCGAAGTCGGAAAACTTGACAAGCTTGGCGCGGGGTATTTTACTACCGAGAATGCCCACATTCTAACCCGGTCAACTGACCGCAGAAAAGTTTAGGGATTTCTCTTCATTGGGGCTTGGAGTTTTGTTATTCTGTGGCTTCTATGAATAGAGTTTTATGTCCATAATTGCACTGATATAAGCTTGGAGCACGCGATTCGACCCTAGTCTTTGCAAACACCATGGAGAAACCCCCTCAAGCCCATGGCCCCGGCAACGAGCCGGGTCAACTCTCTGCTGAAGCCGGAGCCAACATCGCGACTGTCACCTCGCGTCGGAGCTTAAGCCGGAGCGTATCTCGGCCGAGTGCCATCATCGACACGCCTCCCGACGGAGGCTTGCGGGCATGGATGGTTGGTACGTGGCATGCACTCTAGGACATTGTTGCGCGCTAGACTAACAAGACATCAGTCCTTAGCACTCATCTTGTAGTGATGAATACCTGGTGAGTAGGTCGGTCGCACTTGGACCTGAACTTGCTGATGATAGAAGGGGCGTTGCCAACTCGTTTGGCGTTTTCCAGCCGTACTTCACCACTCTTTTTGATCGTCCACAATCCGACGTAGCATGGATTGGCTCTTTTGAAGTCTTTCTCCTGTTCTTCGTTGGCACCTTCACCGGTCGCTGGACTGATATGGGGTTCTTCCGTCCACTGTTTGTGGTTGGCTTCGTTCTTGTGGTTTTGGGGATGATTGCTGCGTCATTCTGCACCACTTACTGGCAATTCTTCCTCGCACAGGGCATTTGTCTTGGTCTTGGCAACGGCTGCCTCTTTTGCCCGACTATGGCTGTGACCTCTACATATTTCGCAAAGCGTCGGTCGCTTGCGTTTGGTGTCACCGCGGCGGGGGCTACAGTTGGCGGCCTGGCATTCCCTAGCATGGTTCGACAACTGCTACCCCAGATCGGTCTTGGCTGGACCATGCGGACGATAGCCCTCATTCAGTTGATTACCTTGGCCATCGCCGGAATTCTCATCAAGACAAGAATACCCCCTCGACAGGCTGCGCCATTGGTTGAATGGTCCGCTTTCAAACAGTCTGACTACAGTTTCTACGCCACGGGTGCCTTCCTGGTGAGAACCTCGGTTAGTCTCTACAAGATTGAAAGCTAACTATGATTAGTGCTTCTGGGGCATCTACTTTGCTTTTCATTACATAGCTGCATTCTCCCGCGACATCATGGGACTGTCTTATATTGATTCATTGGACCTCCTCTTGGTCCTAAACGGCGTTGGCGCTTTTGGCCGAATCATACCAAGTCAAATCGGCGACATGGTGGGGACGATCAATGTGTTTGCACCCATGGCATTTCTCACAAGCTTGATCATGTACTGTTGGATGGGAGTTGGCAGCACTACGGGGTTGTATGTATGGGCGGTATTCTATGGGTTCTCAGTCGGCGCGGTCCAAGCTATGTTCCCGGCGGTGTTGAGCAGCTTGACCACGGATCCGCAGAGACAAGGCACTCGCATGGGCATGGTTTTTACAATTGTCAGCTTCGCAAGCCTAACGGGATCTCCCATTGCCGGCGCAATCATTGACGCGCAAGGAGGCAAGTATGCTGGAGCACAAGGGTTTGCGGGAACTTGCCTTCTTCTAGGCATGGCATGTGTTCTTGCGGCTCGAGTCTGCAAGACGAGAAAGATGGGTGTTGGCGCGTTTGCATGGGTCAAAGTCTGATTGTGTTAACTGTGATGATGTATGGGAGGATCAAGTCTCCATGAATGGGACGTATCGTACTCGTGTACTTAGTAAAAGCAGCGTATTTCTTCCCAAGTCGCAAGATCTAGCATGTATTTCTTCATACTTTTGGTCGAGCCAATATTTTCATGTGTGACCAATCGTAAGACAAGGCCAGCAGTGTAAAGAGAGACAGCACCACTATGGAAAGCAGTATCAAGTTTAGAGACAGTGTTATCTCGATTAACTTTCGACCTAGGTGCGAAGAGAAAGTCCGAATATAATTCTTCTTGAATCTATGACATCTGTGAAAGTATCAAAGCCTGGCTGGAAACAAGTGTTGCAAGAGCATTCTAGGCAGATTCGGGAAACACAAAGCTGAACGTGGTACCTGCAAGCGACGACTCATGCTTCATTGAGACTTAAAGGCCTGTAATAATAGATGTAAAAGTTGAATCATGAATATTTTTTCAATATCAAGCTTTGGTATTTCCACATTGGCCATGCTTTAACACGGCAATGAACATAAGCCAGTCCCCGAAATATCGAGTCAATACCCATGAATCTCAGGCTTATGGTCAGTAACGAATTCTGTTCGTCGCGATCTTGCTCCAGTTACTAAAACAACTCCAGGGATATATAAGGAGCAGCTGGACAACAAACGGCCAAATATTACACATTATTTTCAAAGCCAGAATTATCTGAGCTGTGTTTGAGTCCTAATTCAGTTAAATACATTATTCGTCTCGAGAAAATGAAAGCTTAGAGGCTACAGGGGCAGCCAGCGAGCCTACATCTTCACGTGAATCACATGTTACTTACAGCAAACCTGCGGATTCAATAGCAAACTTGTGAAAAGCAAACCTTTGGAGTCCAGAACGCCCTAGTCCAATGAAATTAAATCGCCGATCTTCCGACGTCCTCGTCATCGCTGAGTAATGATCGAGATTTGGTGGTCCCGAATTCTTCATTCCCCTCCAAATCATCATGTGCTTTTGCTTCTGGGTTGGGGCTAGAGAAAGCCTAAACGAAGGGCAAAGGAACAGGCAATCTTCCATTTTTACCATGAAAGTAGACTTCCCGAAATGCGATACTTTGTGCACCTAGAGAAAAGCTTACCAAATGTCTCTGCATACGGTAGCGAGCCGCAAGGTGTGAAATGTTGGAACAACAACTTGGGTCTTCCACTGGGACTAGCTCCGTCCCCTTCCCGAGAACTTTCTAAACCCCGTGCTTATTCCATGGTAGCAGTCTATCTGTGGTTGTTAGGACTGATAAAGTCTCAAAAACATAGCAAGCCTCGTTGGAACGGGCTCGCGGATGAATTTTCCATGGCATCCAGGAACTTGAGTTATACTTGCCTATTTCTCCGAGGCGTAGACACCCATCGGGAAAGTCAGTGCGTAATCTATCGACCCATGACAGCTGGACAGCGATCCTGGTCCGATAGATGGGATGAAAGAGGCACCGGTTCCTCCGGATCTGCCGCTGAGCCCAAAAGCGCGCAGACACTTGACTTGGTCACAATCGTCTCCGGAGGATATTTCGCTATCGTTCCCGTCCTCGTCTCGTTTTCTTTTCTCACTCAAGGTTTGGACATGCGATGCTGATTGAGCACGTTGGTCATCCTGCGCCCGTCGGCTAGCGCCCTTGATATCAAGTTGACCAAGTCATCTCCTTTAGGCACAAGCAGAGTTTGAGCGAGACCGAGGAAGCTTTGATCAATAATGTGAGAAGGTTCGAAATCTCGATTGACGCTGCAGGGTGGCTGGCGCCATGGGATTTGTCCGGCACTGGGTAAGAGAAGCAAGAGAGTGTTTTCCTCATGACTTCGCAATGATATGCGCCAGTTACTCTACTTATAGATATCAATATCATGAGCCCAATACCACAAGCACTAAGCCAAGATCCTTGGCAAGATGTCAATCTATCTTGGCGAATGCTCATTTCATCTGTTTGATAGAACGTCCGATTAGCAGCTCTAGATCAATAGTTGAGCGCCGAGCAATATAAGGCGATGTTGGCCGGCTTTCGTTTTCGGGAATGCCTTCAATGCGGTCTCGTGCCGCGCGTGCCGCCGGCTCCTCCTTCTACGCTCTTGCCAGCCAAGTCAGGTTAGCCAACATCAACACCCACAGCACGAGTAAGGATCGTGATGGTACACGCGTCGTCCGTTTTCTCGTTCAGTGAGGATTGTCGAGTTAAAGTTTCTTTGCCCCTCAACTCAGGACTAGGGCAGATTCAAAATCTCCGAGGCGCCCGCGATGGGGAATCCGCCCAGCCCTTCGGGTTCTTCCAGAACCTATGACGCCCACCATTCCTCACCATACTCCTTTCTCGCTTCTTCTGACATGCATGTTCCATGACCGATGAATTTGCTTTATCGGGAATTGCCATACTCCAGCCCCCACCCCCTGCCGGCATGTCCCCCGAACGGCCCTTGCTTCTCAGAACCGAAAGCTTCTTGTTGTTGTTCCTGAGGGAGGGGCATCGCGGGGTAGCTGTCCCAAATTCCATCCGAAGAATCAGGCGCTTTCAAAATTGGCAGGTTCATCACGCCCAAACCCCTCATGGTCCTGGAGGACCGACGGTCTGGCCCGACAACTGATTCTGCTTTCCACGGGCCTGGGAAGGTCCAGTGTGCAACTGACGCCGTCTATACTCACTTGCAGGCTGAACTTCTTCGTGCTCGGACTCTCGTCCAAGGTCTCCGCCTTAGATTGAAGATAGATGCTTTTCACGCCGACGTTATTGATCGCTTATAGTTACAATGTTTGCTCCGCATCCGGAGTCACTGATCTTTGGCTTGGTTCTATTAACAAACAGCTCTTGAACGACACCCTTCATTACTCTGGAGCTGCACAACACATGCTAGCCGGAGCAACCACATAGCTGGGTCGGAAGGTGGTCCGCCGCTGCCGTCTCGGTTCCCGAGGCTCTACGGTTGCCCGTGGCTGCCACCCCACGTGTAGGAAGCTTTTGCCATGGCTATATGATCTGCAGAGGTTCCATCATCCCGGATCCCCGCCAGGATGTCAACTCAACAGCATGGGAATGTCATTGACGAACGACGTGAAATATGAAACACTGAAACTTCGGATCACGTAGAAGAGGGGTGAACCGGACGCGGCTATTCGCAGCGGCTGCTCTTTCCTCGAATTTGACTATTTCCGTAGCTCGCTTTTTGCACATTGTGATATTTCCACTAGCCAGAAACTGAATCGAAAAGGTGACCGCTGATCTTGGCGAATTCTTTTTGGGGGGCAGGCGACCTCTCGCGTAGGCTGAGCCTATGACATCCAGCACATACTTCGCAACTCCTCAACGTGACCCCCACCCGAAGAAACAAGGATTGAATGCGGATAGCATGTTCTAAGCTTTTGACTACGCGTGCGTGTTGGTAAGTATGTTTGTATGACTCGCCAACTCCATCTCGCTCTACATTCGCGATAGAGACAGGGAAACGAATCCCGTGTTGTGCGGTGATCTCCTGCCAAGTAAGCTTGTTACCGTTATGCGCATCATGCAGCGGCTTGGAATACACAACGAGCTTGCGTATACCTGAAGCTTGCTTCTAGCTGTTAGCAAATCGGTTCCTGGATGCCCCTTACCCTAGACCGCATCCAGACTGACCTCAACTGAGGTCGCACTTCGCTGAACTGCATCGTCGATCCTACCATGCCGTTCTCGCATTCTCATTATTGCCGTTGCGAAGTCAAAGCATTCACCAGGTCTAGCCGAATTCAAACTCCATGCCGACATTCACAAAGTTGACTCACGATTACGCTAGCTTTCCTAAGCGGATATTCTCTCAACGCCGTAGAGGCCGTGAAACAAGGAAGATGGGGACCTTGGAATCTCCTCCCTCCGCCTGGCACTTGGATGGAAGAGAAAGCTTTTCATTCCGGTTCCTTGGTTGTCGTCTTTCTCTTCAGGGAAATCTGAAACGAACCATCGGTAGGCCCCGTTTGTTGAGAAGTCAGGCTGACAAGTATAAAGCCTAAGTAAATTCCACACATTTCTCCCAATCTTACTTGTTTCGTCAAGCCCTTCGACTGGTACTTGGCTAGTTCACCACTGAGGCTCGAGACGTACAGCTCCAGTCATCTTCGATTGTCTTTTCACTCTCACACTTCCATTCGTCTTCAAGCGAATAAGTTCCTCGTCATGCTCTTCTCTAAAACCTTACTCTACGTCGCCTTCACGGCCACGGTGGCTGCAGTCGCGTTGCCCCCCGGTTTCTTCCATCCTCCTGTTCACGCCTTCAAGGATGAAGCCAACGTTGAAGCCGTTGACGCGGAACCCGTCATTATTGAGGCTCGGAATGAGGCTTACATCGACACCATCGTCGAAGACTCCGAGACGGAGCCCAACATCAAGGCCCGGTCTGAGGCTGCCACCGAAGCCATGGACACGGAGACGGAGCCCCATATCGAGGCCAGGGAAGAAGCAGCCATCGACAATGTCATCACTGAACCAGTCATCGAGACCCGGAATGAGATCACCGTTGACGCCGTTGACGTGGAACCCGAAATCCACGCCAGGAGCGAGCAAACCCTGGACGTCGTCGACGCTGAGCCTATCATCCAGGCCCGGAGTGAGATTCCAGTTGAGGTTGTTGACGCCGAGCCACACATCGAGGCCAGGTCTGAAGCCATTGTGGACAACGTTGAGTCGGAGCCTGTCGTTGAGGCCAGCGAGGAGCCTCGCATCCAAGCAAGAAGCGAGGCCAACGTTGACTGGGTTGACCCCAACAACCACGACATCATCGCGCCCATTACGCCGGCTGATGATTGGAAGTACCGCGACAACCTCAACAAGCTCAAGAACAATGACTGCGGCATAGACTGCCAGAAGTCCCTAGCCTCATATCGTTCGAGGTCTGCCAAGGAGCGCCGCGGAAACTATGATCACTACAACAACAATAAGTACGACTACTCAACTGTCGGAAGGTCGTCGAGAGCTTCGAGGGGCGAACACAACACGCCCGCCGACGACTGGAAGTACCGAGACAACCTGGTCAAACAAGACAACCACAACTGCGGCACCCACTGTGTCGATTCGCTGAACTCATACCGGTCCGTGGCATCCAAGGACTCGAGACTCTCTCGGGAGCGCCAGCAGAACGAGTACTACAACAGCCATCACACCGGCAACTATGACCACCCTAGGACGTACGACCGCCACGTCACTGGCAACAACCCCGGTAGTTATGACCACCACAGCACCACTTACTATCCAAAAGACCACCATGCCGCACCAATCACCACTTACAAGGACCATTCGTATGACCATCCCGTCACGTATGATCGCCATTACAATGGCAAGCCGTCATCGAGAGCTTCTCGGGGTGAACATAATACTCGCCAGGATGACATCAACCACGGGATCAACCACTACAAATTGGATCACCACGACTGCGGGTCACACTGCATTGATTCGATTAAATCATACCACTCTGTGGCATCTGCGGACTCCAAACGATCGAGGGCATCCAGGGAGTCTCGGGAAAAGTACGGTAACTATCATGGGCACTGATGAGTGAGCTGGGTTGGGCGGGGGAATCTGTTGCAGAATGACACTGGGGACGGAAAACTTCACTTCTTCACATTTCACTTCTTGGGGGAGGCTTGGAAAAGCTTGAGAACGTACGGCTTGTAGTAAGAGTTGCCGCTAAGGGTCTGTGACCTTACGTGTATCTAATGGATCAATGAATCTTCGATAGCCAATGGACTTTGCGATGATCGGCGAACAAGAGACTTGGCCGAAGACGTGACGCAGGCAGTATTTGGGAATCTTCTCATCTCACGTCGTATGTTCATGACCAATTGAGACACACCGCTGAAGCAACGGCCCTGTCCCTCAAACTTCACGTATATCAACGGCAATCACAGCTGGTAGGCTCTTCAATTGACGCCGTCTGCGCCCAGGCGTTGAACTTCTTATCGCTATCGATCTGCATTCACGGCGGAAGTCCGCTAACCGCGTCCGAACATCTCGTATTCTCGCAATACGGGTCAGCGAATCCTGCGGGACGGGCCGCGGTAATCCCAAGCTAAAAAGGAATAGACTTTTCAAGATTGGCATGGGTGAATACGGTTTGGCTCATATCGTGATCCTGTTGAGGTCACCGTGAAACAGGATGTATGCATCGCGCTCGTTGTTGTCGTCGCACATGTGAAACCTCACAGGTGAGATAGTTCATAAACGGATTGTTTCATTTGGATAAGCCAAATAGACTCGCATATTTCCTTCTGGGACTGGGAGGCTCGTATGTGAAAGTGTGAGTTGATCCTCGGGTCCCCGTCCTCGCTCGTACACTCATGATCCCTCCCGACCGCTCCTAGCAAAAGGCGCATACTGGTGCAGATAGTGGACCGGCGAACCACATTGAAAAGTCCGCTCAACGGTGGATAATTGAAGAAAATCGTAAAGTATATGTTTAAGAGTGTGCTCGGGTAGAAAATTAAGATTAGGTCGTAACTCTTCGCTTCTCGCTCATCAAGCCTAGCATTTACCATGCCATCAAGCTTGCAAGCAGAACTCCAATAACAATCGCGGCCTTTGAATTGCCTCCCAGTCTCGGTGCAGCGTTGTCGTCCGAGTTTTGCGTTCCACCGCTGGATTCCTGCGCGGATGAGGCCGAAGTTGTCGGCGTGTAGTCTGCCGCAATGCCCTCGATGGGGTGAGCGTAAGCCTGGGCGGGTGTCGTAGTCGCGACCCACGCGATCGTTGTCGAGAGCTCGACGGGGTTGTAAACGGTGACGGTGGCGGTCTGGCTGAGATCGAAGTTGGAGTAGCAGGTACCGCCATAGGCAGGACGGTCGCGGTCGGCGGTCTTGGTGGGAGCTGCAAAGGTGAAGCCACTATCATCTACGTATCAGCATTGGGAACTATAAATGGCTTCGGGAAATGAGAGGCCATACTCGGCGCAACACGCAATGTAGCCGCTGGACCAGGTGCTGCTGATGGTGTTCCAGCCACTTGGGCATACCAACGGGCTCATGACGGGGGCCATGGAGCTGGACTTGGACATGACGGAAGAGTATCCGTTCACCCATTCGGTAGGATAGCATGATGTGATGGTCGAGTTGGGAAGCGGCACGGGTTCGTTGATCCAGATCTTCTCCAGGGCGCCGACCAACATGGTCAAGTGGTTCTCGGTGCAATGAGCGGGAGGCGTGAAGGTCGTCGTCAGGGCCACGGTCGTCGCGACCTGCTTGTCGCGGAGCTCGAGACCGGCGGCGGTTGGGATGGGCGTGATGGTCATTGGCGACGCGCCAACGGTCGGGGTCGCGAGGACGGCGGCAGCCATTGTGAGGGCTTGTTTGGTGGTATTAGGCTTTACGATGATGGTTCGAACGAGCGGAAGATGTCGAATGACACAATGATTTTCAACCTGATCGTCGTAGGCTTAAACTTAAAAGAGTGGAAGGGCAGTTGATCCAAAAGAATGACTTGCAGAAATGCAGAATAGACCAAGGCGGCGAGAAACAAGAGTTCCAAGAGACGGGAGACATGGATGGCATGGCAAACACTCAGGAGGTTTTAATCGAAAATCTTGCTTGGACGCTCCAGGCCCTCTATCCGCTTTGGCTACGACTCCGTTTCATTTAGATCGCCATATAAGTGGTTCGGATGCTCCGCTGGATGTCCCGGAATGCAGCCCGCGAACTTGGAATTCGTTGAATATTCCCGTCGGATGTTGCATGGCAGGCTGCGGGGGTGGTTCCACCTCACAGCCATCATGTCTCTCTGGCCATTCACGAATCACGACTCTTTTCTTAGCAACCGCTTGGTGGTGTTTGTCCATCCAAGTTTGGCACAACACGAAGGGAGTTGCTTTTTCCAAGACAAACTGTTCGTGATTCTTTGAAGCACTCGGTAAGAAGGCCTCCTTTAAGCGAGATGTCGAATCTAACGGCCTCGAAGCTACGGATTCTCTTGGTTGTTACGCAACACCACGTGGAGACTTTCAGGGATACCAGCAGTTGACCATTGGTCCTTGGAAGCACCCCTGACCGTCGCAACGGCATTTCATCAATGTTGCAGTAGCGTCAAAAAGGGGCGCTGGGGTGTTTTTGTGGGAGCCGGTGAGCACAGCCAGCCCGACAGCGAGCCCGCCGAGTCGTGTGCTCGAAAAAAAGCGCGTCAATCATTTCAGTTGGAAAAGATAAAGTTGCTTTTCCTCCGCCGTCGTTTCGTGGCACCTTCAGACGAACCCTTTCTGCACGGCCTCTCGGATGCCCTTGTGCCATATGGCAGCCATCTTCTTATACCCTTCATCTGCAGGATGCGTTCCGTCTGACAGCTCGTGCAATCGAGGCCCGTCCAAGCCGTGCATATCCACCATGACTATCCTTCGACTCTCGGTGATTCTCCGTTGGGCCAGCTTTTGAAACTGTTCATTTGCCACGAGAACTCGCTGTTCGGTTCGTTTGTCGGAGTTTACAAGAAGGGTTGAAAGGATGATCGTTGCTTCCGGAGTGGCCGTCCATAAATAGTCCAGCATGAGGCCCATTCGATCTCCGATTCGGTCGACTTCGAAGTCTTGAAGGCAGTCGTTTGATCCGGCATTAACGGTGTAGACATTTGGCAGGTGATACGGCACGGATTTCCTTGCTCTCTGGTCGATCTGGTCGATCCGGAACCCCCGCCATCCCTCATTGTCATTGTCCGACATTGACCCCACCTTCCGGGACCCGACCATGTCGACATCGATTCCGTCAGCCGAAAGCATTTCCCGTAGCCGGCTCCGATAGCCATTTCCATCTGTTGATCCTTGGCCAAAGGTCACTGAGCCACCGAGTGGCATCAGCCGCATTGAGACTCTAGCTTGGGGCGTCGTCCGTATGGTCTCTATGCCCGCTGTCAGCTGAACATCTGAAGTATCCTAGGTGTGATGAAGCTCTTACCTGTGTCTGCACTGAGAATGGTCCGTGGAGAAGCAGCAGTTCGGCAGCTCCTTGTGTGATACTGGAAATATTGTGCAGCGCCGGGAAGCTTGCTCGTCACGGTCAGGATTGGCTTCGACAGCATGCTTCCCAATCGCGGCCAGAGACAACGGTCGCAAGAAAAGTTCATTCTTGAACTTTACAGAATCAGCAAACATAGACTCACGTGCCTAAGTCATTGGGTCCCAGCTGTTGTTGAAGCGTAAGAGTCATGCCACCAGACATTCAATGAGTTTTGAATTGAACTTCTTCTCCGATCATATCTTTCGGTAAATTGACTTTTCCCCGACACTTGAGCTCACGGGCCTCAAGACGGCACATACAAGAGGATTGCCGCGGTAAAACGACTCGTCGCCGAAGCCATTGCCTACAGACAAAACGCGCAGTGAGCTTATCATGTTTTCGGCGCAATCGCAGTTTTGGTGCGCGTGCAAGCAGAAACCCTGTCCCCACATCGTGAGATAAGGAGAAAGCATTGCATGCAAGCTGCGGCTTCGGAATCGCAGTTGTCAACACAATATCTACGAGCGCATGCTGTTTCGCACCTCTTGAACTTCATGTCTGAGACTGTTGATGATGGGTGAAATGGTTTTTGACAAGGCAAACACGCTTTGCTGGTGTCTTTAACTAGATGGCAGGAATCGCCCGCCCTCACAGTAACTAACGTGTCAACGAAATCAGGAGAAATTGGCAAATAGTCACTTGCAGCATCGAAGATGAATCATGTAATTGATCCAAGAAAAGGGAGTTCATCAATTTCCAAAACAATACCGCCTAATCATAACATGCAATGCTATCCTGTGTCTCATAAAATGCCCAACATCTAAACACTCCAACAGGCCTCCGCTCATCCCATTAGAAAGCGATCGCCTCATCCAAGCACAGCGGTTTCTTCTCGTCCATCTTGTTCTTGTTCCTGCAGCAGTCCACTGCGGAGCAGAAGTTCTCGTCTTCTTGGCTTACCGCGGCGGTCTTGGGAACCTGTTGCTGGGCGGGCCAGATCTGGGCACCGATTTGCTGCTCCTTCTTGAAGTGCGCCGTGACGTTCTCACGAACCCGCTGCTGGAAGAAGAGGGGGCCCTTCTCCATCTCTGGGTGCATCTCGCCGTTGACGAAGACGCCGGCGTTGATGTTCTTCTGGGCGTTGGCGCAGAGGTACTTGTCCTCGGACATGATGCGCTTGTACATGTCGCTGATGACGGTGAAATCCTCGTCGCTGGAGTTCTCGTTGCGGAAGATCTCGTATCTCATCACTGATGTGGTAGGCCCTGTGGGGACGAAGCGCTGAATGAAGAAGAAGTGAGGACTACAGGTAAGTTAGCATCTGCAAGTGGCATGACGATGGAGATGATGGATACTTACGAGACGTTCATGGATGCATTGGGCCAGAAGTAGGTCGCAGCCACACGGAAACCCTTCTCGATTTGCTCTGCCGTAGGCTGGCCAAAGTGTTGGATGTACGCGTCCTTGGTGTCGACGTAGTACGAGTTGAGATCGGCAATGGAGGGGATATCGGGGTGAGCAACCTTGCAGTGGTAGCACTCATTGTAGTTATCGGCGAGGATCTTCCAGTTGTACTCTCCCTCCATCTCCCAGCTGTGGTCGAACTGATAATCCTCGAAGTTGTAGTGCTGGAATCTCTCCTGCTCGTCAACACCAAGGAAGTCCTCATTCCATGGAACCTCAGGCTGTTCGTTCGCATCCATGTTGATCCAGACGAAGCCATTGCGGTCAATGTGGACATGGATAGGGAAGAGACCGTTCTTGGACTTATCGAAGCCATCAAGGTCCTGGTAGCCGGGTGCCTTGGCGAGATTGCCGCTGAGGCCGTAGGACCAGCCGTGGTACTTGCAGGAGAACATGAAGCTGTTACCGCCATCCTCGGTCACTACCGGGAAGGCGCGGTGTCTGCAGATGTTGTGGAAGGCGTTGATCTTGCCCTTGCGGTCTTGGACGATGATAAAGGAGTAGCCGGCGACGTTGTACTTGATCCAGTCGCCCGGGTTAGGCACCCTGGCCTTGTGGGTGGTCAGGAGCCATTTCCTGGAGAAGATGGCGCGACGTTCGAGCTCATACATCTCCTGGGATGTGTACCATGATGCAGGCAGGGCTCTGACGGCGTTCTTCTGGTCCTGGGCGGGAGCGGCCCCGCCAAACCCGATGTAGTTCTTGAGGAATGACATCTCGACTGCCGATGTTTGTGTGGAAGAGGATAAGTCAGGTGACTCTGATTGATGAAAGAAGGGTATAGACTTGCAAACTTCGGATGATAGATGAAGCTGCTGGTTCTGTGAACTCTGACTTTGTGTAATATGATCTGTTGTTCTGCTATCAATCTCTCCCATCTCGGAGACGACACACACCTTCTATATACTCATGATAAGACACGCCCGTCCAGAGTCATTGTCTCACCCTTGACCATCCAAACTCTGACTCTCGCACCGACGCCGCCGCCCCCGGACTTCTGCCCACCACCGATCACTTGGGCAGCGCGGTATTCAGTTTCGCTACACCGAACGGGCTATCACGATTTGGAGGCTGAATGCTATCGGGTGGCTGACTGTGCGGTCATTAAGCCGATCACATGACCGGCAACTCTGCAATGCTTGGCCGGCTACTGCTTATCGGAACGCCCTGGGTGCGGAGTGTGCGGAGAGAGCAGTCCGGCCCGGACGGCGCTCGAGCACTTTGATGGCGTTCGCTTTACCCCAGGAAATCCTACATGATCCATCATTTGATCTGGTCAGCATTGTCTTGGAGCCGTCCATTGCATGTGGCGTGCACACCTTAATCTTGCGCTAACGTCAAATATTACCTAACTCGGGGAAGATTCTCGACGGCTTCCGTCCACCGGCGCTCACATCTCCTCAGTGACGTGTGACGCTCCAGAACCAATGGTTTCTGAGATCATCGTGACATTGCCTTTGTCCACTTGAGATCCTTCGCGAAGTTTCAATTACTGTCGCAGCGGAGGAGGAATCCGGACCGGGCATGTTTGACTAGGCACTCATGCACGTGTCCACCCACGGTTGTTGTCCACGGCACCCGCTCCGTTGTTTCCAGGGGCATTCAGTTGACCGTTGACAGCAGACAATCGGGTTGTCCGTGGAATGATGACGGCCGGTTTTGCAGCATCACGAACGGTGACAATTCTGGCCGTGGTGTTGGTGTTGACTGGCTGGGTTTCGGCTGCGACTCGACTCTTATCGGAGGACCCCTACTACTTGGCGAAAGTTTGAAACTCTCCTATCAACTGCGACCGGACCAGACATGTTGCGAATAGTTGCTATTATTGGCAGATAAGATAGATGACCAAGTTTCGTTAATTGGCTGCATGCGCCACACTGCTTGTCGTCGTCTTATCGACCGAGCTGGGGTTCATAGTTGTCGCGATTCGTCGATTATTTTGCCGCCAGCCGCTGGTCGATAACATTAACGGGCGATCTTCTGCATCGTGGTTGCATCCCTGATCACGGTTGAAGCTGTCACACCGGCACACGGCACACGGGACACATTAGGGGTCCTCGCCGTTCTAGAACCACGCGGCCAGGCTTTGTCCCGTTCGTGCTGCATGGCAAAAAGGTTAATGGCATTGGATGCAGGGGAGTCGACGAGATGCTATCTGATACGTGGCATGGGTCCATCGATATCATGATTCAGCTGATGTGGGGTTTGCTCCTCGGTTTGGGCAGCAAGATTCAGCACGAAACATATCAACCTTCGCCTGAAATCGCTGTCGAAGCACAACTCTTCTTTGACGGTACAGGACTGAAGTCGTTTGGTTGATCCATAAGATCGTATGTTCTGAAAACACCTAGATAACAGCTTCGGGGGTCACGTGATCGGCTGCTTCGGAAACGCAGCCGACATCGGGACTCCATCCGCGGCCACCTACATACTTCTACGCGGGCAACCACCCACGGTTCACGGAATGGTATACCACCATTATGTCGTTCCGTCTTCAAGATACGAGATCATCGGTGCATCATTGAACTTATCTTCCGCCGTCTCCCCGTACCGTCTCACTGACTTGCCGCCGAGACCGTCTGCTCAGTTCCAAAAGCACCCCCTCGAACTGCCTTCTTCCCTTCCACCAATCACACTTTCCCCCTCCAGCACCATGTCCTCAAACAACCCATCATATCTCATTGTTGGGGCTGGTGTGTTTGGCGTATCAACCGCCTATCATCTTATCCAGAAGTACCCGAATGCATCGGTCACCCTGGTCGACAGGGATGCCTTTGACGCCGATGATCGTGTGGCCGCTTCGTGGGATTGGAACAAGGTGGTCCGCGCCGACTACGACGATTTCGTCTACTGCCAACTTGCTCTGGAAGCGCAAGACATCTTCAAGAACGACCCCCTCTGGAAGCCTTATTTCCACCAGACGGGTGTTTACTGGATCTGCCGGAGTGATTACGCGCAGAATGTCATCAGCCACCACCACAAGCTCGGTCGTAAGGACGACATTATTGCGCTTCCCATAGCTGAGGCCAAGAAGCTCTATAACGGGCTATTTGAGGATGCTGACTATACGGGCGCCAAGGAGGTGTTGGTGAACCGAGCGAGCGGCTGGGCTGCTGCGGGAGATGCTCTGCGTGCCATCACTCGAAAGTCCATTGAGTTGGGCGTCAAATATGCGGTTGCTGAGACGGCATCACTCAACTTTGACGGCAAGGGAACTTGCACGGGGCTGACGACAGCAACCGGGGAGTCACTGACAGCTTCGCACGTCATTCTCTGCACAGGAGCCTACACGTCGAAGTTGCTTGAATTCAGCGCCGCGAAGAGCGGCATTCCCGATCTCTCAGCGGGCGACAGAATCCTGGCAGCCGGCATCACAACGGGAATGGCTCAACTGGAGGATGATGAGTACAAGAAGTATGCTAATATGCCTGTTGGTTTCCAAGGGTATACTGCAGTACACGGTAAGCTATTCCGGGATATCTATTTGCCACTGAACCGACCACTTAACACTTGCCACAGGTAAGCCTTTTATTGGTAGTATCCCGCCAACGGCAGATAGAGAACTCAAGTGGTGGGGAGCCAAGATCTTCTCGAACACGCGAGAAGTCTTGCCTGGTCGTAAAGTCTCTGCGCCGCCACCGGCCAAAGACTATGCCCAGTGGAAGGTGTCGCGGCAACTCAAGCAAGACATCATTGACCAACGGAATCTCTGGTATGGAAAGAAGAGCGAGGGATGGAACATGACCAAGCACCGAATCTGCTGGTAAGCCTCCTCCAACACATCCAACTACGCGCATGACTAACGTCCACAAGGGACGCCTTCACAACCAGTTCCGACTTTATCATCTCACCTCACTCGGCTGCAAAGGGCCTGTATGTTGCGACTTGCGGCTCATTCCACGGTTTCAAATTTTTCCCCGTGCTTGGCAAGTATGTGATTCAGATGCTGGAGGGCTTATTGGATCCTGAGTTGGAAGGACGTTGGGCTTGGGATAGAGAACGCCCTGATTCCTCCGACAACTGCGAGTATCCCAATTCGGAGATGAATGATTTGTTGGACACGGTATCTAGGTTGTAGGAGTATCGATACATGAGATTCCAAGTCCAGCGGCATTGGTAAGGTAGAAGGAGAATCTACATAGTCTAATCTATGAACGATAGAGGGTCACAATTCAATACAAGGAATGCCTGCTTACGGTTGTCCTAGTGATTTATTACGTAAAGCACACGTGACCCGGATTGGTCCTATCTTTTGTCATGCTTAATGTGGTGCAGGTTCGGTTTCTTATCGCATGGCCAGCCTTGTACCTGAATGTATATGGAAAGGTGTCTGGGAACGTGAAGGGGGGTGTGAGGGGTGAGAGGGGGTGTTCCTCCACTCATTGGAGCGCCATGCATGCGGGGTTTCGTGGCAAGGGATTAACTATTTAGTTGGAAGCACATACCTCCCGGGGTTTCTGAGTGACTTCATGTCGTCGTTTTCAGGCTGAGAACCCTCCCAGTGCCGATATGCCGCCGCCAGAGGAGGGCGCCAGTTCGATCAATTCTCGGGGTAGACGACGCTCACACCATGCTTGCCTCACTTGCAGGTTTGTTATCTCGATTGTGGCCCCCTTTGGTCTTATCGTAATCGCTGTCCGGAGTGCTGATATGAGAACGAATGGTGCAGGCGAAAAAAGACGCGGTGCCCGGGGGAGAAGCCGGCTTGCTCGAGTTGTGTCCGGCTTCAGCAGTCATGTTCTTATCCCGCCGTGAGGCCGTCCCAGAGCGGGCGCTCGGTAAGTCGATAATATGTTGCCTTCGACATGAGATTCATGAGTTTTGACCATAGCTAGGATGAGAGACTGCAACACCTGGAAGAGAAACTGGATCTCCTCCTCAGCGGAGGCGGCTTGTATACGACACCGCATGCGAATATGCTACGTTCAGACGATCTGACCGGGTTCTTAGGATGAACCATCCCCCACGACAACGACAGCAGTCACTCGAGGCGGTCACCGACACATCCGAAAAGTCCTTCTCGGCAACTCCTCCGGCGCGGAAACAGAGCATCAGTTATCCCTCCGACAACTCATCGACCGCGGTCGCTTTTGATCCGGATGACATGGAGACAGGTCTCGATTTATACTTCAAATATTGTCACAGACAACCGATCTGGTGCTTTGAGCGGGAGGAAATCGGCGACTACAGAAACCTCCCCGAGGACCTCGCCAGCAGCATTCTTGCCTTGACTTCTCGTTTCTCCGATAAGCGGGACCATCTTCAGTTGTACAGCAACAACGCGAAGACGCTCATTATGCTGCGCATCGCCAATGGCTCAGTCGATCTTACGACCATTGAGAGCCTTTGTCTTCTTTCATATTCTTCGTTCATAGGTATGAGAAAGCCTGGCTAACATGACAAACCCCGGAAGCTGACTGAAACAGACGGAAACGTCCATCTTGGTCAATTTCATCTCGGTCTTTCTCTTCAGCTCTGCCGATCAGCAATGCTCGACATGGAAGCCGTGTACTTGGCCGATGATCCAATGAATGATCGGAAGAAGCGCCTGTTTTGGAGCCTGCAAATCCTTGAGCAGTCTTATGGGCGGCAGGACGGTCTCTTAAGCGTGCCGACCGATATTTGGCGGCCTGCATACTCCACAGGCGGCCGGGATCAAATGGAGTTGGATTCCAAAGCACCACCTTTACCAAGAGACGATCTAGGGACATCATCGCCAAGGGAGCCAGGGATTTGGAACACGAGCGTTCGTCTGGGATGGATCTGGAGTCAAGTCAGGAAATACGTCTCTGACTGCTCTCACAATATTCTCAAGGAACCTTGGCGTCATGACTCGATGTACGCGAGGGTTCTCTCCGACTTCATGGAAACCGAAAACCGGATCCCCATGTGCCACCGCTACGATTCCGTCAAGTTTTACGAGCGCAAGATCGATGAGCTGAAGATGAACCGCGATTACTGGGCTTGCTGGCTGAAGGAGCAGTTCACCTATCACGCTATACCGACCGTGTTGAACCATCCGTTTTTGTACATCGTCGGGGCGCAACACAATCCGAACTTGGGTATTCCGAACACTTTCTGGAGGAGATCATCAGAACAAGCACTGCTGCATGCCACCTGGATCGTTCGCATGATAGACATGGTCGTCGACAAGCAAATCCCGTTGGTAGACCCGTTCTTTGGGCACGTGGCAGCGATTGCGGCCACGGTTCACCTTTACTATTGCTGTGCAGCGGCTGCGAGGTTGAAGCATAAGTCCAATACCGACTTTGCGAAGTGCAGGAGGTTCTTGAAGAGTTTCATACCTTGCTCCGCTGCGTGTGATGCTCTAGTAAGTCATCGCGATCTGGCAGCGAGGAAGCTCAGACTGACATGTCCCAGGATCGCAATCTGGATAGAATGACGCGCATCGCCGCCGGCTCGGAAAGCATGGATGTCGAAGACTGGATGCCGTCAAAGATCTATCTCAGCGTGCCGCTGATGTGGGAGATTCTGCAATTCAATTCTACCACAGACTCGCAAGAGATCCCAACCGCTGGCTTGCTGGACGCCTCTCTAACACCGGCCATCCCGCCCATCGACACGAGCGAGAGCTCCACGCTTGAGATCATCGTTGCGACATCGCCCGAAATCACGATCAATACTGCAGATGGCGGACAAGAGGCTCCCACGCTGTCATACAAACCTTCTCCAAATAAACACACCGTATCTACTTCTGCCAACTCATCGCGGCAGAATGTCTTTGACACGCCATCAGTCGAGCAGATTGACAGCCTCACTTTCAACACCACACCTTGGTTGTACGCGGACTCGTCGCAACTTATTAACATTGGGGAGCTTCCTGATCTCCAGTCGGAGCCCGGTAGTGCATGGTGGGAAGGCGACAACTTCAACAATATCATGTTTAATCAGTTCTAGCGCTGCATCTGCATTCTTCTGAGTTGCGTATTGTACGGAATTATGTCTTGATAGAGGGCAAGGTGGTAAATTGGGCACTGCTTTCGTCAAAGTCTGTTCTGTTTGACGGTGTTGAGGTGTTAGTGACGGCCGAAGACAAGATCATACTCAATTCTTTTGGAGTTATCCGTTCACATAATGGCCACGTCTTGGCGAGGGGGTTGTTCGAGATGTGATAGAAACAGGGATCGGGAGGAGTCCACGGCATCGAGAACGGCTCCTAAACGTGCTGAAGGTCAGTGTTGCATCACTTTCTACAGGATCGTCAGGGCGGAGTATCCATTAGTCAATATAATGATGATTCTTTCGCCGCGGAGAGCCCACCTCATGCAAAGAATGCCCATTACGGAACGGCGCGCCTCTTGAGTCCAGCCTCTGAGGTGGATCATGCGGAGTGAACAGGGGTTATCCCGCACAAACTCCAACTCGGATGTCATATCGGGGACTATTGAGGGCTAGGCCGGGGGCTGGAAGTGGCTGAGAAATGCTCGCAGCGTGACAGGACAGCTGTATGGGCTGGATTTCTTGGTTGCTAAACCGATCCAACGGCAGTCGTGACTTAGTAAGAACGGGTGTTCGTCTCGTCCCATGACCAGCCATTCATTCGTTACCAAATTGTTTCCTGTCTGCACCGCCTAACGTCTTCCTTCTACGTTAGCGTCCTCGTCAAGACTCAGGGTCCGCGCCTATTCCCGCTCACCGCTGGCACTTGATCCTTATCTGATCATCGTCTTTGGGTTTGCTCGTGTCGTGGCATCCCACCCGGGCGATAGCCTCGCACAACATTAAGTTGGCAGGGTGTGAGGACGTCGGCACTGGACCCTTGTCCGTCTGTAATCATGATACTCTGGTTGGATCACGGAACCGACGGACTTGTCCAGCGTATGAGCAAGAGCACGCTTGTTTTCCGACAACGGAGGTTCGTTGACGATGTGATCTCGATGTGCGTGTGGTGGATGATGAAGCGTCAGCTGGGTGGAGGAGCTCCACGTTATCATCCCCGCAGAGGACCGAAGCCACCATGTACGGCATCAACCCGACGAAGAATGCTTGATAAATGCCCAACGATTGACTCAAGCCCGGCGAGGTGACGGCCTAGACCCTGATCTGGGGCGGATCGACTCCCTCCTCCGCCGGCCACAGTCCGCTCTCCCCGCTCGCCGAACCCGGGGGTATGGTCAAGACACTTTGCGGTACGGAAGCCATCCGGGCTATCTCTGCTTTCGAAGAAAACGACCGTATCACAGCCGAAAGGGGTGTAAGTGAAATTGACGTGGCGGCATCAATGTGGTATTCGAGGTTGCCAGCCTTGGCCACGCGCGTCGAGGGCGGCCGGCATCGGTCTCCTTACGCCGATCACATGACCGCTCGGAGTCGAGTTGACCGGGGTACGTCTTGAAGTTACTATCAATAGCCGGTTTAGTTTCTAGTACCTTATCGCAACATGATGCAACTAGTTTGATGCGGGGTTCGGAAATAGATGCGCTGAGTTGTACCTAGTTGTTATAAGTCATCGTGCAACTGTAGAGTATGTAGTGCGTTGAAGAGGACGTGTTTTCCATCAATCTTCATTCATCATTACTCGGCATCGTGATTTCGTTGAGCGGCTTGTCGACCATGAGTTCCTCACAGCGAGTTGTTATTATCGGAGCCGGCATCGTCGGTACAAATATCGCTGATGAGCTGGTCTCGCGCGGATGGACCGATATCACCGTGGTCGAACAGGGGCCTCTGGATATGCCAGGGGGCTCAACATCTCACGCCCCCGGCCTCGTATTTCAGACCAACGGTTCCAAAACCTTGAGTTATTTCGCCAAATACACAGTGGAAAAGCTTTTGTCCTTGGAGTGCTTCAATCAGGTGGGTGGCCTAGAGGTCGCCGAGACTCCTGAAAGACTCGAGGATCTCAAGCGGAAACACGGATATGCATCATCGTGGGGTATCGAAGCACATCTCCTTAGCGCCGATGAGTGCCAGAAGATCTGCCCCCTCTTGAACAAAGACATCGTGCTCGGCGGCCTGCACATTCCCACCGACGGCTTAGCGCTGGCCGCCCGCGCGGTTCAGCTGCTTATCGAGCGCACCCGGAAGGCCGGAGTCCGGTACGTGGACCGGACCCCAGTCACCGGCATCGACCAGAAGGACGGACATGTGACCGGAGTCATTACGAAGAGCGGAACAATCCCCGCCGACATCGTTCTTTCATGCGCTGGTTTCTGGGGAGTTGAGCTGGGAGCCATGATCGGCCTTCCTATCCCTCTTCTGCCGGTTGGTCATCAATATGCGAAGACGACCCCCGTGCCCGCGCAAAAAGGGAAGAATTCCGAGCCGAATGGGGCAAAGCTGCCTATTCTTCGGCACCAAGACCGCGACCTTTACTATCGCGAGCACGGTGATGCGTACGGTATTGGCTTTTATGGGCACCGGCCGTTGCCGGTCGTCGCCGCTTCTCTAGGCGAAACCCCGAAGCATGTCGACGAGCACAACATGCCGTCGCGTATGGACTTCACCCCTGAAGATTTCAAGCCGGCATGGGAATTGACGCAGAAAATACTGCCCGCGTTGAAGGAGACTGAGATCGCCTATGGATTCAACGGCATCATGTCTTTCACCCCCGATGGAGGACCACTCGTCGGAAGAGCGCCCAATCTCGAGGGTTTCTGGGTGGCTGAGGCAGTGTGGGTGACGCATTCTGCCGGTGTTGCACGTGCAGTCGCTCAACTCTTGACCACCGGCAGAGCCGAGATCGACCTTTCCGAGTGTGACATCTCACGATTTGAGGAGGTTCAACTCACTCCTGCGTACGTCAGTGAGACCTGCCAACAGAACTTTGTTGAAGTATACGACGTTCTGCACCCTCTTCAACCGCGAGAATCACCACGGAACCTCCGTGTCAGTCCTTTCCATGCCCGCCAGCGCGAGCTCGGCGCCTACTTTCTCGAAGCTGGGGGATGGGAGCGGCCTCAATGGTATGAGTCAAACGCGAAGCTTGTCAAGCAGTTGCCGGATAAGTGGAAGCCAAGAGACCGTGATGCATGGTCTGCCAGGTATTATTCTCCGATCGCTGCTGCCGAGGCATGGAGAACGCGCACGTCCGCGGCCATGTACGACTTGACTCCCATCCGCCGTATTGAGGTCTCTGGACCGGGAGCCGTCGACCTTCTTCAGCGGGTAACGACTAGCGACGTCTCCAGGAAGCCTGGCACCGTGACTTTCACACTGCTTCTGGACGAGAAAGCTGGAGTAAAGAGCGACATCTTCGTGGCCCGGCTGCTTCAAGATGTTTTCCAACTTGCTGCAAACGGGCCGATCGATCAAGCCTACCTTTCCCGCGAAGCTCGTCTGCAAGCCGAGAAGGACCCAAGTAAATGGGTTCAAGTACGCGACGTCACCGGAGGAACTTGTGGCATCGGTCTTTGGGGCCCTCGATCCGCCGATGTTGTAGCCGCCATCAGCTCAGACGACTTCACCAGCAAGGCGCTGCCAGACTCCCACGTCAAAGCTGCCGTCATTGCTGGTATCCCGGTCTTGGCCATCAGGCTGTCGTTTGTGGGCGAGCAGGGCTGGGAGATCTATACGAGTGCTGAAAATGGTCAACAACTATGGGATGCTCTTTGGCAAGCCGGACAGTCTCACGGAGTCATCGCCGCCGGACGGAGTGCATTCAACGCATTGAGGCTTGAGGCAGGGTTCCGGAGTTACGGCTCTGATGTCACGACGGAGAACAACCCCTTCGAGGCAGGTCTCGCGTTCGCCGTCGACTTGAACAAGAAAGGCTTTGTTGGTGAGGCTGCAGTCAAGACGCTCTCGCAAACAACACCGTCGCGGCGACTTCGCTGCCTCACCGTTGATGATGGCAAGTCTGTTGTTCTTGGCAAGGAGCCAGTATTCTTGGACGGCAAGACCGTCGGATATGTTACCAATGCCGCATTCGGATACACCATTGGCAAACCGATTGCTTACAGCTACCTCCCCAGCATAGTGAAGGACGGGGATGGAGTCGAGATCGAGTACTTTGGAAGACGTATCAAGGCCACTGTCACGGCCGAGCCTTTGTATCAGTTGGCTTCGGGTGCAAACGATGGATCGAACGTAGCGATAAGATCGCGCTTGTAATTCTCCCAGAATTGTTGATTTTTTTTAATGATTTACGATACTCACTATTCCATTGACATTGTTCCATCATGACGCAAACTGTTACTTTTCGCAATTTGAACGGCACCCCTGCAGAACTGTTGTCACTTCACAGAGTCTGCCTACACATGTTCCAGGCCGAAAGAGAAGTCCGTGAACGTTATTGATTTCGCATTTGAATAAGACGTCTTAAAGTTTTCAGGCATCGGGTGCTGTACTTGCGGAAGATCTCTATCGCCAGTTTTGACGATGTCCAGCTGAAGAGGGAATCTGGATGACGGGCGGTTTGGCTTTGGACTGGTCTCGCTCGTAGACGACAAGCCGACTGCAGAAAATGTAAAGACCGACACGGAGGCAATCGCAGAGACATTGGAATGCGAAGCGAGCGTACGACACAATTTTCAAAGGGCTTTCAAGACGGTGGGCATTCTTTCAATTGAAATCGGATAGAGTCATCTAGGTAGTTTGAGGAGGAATGCTAGTGATGCAGTGTTCTCATTGAAAGATTCAATGGATTCTTTCTCTCCGGATCGGAAGCTTCGCAGCGACTTGGATGACATCCGGAGTGGCAACCGGGCTTTCTTCGGTGCTTCCGGCTTCAAAACAAAGACGGGATGGCACCGGCTGGGTGGACCCCGCCGCCCGGCCTGGCCGGACACTGAGCCAGGGTACCTAGGGTTGGCTGAGGTACGGAGTACGCAAGCTGGTAGCTTAACAGCGCAGTTGTGCGCCAAGCAACCCACCGGGGAAGGGGGAGTGTGTCCGCCCTTGGAAAATGGTCACGCGACATAAAGTGCCGGTTGCCTTCCAGACCAGACCTGCGGGTTTCGCTCATCTTGCATTCGACATTGACATTGACATTGACATTGAGAACGATCACTGCTTGGTTTTGGACAGCGAGCTATTGCATTGGCGAGGGAACAGACTTGGTCAAGCAAGCCATGCCATGCCGTCTGGTATGGATGCCCCCAACCCGACCTCGCCCTCATTCGACCTGTGATTTTGATGACGGAAACAAAATACGAATACAGAGTAGTCCGGCGATAACAGAGACAATCCCTCGAGCATCACCATCATCATGATGGGAAAGCCAAGCAAATGTTGCGGTACCAGACCCAGCATCCGTGGAGGCGTCGGCCAGTAAGACGCCCCGGACGACGCACATGTCCAGCCGGCCAAGACAATCTGGATCCTCCTCCGGCATTCGTTACCTGCAAGTTCCCTTGGCGGTGGTGGAACTGCAACGCAGTCAGACCGACACCCACCGGTTCCAACGTGAACCAACAGCGGGCGCCTTGTCGTTCTCGGCAGGTGAGTGCGTAAGGTATGGAGTGCAGAGTACGAATACCCTTGGTTCGCCGCCGCGGGGGCGGGAATGGTCGACGGGAACATGAGTAAGGTAGTGCAACCGTGGAGGTGGTCACCTACTCCGTATCCGTACCAAGTACCACACGTACGAAAGTGGCTGGGTCATCGAGGCGGAAAGGATACGTCTAATTAATTACCGCTCCACTGCGATCGTCCGCTCGCCCGCCAAGGTCATACTGCCCGGGCAGCCAGCCGTTCGTCCTCCCTCCCTCAAGATGCAGATGCAGCTATCATCACGGATGCCGTCCTCGTCTCGTTCCGCCTTCCGCTCGTGTGTGGCTACTTTCCGCCGGCCTTCGTTTGTGAAGTCGAGCGGCGGCCTCGACTGACATCATCCATCCCGCCCTCCTCTCCTCTCACGGCATTCCTGCTGCAGAAGAAGAGCCTGCGCCCTCCCTCCGCCAAGAGGGCCAAGAGGGCCAAGATGGCCAAGATGCCTCTAATGCTTGACGAATGGGTCCATCTTCTCGCCGCGACCAGTCAGAACATCGTCGAGGCAAAAATTTTTGCCCCAACGTCTCCAACCTGCAGGCAGAGGCAGGAGGCGTTGCGAGCTTGTTCCCACCATTTCTTGCTCCTGGTCTGGTTCTTGGTTTCTTATCGGTGAACTCGCCGGTGGCTGGCTGCCGTTTCATTCGCATTGGTATGATGAGACCCAAGACCGACCATGGTGAATTCAAAAGCAGGCCCATCCCCTTGGAATGTTTTCTGTCCGTTTCAACTCATTGTCGATTGCTCCTCAATGACCCCTCAAGTCACCACCTGTCATTGTGTCGCAACCCTCACCTCCCCGTGCTGAGCTGTCGTTGAACCATTGCTGTTGCTCTGCCGCACCAAACGGTTGAACGTTTAATAGTTCTCGGTACCCCCGGTTCCCCCCAACTCAATTGTCGTTTCAATCCATTGACAGAGTCATCATTCTCACCAAATCCTCTCGACGAACATTCCCCTGCTTACCCACCCATTCAACCCGCTACTTGTCTTGTCGTCCGGGAAGATTAGTTCATCAACTGCTATCGGCCGCCATGGGCAAATCCAAAGCAGCCAAGCCCGACGAGAATCACGTCTCTGGGCAATCCAACAAACCACTCACTCAGCCCGCACATGCTCTCTCCCATCAACAGGTGGCTGATGAACTTCACGTCAACACCCTCGATGGTCTCTCTGCTGCTGACGCCAAGTCTCGCCTGGAAGAGTTTGGTAACAATGACCTTGGAGAAGCCGAGGGTGTCCAGCCCATCAAGATTATCATCGCTCAGATCGCCAATGCCATGACCATGGTGAGCCTCTCGGTGCCCCATCTATTGACACGGAGCTAACCTTACTGTCCCAGGTTTTGATTCTTGCCATGGCCGTCAGTTTCGGCATTGAGTCCTACATTGAGGGCGGAGTCATCACCTTCGTCATTCTCCTCAACGTTATCGTGGGCTTCTTCCAAGAATACTCCGCAGAGAAGACCATGGATTCCCTCCGCTCCCTCAGCTCCCCGACAGCCAACATTGTCCGCGATGGCGAGTCTATTGTCGTCCCGTCTGGCGAAATTGTTCCCGGCGATGTCGTCGAGATCAAGACCGGTGACACCATCCCGGCAGATGTCAGGTCAGATGTTCCATCTCCCCGCATTTTCTGGAAGCGACTAAGTAGGCCGTTAGGCTCATCGAAGCCGTCAACTTCGAGACCGATGAGGCTCTATTGACCGGCGAATCCCTCCCCGTGCGTAAGAACGAAGACGCCACCTTCCCCGAAAAGACCGGTCCCGGAGACCGCCTCAACGTCGCGTACAGCTCCTCCAGCGTCACGAAGGGTCGCGCCAAGGGAATCGTCTTCGCGACCGGCGTCTATACCGAGATTGGCGCTATCGCTTCCGCTCTCCGCAAGAAGGATTCCAAGGTTCGCGAGGTCAAGCGTAAGCCCGATGGACGCGCCGGCCCTCACCGGTATCTTGAAGCCTACACCTTGACCTTTACTGATGCCATCGGTCGGTTCTTGGGCGTCAACGTCGGTACCCCGTTGCAGAAGAAGCTCTCCAAGCTGGCCATGCTACTTTTCGGCATTGCCATCGTGTTTGCCATCATTGTCCTGGGCGCCAACAAGTTCGAGGCCACCCAGGAAGTCATCATCTACGCCGTGGCCACCGGGTTATCCATGATCCCCGCAAGCTTGGTCGTTGTGCTCACCATCACAATGGCCGCCGGTACCAAGCGCATGGTCAAGCGCAACGTCATTGTTCGCAACCTCAAGTCTCTCGAAGCACTCGGCGCCGTGACGGACATTTGCTCCGACAAGACGGGCACGCTGACCCAGGGCAAGATGCTGGCTCGTGGTGCATGGCTCCCAGGAATGGGAACCTACACGGTTGAGAACTCGTCGACGCCCGTTGACCCCACCGAAGGAGATATCCGCTTCGACGAGCGATCGCCTAGACATCTGGACTTCAAGAAGGGCGGCGATGCCTGCGGATCCGTTCTCGAGCCACAGGAACTCTTGCAAAACAGCAAGGCGGGTCTCGCAGCCTTCCTTCATGTTGCCTCGCTCGCCAACCTCGCAACCATCAACAAAAAGGACGACCAGTGGCATGCCCGAGGCGACCCTACCGAAATCGCCATCCAGGTCTTCGCCTCTCGCTTTGATTGGAACCGTCTGCGCTTGACCACTGGCGACAATCCGGAGTGGAGCGAGATTGCCGAGCTGCCCTTCGATTCCGACGTCAAGCGCATGTCCGTCATTATGAAGCACAACACCACCAACGAGTACTACGCCTACACCAAGGGTGCTGTGGAGCGCGTCATTCAGACCTGCACCAAGTACACCCCGCAGGACTCTGGCGACCTGGTCGACATGACACCCGAGTTCCGAGAGGAGATTCTTCGCAACATGGAGGCTCTTGCAGGTCTCGGTCTCCGAGTGTTGGCGCTGGCTAGCAAGCCTTTCGATGGCACGCCGAACAAGGGCGACGAGATCGACCGGGCCTCGGTCGAATGCGATTTGGTCTTCCGCGGCCTCATCGGTCTCTACGATCCCCCCCGTCCCGAATCCGCCCCGGCTGTTCGTCAATGCCACGAAGCAGGCATCTCAGTTCACATGCTCACGGGCGATCATCCGGAGACTGCAAAAGCCATCGCCATCGAAGTCGGCATCCTGCCCCATCGCATGGAACGCGTTGCTCGAAACGTTGCTGATGCCATGGTCATGACGGCTACGCAGTTCGACGACCTGAGCGACGACGAGGTTGATAAGCTGCCGGTTCTCCCTCTCGTTATTGCCCGATGCGCCCCCAGCACTAAGGTCCGGATGATTGAAGCCCTCCACCGCCGAAAGAAGTTTTGCGCCATGGTAAGTTTTGACTCCCACAATGTCAGACGGAATTTCGCTAACAGTGATCTTGAAGACCGGTGATGGTGTCAACGACTCCCCTTCTCTCCGCCGTGCCGACGTTGGGATCGCCATGGGCCAGTCTGGTTCCGATGTCGCTAAGGATGCTTCCGACATTGTTCTGACGGACGACAACTTCGCGTCCATCGTCGCCGCCATTGAAGAAGGCCGCCGCATCTTTGACAACATCCAAAAGTTCGTCCTTCACGTCCTCGCTGAGAACATTGCCCAAGCTGGAACACTCCTGGTCGGCCTGGTCTTCAAAGACACCAGAGGTTTGTCCGTGTTCCCGCTCGCGCCGGTGGAAATTGTCTGGATCATCATGGCGACCTCGGGCATGCCCGACATGGGTCTTGGTTTCGAGCGTGCGGTCCCGGATATCATGCGCCGCCCTCCCCAGTCACTCAAGACTGGTATCTTCACCATGGAGTTCCTGGTCGACATGGTCGTGTATGGACTGTGGATCGCCGCGCTTTGTCTGTCAAGCTTCTCTCTGGTAGTCTACGGCTTCGGCAACGGAGAATTGGGAGAGAACTGCAATGGGTCGTACAGCGATTCTTGCGATGTCGTGTTCAGGGCTCGCGCGACTACCTTTGCGTGCTTGACGTGGTTCGCTCTGTTCTTGGCTTGGGAAATGGTGGACATGCGCAGATCCTTCTTCCGCATGCAGCCGGGGTCGAAGAAGTACTTCACCCAATGGATGATTGATGTCTGGCGAAACAAGTTCCTGTTCTGGGCCATCATGCTTGGATTCGTTACTTTGTTCCCCCTTCTGTACATCCCGGTCATCAACACCGTGGTCTTCAAGCACAAGGGGATTTCGTGGGAATGGGCTATTGTCTTCATCGCCGCCGGTCTGTTTTTCGCCGGCGTTGAGGCGTGGAAATGGGGAAAGAGGGTCTTCTTCAGGAGAAAGAATAAGAAGGCTCACGGCGTTGCTTGGAAGGATCTGGACATCGAGCAGAGGGTCTTTGGAGACTATCTCACCAGCTCCTCCGACGATGACCACAGGACCGAGATCGGTGATGATGATGCCTACGCCGAGAAGGAGGGCCTGGAGAAGCAGTAGGCTACGGAAGATGCTGCCAGCAGAACTTTGCGTGTCGAGTCCGCACGTAAACGACAACGAAGAGGCATGTGGTAGAGCCTGAGATGGGAATAATTAACGCGAAGCGCAGAAGTAGTGTAGGCTTAATTGTACTCTCCTTGTCTACCATACTGTGCCTTTTATCGTATTCTGCCACCAACACGCTCGATTTTGAATTCCGTGAATCTTAGGCCTACGACTCTTCATGCTAGTTATGCTCAAAGAGTAGGCGATGGTCTAGCGCGGAGGGCCCTAAAACATTGACCGCAAAGTAGCTCTGATGAGTGTGACGGACCGAAAGTAAGTCACATCCAGGCCAGATGGATTGCCTCGGCCGCACGGAGTGGAATGAGGCTATTCACAGTTTGTCAGCACGCCGCAGATCCCAGACGATCTTCTCTATTCACAAGATCTATCAGGTTCCGCTTGTACCCATCAACCAGCTCAGATCGGGCATGTTCCTGCTGCATCACAAACGGGGCTCTCGGCCACCGTACCTGGACCATTCTGGAAGCCAGTTCACCGCTGAAGGATTTGACTAATCACTTACACAAAAATGAGGGCATGTTCTCCGCACAGCATGGGCTGATCGTCACCACTTTTTCTTCGGCAATTGGCTCTCACAGGCCCGTCACACGTGGCGCCATGTCAACCTTGAATGCTTGATTAATCAGACCGCGCAAATTTCCGCTACCTTCTCCAAATCTAGGCTCTCTAAAGAAATCCCCGGAAGGTGTTCTACAGAGAAATCCCCGAGGCCCGGGCAAGAAACGGGAAGGTCGGCGGGCGGAACGGGGCCGCGACAGGGTTAGTACGGCTGTCGAGTCAGTAAAAGAGTGTCGAGCAGTGTCGCATCTCCGACCCCATAGTGACGGCATGAGTTGTCATTGCGTCATGCCGACTGTAGACTGTGCTGGAATCTCGCAGCTTCGAACCCCACGATGGTCTCCAACGATCGGTTTCGTATCGTATATAACGCCGTTGGCTGTAAAGAGAACATCTAGGCAACCGATTTGAGAGACAGTCCTGTGAACTCAATACTCAATTGACATTTCGCAACATTCGTCATGGCACCCACAACCACCAACTCCTGGTCCATCACCGGCACCAGCAAGGAGAACTGGGACTCTCTCGAGTTCAAGAAGGACGTCCCCCTCCCTCAACTCGGCGACTACGACGTTCTCGTCCAGATTGAAGCCGTTTCCCTTAACTTCCGTGATCTGGCCATTCCCAAGGTAAAAACTCCAATCATCACTACAACCAAGGCACAACTGACACGCGCAGGGCCTGTACCCCTTCCCCGTCAGCTTCCCCCGCGTCCCCGCCTCCGACGGCGCCGGCCGCGTCCTCGCTGTCGGCCCCAAGGTGACCCAGGTCTCCGAGGGGGACAACATCTGCACTCTCTTCAACCAGCACCACCAGTCCAACCCCATCACACCCCTCGCCGTTCGCAGCGGTCTCGGCGGTGCGCTCGACGGAACCCTCCGCCAGTATGCCGTCTTCCCGGAGCATGGCGTTGTCAAGTCACCCAAGACCCTAAACGCCGTCGAGGCCAGCACCCTCCCCTGCGCACCCCTGACCGCCTGGAACGCGCTTTACGGCCTGCAGTCCAAGGCCCTCAAGCCCGGCGACTTCGTCCTCACCCAGGGCACCGGCGGTGTCAGTCTGTCCGCGATCCAATTCGCCGTCGCCGCGGGCGCGACCGTCATCGCGACGACTTCGTCCAAGGAGAAGGGCGAGCAGCTGCTGAAGCTGGGCGCGCACCACGTCATCAACTACAAGGAGACGCCGAACTGGGGCGAGGTGGCCAAGAGCCTGACCCCGAACAACGTCGGTGTCGATCACATTATCGAGGTCGGAGGCCCCGGCACCGTCGCCCAGTCGCTCAAGGCCGTGAAGTTGGAGGGTGTCATCTCCATCATCGGCTTCCTGTCTCACGGAGAGACGCCCAAGGACCAGCCGACGCTTCTGGATGCGCTTGCGAACATCTGCACCATCCGCGGACTGTTCGTCGGCTCCAAGCAGCAATTTGAGGAGATGAACCAGGCCATCGACGCGAACAAGATCCACCCCGTAGTGGACCAGAAGATCTTTGGCTTCGAGGAGGTGAAGGAGGCGTACCAGTACCAGTGGGATCAGAAGCACTTTGGAAAGGTCTGCATTAAGATCTAGGGTAATTAAGCGAGATCGGACAGGTCGCCAATAATTATGTAGTTACGAACACCATAAAGAGTTTCATTTTCAGGACATGCAAGTGAGATGAAAATGCTGCATCCCGTAGGAGTCAGGGCTCCTCCGCTTATGAGTGTGTGAGCGTTGCGCGCAAATTTGGTCGGGAAAAAAAATTGGTATTCAATGCCGACGTGATAATGTCGCACAGAGAGTTTACATTGCCCTTTACGATTTGTCCAGCATCTTCGGCCACCTTGGTTGTGGTCCCTAAGACAATTGAGCCTTCGCACAGGCACAGGTTCTCCTCCTCGGTATATGTGTTCATCGGCATTCGCTCGTTTTAAATTGTAATCCACGCCTCATTATTTCATGACTTGCGATCCAATACGTCCTCAATGCGACCGGCCTCTCGCGGACCGCCACGCAGAACACGTCCATCCACGATAGGTCGGCCATGGGAATCGTACTCGAGCGTCTCGGTGTACATCGGTTCTCCGGACCGCTGCGACGCGGTCTTGATGGTGGTGCCTTCGGGCGTTTTCTGGGTCTGCTTCGCGTATCGCTGGCTGTCCGTCTTGCCGTTCCATGAGACGGAGGAGGAGAAGGATACTGACGACGAACTCCAGATAGGCATAGCGATGGTTTTTGGCAGGAAGTATGTTTCGATCGGATTGTTGATTGACAGACTGGCTGGTGGTTTGGAGGTGGAAGAGGTAGGACGCGAGTGAAGAAATGCCTTGTACCTTCAGATGTACGTCATTGCTCCACCACTCCTGAATACGTCATGCGCTGATGTGCGCGCACACCGAGCCGAGCGGGTTTGGGTTTAATGCACACACTCTTTCTTTCCTGACACAGAGAGGATCTAAGAATCTGTCCAGATTGTATCCGGCTTCTGTCATGCTTCTATCTATCAAGCTTCTGTTAAGCTAACGTCTCGCTTGAGTCCGACATACCTTGAGGGAATGACACAAGCTAGAAGCGGAGAAGTGCGACAGACTAACCGATCCAAGGGATGCATTCCTACAGAACGGACGAGCTAGCGTGGAATCCAGAAGCTGCACGATACTCTCTACCTGCACCTCAATCTCAAGCATGTGCATGCCTTTGGGTTCATAGGGGCAGAATGGATTTAGCTTCGTATTCCTCTCATTTTCAATTTGTTTGCTCACTTTCCAGCTTGGTCTTGCGCATCCATATCTCATCAATAAGGTCGCCCTCGCCTTGGACGCACACCCATTCACCCATTCCATATTCCTTCGGAGCTACGCGGCATCCCCTGCCTCCACCCCCTACGATCAAGTTACCAGGTCTGTACTTGTGATCTCTTTCCATCCTTCGAATGACACTGCCGTGAATCCTCACTTTATCCGGCACATCGCGCACCTCGCCTCTCGGCAGCGGCCATCGAATCGGTTTCCAACTACCGTCGGGCCTCAAGTCAAGTCGGCGAAACGGCAAGTGCTCCATGACGCGCCACATGAAGACGGTAGCAGGATGCATTCCGCAAGAGAAGTCGAGTGAATCGTGAATGTCCGCCTCGTGGGCCGTGTGTATCATTTCGCTGAACATAGTGCTGGTGTGCACACGAGTGAGCCGCTCGGCATCTTCGTCCGTCCGACCTTTCGACGAGCCACCCGGAGAAGCGGTCGGAGAGCCGAGCGGAGACGGAGCATCCACATGGATTTCCGGCACAGTCGAGGTATCGCCGGTCACGTTGGGAGATGATACCCCGGTAACTGACTCAACGCAGCCCAGGTATTCAAGCTGTTCGACATCAAATGCGAGACCTGCACGAATAGCTTCCCGCACCATCCAGACCAGTGGGATGTGGCTGGCGTTCTTGCGGCCCGCGACGGCATCCCAACCTCCGCCGATATCGCCATGGCCGCCGGAGAACCACACCTCGTCCACATCTTGTCCATGCTCGTCATCTGAGTCGTAGATGAGATCTTCCACTGGGGGCTTGGAATTGACCGAAGATGCATCCTCCATGTCTCCTTGGTGCGACCGATCCGTGGTTCTCGACTTGGACCTGGTCCTTGAGCGAGTCCGAAAAGGCGCCGGGTGTTCCGCATCCTCCGGCTGGCCGTGATCTTGCCTCCGGCCACGGTCCTCCAGGGCAACCATGTCATCGGGGGCAAGGGTAGATCGCCGTCCCGGTCTGTACTTTTCCTGCATTTCTTGCACTTTTTCGTTGATGGGGTGGTGTTCCATCATACGCTTGGCGGCGTTCTTCTTGCGGCTTTTCCTTGGCTCTTGGTAGATGAGGTCTTGTCGGAACTTGGCTCGCCGCTCGTCGATGCTCACGGCATGCCTGATGACCTTGGCCGAGCTCCGAGCCGTATAGGGGAACTTACTGCGCTGCATCCATGCCGTCTCGAACCGGGGAACACTGTTGACAGTGTCAAAAAGCCCCAGAAATCGGATTCGTCGAATCGGTCGCGAAAATGTTTCCCGGAATCCTTTGAGGAATTGGTACATCTTCTCGCGATCTTCCTTGCCCTCTGGGGTGGAGTTGGTCCTGCGAGCTTGCCACTGGGAGAAAGCGTTCCACGCAAATGCAACCATCTCCTCGTTTCCGTGAGCAAGCAGACCCACGAAGTCCAACATCTCGGCCAGGAATCTGGCAACGTAGGCGCCCCGAGAGAAACCAAACATGTAGATGTCGTCTCCGGGCGAGTAGTATCGCATCAGAAATCGATAGCCGCCCACGACATGCTGGTCGAAGGAGGACCCGATCGCCGAGTCTTTCGCCATCTGGTAGTATGACTTGCACTTGGCTCGGAGACCATTATGCGTCAGGTTTTCCGAGACGACGTAGGTCCCGATACCAGCTGCCGTCGACGTATCAGTGCCTGTACACCGTGTTTTTGAATGAAGGCTCGAGACTTACGTTGGTAGTAATGGACTGTTTGCTGCATCAGCTGGTTGTTCATCGTCATGAGTGTACGGACGGGCTGCGTGTATAGACTCACACTGGTCATTGGCCGTACTGTCCAGCATGCGAAAAATCTTCAATATGTTGCTGTCGCTGTCGTCGCCCCGAAACTTGTTGCCTGTGCCATCGAAGCAGAGAATTAGCTTTCTTCGAGGGCCACACAGCTGGCGGGCCCGAAAAGCATCATCATCGGATGGGCTGCCGGCTTTTCCTCCGTTCACGGCTGCCTGATGAGGATGTTTGAGCAGGTCGGGATGCATCGAAGTAGAGTCTGATTAAGGCCCTTGAGAAGTACCTGTCACTGATGTGTCCCAGCGAGCCGGTGCAGTGTCGGGAGATCACGAACTTGTCAGCCGTCAAAGTGGATGCTTCCAGTCACATCATATACCGGCCAGGTTCTCATATGTGGCTCATTCCAATGGATTCTTCAGGAATTATGACGGTATCGCGCGCAGCGCTAGGCCCTCGCGAGTGATATGCAGCCAGGTAAAAGCCAGGGCGAGACCTGCGTCACTAGACGGTATCTCAAAGCTATACTCATGCCGCACAACTTTGATTTCCACGGTAGCGGCGGCTTTTCGGCAAGCCTCTCGCGTTACTCAGCATCGTTCGCTTGATGTCGTGAAATGATGCCTGGCCAAGAGGGGAAGATCGACAATCTCGGTCAACACTGGCCCAAGATTGCACTGCACATCAGCGGTTGCGACAACTGGACCATAGACCTTCTTGTGAGAAAGATCTACGATGCTCAGTACTATTGAATTGCCAGTCTCTCATTTAGTCTAAACAGTCGATCGTTAGACATCTGTTTTCGGCCGTGTACGAGACAGCCTTATCCCAACTTGCTCAGGCTGGGTTTACAGAGACATGTCTTGGGCCCAAATTTCGAAAGTTGGTCCTGGATAAGGCATGGGCTTGGCTTATAATGTCTTTGCTGGGAAGAGCCAAAAATCAAACTCCAAGGAGTCGGACTTACACAGGGATAAGTGAGCACGGCATGAAAGAATGTAAGACACCGATACACCACCAAATCACAGCAGCCAGTGGTATCATTTACCTTGCTCACCCTGGCGGGGAAGACGTGACATCACCAAGAGCTGAATAGCATTGTCTTGCCGTGCAATCGTGTAGCATTCTTCGAGCGAGACATGATCAGCGATTATAAGGCTTCTGCCGCCGATGGCTAATACCGGCCCAAGCGCATCCGTACTCGTAGTTTGGGACACATTAAGAACGGCTCGGCGCTTCAACGAGACATGCGTCGAAGCCCTTGCTTGGCAAAGTACCTTCACATGAAGAAAACTTGGCGCAAAAAGTAGGGAGGCTATTCGTTGAACTCGATCTAATTGCACGGCATACACGAGCTCAAGGAGCACACAGTGGGTATTATTGTTGATCAAGAATGTTACCATCACACGATTCCCATTAGTTTTGTTGCCCAGCGGGGTTATCATTCCGCGCTCGGGATGGGCGAAAACGATGGTTTCTCCAGATGTTGTGCACCCTTCACCGACATGGCTGTTCATCCAACTGCATTGAGATGATTCGCCAACGCCGTCCCGGCGGTTGCAATGCAACCACGGCTGTTACTACTGAACCACCTGTTGAGGAAGCCTTGATGGAGACTTGGACTGGGTAGCGATCGCTCCCTAGCGTTGCCGGACGGGATCAACGCGGCCGCTTGCAGGGACACATCCGGCCGATACGCTAGTCGCGAGAAATCCGGTCTTAGACATGATCTAAGACAGTTGAAACCTATCGTTGCGTTCCTGTTTGCCGTTGATATTTGGCTGTTTGCTAACGCGCTGGCTCGCGACGCTGTGTTTGCCGAGAAAAAGCTTGCATACCCATGCCGAAAGATGAGAATCCTTGACTTGGAAGTGCGGCCTGCCCCAGGCAGTTTTATTTCCATAAGAACAGGGTCGCCTCCTCGTCTCGTAAACCTCGTTCAGATTCCCGATTGTAAAGATCCACGAATCATCAACGAATTCCCGACCGTCTTTCACCATGAAGCGCGGAAGTCACTCAAGCGCCTCGGTTGAGCACGTCGACCATGATCATGGCCGTGCTCAGCTCAACGTCGCGAACCACAACGGGCAGCATGGAGTCCCTCGACACAAGCCGCGCCGAGATGTTCGAAGCAAAGGCGACCAGAACTACGGCAAGTACGATGCCAAGGTCACTGGCTCGCGAAAGGACAAACTGGATGCCAAGAGGCCATTACCAGTTCAGTTCGGCAATGGAACATACCCGATGGATAAGTCTCGTCCGGGGGTGATTCAGCACTTTAGATCCCTCCAGATCCAAGGTAAAAGATAATCAACTTACTTCAATCAATTAGCAATTCTGACCCTTCGCCTAGATGTCAAGACGCTGGCTCAGATCATCAAGAGCAAGCTCAAGCTTGAGAAGATCCAGGACGACAAGACCATGATCATGGAGCGTACCATCCAGATTGTCGCCAAGCTCCCGCATAAGTCCAAAGCGCGCGACATCCTGACCAACGTTTTCATCGAGGAGCTCTGGGGATCTCTCGAGCATCCCCCGCTTCTGTATTTGGATGACAACGAGCGGAAGTACAAGTATCGCCAGGCAGATGGATCTTGTAATGTGAGTCGCGATGTTGCACACTTACGACATCTGGATCTAACGAACCGCCAGAACCCGCTGTTCCCCATGCGAGGTGCCGCCGGCCAGCCCTATGCGAGGTCCGTGAAGCCACGGGTCGTCACGCTAGGAGCCCTGCCAGACCCGGAGTTGGTTTTCGACTCGGTTATGGCCCGACGCGAAAATGGATATAAAGAACATCCCAACCAAGTCTCCAGTATTCTGTGGTACTGGGCAACCATCATCATTCACGGTATGTGCCTCGACTTTTTGCTTTTGGTAGCATTATGTTCTGACCAACCTCAGATCTCTTTTGGACGGATCGCGACAACTCCAACATATCAAACACCTCAGCGTACCTTGACCTCTCTCCGTTGTATGGAAGCAACCAGAAGATGCAACGCTCAGTTCGTACCCTCAGGGACGGCAAGCTGAAGCCCGACGCTTTCGCCGACGGAAGGCTCAACGTCATGCCACCTGGGGTTTGCGTTCTCTTGATCATGTTCAACCGCTTTCACAACCATGTGGCGGAGAACCTAGCGGCCATCAATGAGGGCAACAGGTTTCCCCGTCCATCTCCAGGTGATGAGAAGGCCGTGGAGCACTACGACGAAGAGCTCTTCCAAACTGCAAGACTGGTCACCTGCGGCCTGTACATCAACATCACTCTGGTCGATTACGTCCGAAACATTGTCAATCTCAACCGAACCAACAGCACTTGGACGCTCGACCCGAGGCAAGAAGCTGGCAAGAGTGCGGGAACCCCAGATGGTGCGGAAATCGGAACGGGCAATGTCAACTCGGCCGAGTTCAATCTCTGTTACCGCTGGCACTCTTGCATATCTGACAACGACGATAAGTGGATTCAAAAGGCTTACGATAAGAAGCTGGAGACAGTTGTATCGACAGAAGCGTGGGACGAGGAAGCCAAGAAGATGATGGAAAAAATGAAGAAAGATCCTGGACTTCGCTGTTTCGGCAACCTCACAAGAGATAAGACGACTAACAAATTCAATGACGATGAACTCGTCGATTGCATCAAAAAAGCCATCAAGGATTGCGCAGGTTCTTTCGGAGCGCGAAACGTTCCCATGTCCATGAGGAACGTCGAGGTGGCTGGTATCAAGCAAGCGCGGGAATGGAACGTTGCCGGCCTCAACGAGTTCCGCAAACACTTCGGCCTCAAGCCGTACGATACGTTCGAGGAGATCAACCCGGACACCGACGTGGCGGAGAGTCTGAGGCATCTTTACCAGCACCCCGATAATGTCGAACTCTACCCTGGTCTTGTGTGTGAATCTGCCAAGCAGCCAATGTCTCCCGGTGTCGGAATTGCACCAACGTACACCATCTCCCGCGTCGTCCTATCTGACGCTGTGTGTCTTGTCCGTGGGGACAGATATTACACGATCGATTACACCCCTCGCCATCTCACCAACTGGGGCTTCAAGGAAGTAGAGTACGACTTGAACGTCAACCACGGCTGTGTCTTCTACAAGCTGTTCCTCAACGCATTCCCCAATCACTTCAAGAGCGACTCGGTCTACGCTCACTACCCTATGGTCACCCCTCCTGAGAATGTCAAGATTTTGGAGGAACTTGGAAGATACGAACTGTTCAGCGACGAAGAACCAGAGCCCGGACAGGGAGTGAGGCAGCGTCAAATGTCAACCAGTCCCGGCCCGTACAGTGTTACTTGGAACCACGGGCTTGAGCACCTCATCGGCAACAAGTGGACGTTGGGCGAGGATCCCATGCAGATGGAACATCAATGCATCGGACACCAATCCCAATGGGAGGCGGCTGTGAAGGACTTCTACTTCAAGGTGACGACGAAGCTTTTGCGCGAGAAGTCGTACACGCTGGGTGTTACGGGCAGGAAGCAGACGCAGGTGGACATCATCCGCGACGTCGGCAATTTGGCGCATGTCCACTTCGTGTCCCAAGTCTTCAACCTCCCCCTGAAGATAGAGGGCAATCCGAAGGGTATCTACACCGAGCACGAGCTGTACCAGGCCCTGGCTTGTATCCACAACTGCGTCTTCCTCAACAACGACGCGGTCAAGGCGTGGCCTCTTAGACAGGAGGCGAGGAAGGCCATGACACAACTGAGCAGAGCTGTCGAAAAGAGCGTCTCGTCTGCGACCGGCTTCCGTATTTTCGGTGGCGGTTCCGGCGTCGAGAGCGTCCCGTCAAACGTGTCGGCCTACGGAGCCAGCATGATGAAGGAGCTCGCCAGGGACGGTTCAAGTGCTAGTGAGATCACTTGGAACCACGTCCTTCCTACAATCGTGTCGTTGGTGCCGGGCCAAGCCAAAGTGGTAAGTTGCGTCCGCTGCCAAACCGAGAGCCCTTCACTGACAAGAAGCAGTTCGCTGAAGCGGTCAACGCTTGCCTCGATGATCCGAATCTTGTGTACGAGATTCACAGGGTGGCCAGGTCTGGGCAGGGCGATGACCGGTTGCTGAGTCTCGCGATGCAGTGCATTCACTCCTCGGGCGTGGCCACCGCAGACGACGGTCTAGGAGCTCATGCATGCCTCACCGCCGGTGTGAGCAGAGCCGCCATGGTCGGGATGTTCAGGGCGCTATTTCAACTGGATGCTGTGGAACGACCGTTGGCGCCCATGAACTGGGAGGTGGAGGGTGCGGAAGAACGCGCTGTTCAGCCTCAGGGCATTTTGAAGAAGGTGAAGAAGAAGAACGGTCACTACGAATACCTGACGGAGGATTGGGGACAGACTGGACCTTTCCCCATGACCATGAAGATCAGATGGAGGCCTTTCGAGGAACGGAGCGACGATTAGTCTCGTATTGGATAGTTTTAATAAGTTAGACTACCAACTTCCTACCAAAGTAGGGGAGGGTGTGCTGCCAATGATTACCTACCACAGAAAGACAAAACCTGCCATTCATTCGCTTGGAAATATTCACGAGCTGCTGATGTGTCTACCTGCTAACGACTGGTATGAATCGCTCTCACCAGATTGATCAGCTCAGAGCACAATTGGCACGAGCAAATTGAGAACAGAAAGATGTTTTTAAGTGGTATCATGGTACTATTAATTGTGACTCAATGCACTCACATAGTATTCACGCTCAATTGCCCAATAGATACCTAACTCTAGAGTTCTCAGCATTCAATTCGGTAGTCATTCTCATGTAAGTCATTGCATTCTAAATCCCGTGGTCGAACCACGAAGACAACCTTTCAACGGCGCTTAAGCATAATTCGTCGACCAATCCCGTGTTCCCACACTCATCATTCATCCCACGACCATTCCCTTTCCAGCCGCCAAGAGATTGTAGGGTTACCACGATTGATAAGGAAACATCTGAGAGGTGGAGGAATCGAATGCCAAGAAAAACGTGTTTCCACAAGGGGGCTGCAGTGGCACTTTGTTGATTCCCGTGGTCTGCGGCATCCAGGTCCGTCAGCTTTTATGCTGTCTCTCTGCCTTCCTAATACGCTCGGTCCTGCTACCTTCCCGAAAGGAGGGCCGACCGAGCGGGAGCCCGAGTCTTGCGGACTGCGCATGTTCAACGCCCGGTTCATGGACCCCGCTAAATGGAAACAACGCGGTCCTGCATCCATGTTACCGGCCTTCCGAATCTGAAGATACAGCCGCTCCGAGGCCGGTTTTCTCGACCTGACCTGCAATGCAAGCTAAGAGACGCAGCAACCCTTTGATGAAAGCCGCCGGAATGATACCCGTCACCTCTCCGACGCCTTCCTATTTAGCTACATGCCATCTGATCGCGGGGTAGCCGGTGATGTCGCGGGGCGAGCGCTTCTCGACTGCCTTTTCAGGAAGGCCATGTTGATATCAAGAAATCTTTCGTAGCATCACAGGATAGATGTCTTCTGAAGTGCCTTTTGAGGAAGGCCGTGGTGATATTGTGGCAACCTACAGTAACATCACATAGGCCTGTTGAGGAAGGAGGATATTGAGCATGCCTGGCGGACCGTCGACCTCTTTCTTGGACAGCTTTTGGACGGCGACATCAAGATGATGATGTGATTGCTCGTCGCGATACTAGGAGCTGGGAGCAGTATAAAGAGGTTGGAATATTCTCATTCAGTCCGGGAGTTTTCATCAGCATCCTCAACTCATCTGACTTCCTTCCATCTACCTACTTCTCGTCCTCACATTGCCAATCATGGAGCTCTCCAAGTACCTCGCCTTCCTCGCAGTGGTTCTGCCCATTGCCTACGGTGCTCCCACCGAGACCGCCACCAGCCTCCACCCCCAGATCCTGGCCGCCATGAAGCGCGACTTCGGTCTGGAGGCCAGGGAGGCCACTGCTCGTGTTGCCTTCGAGCAGCGGTCCGTTGATGTCATCGAGCAACTGCGTGGCTCGGCTGGTTACGCCGGCGCTTGGATCTCCGAGGACGGCACCACGCTCAGCGTCGGTGTCACCGACGAGGCCTTGGCCGCCGAGGTGACCGCCGCCGGCGCCACACCCGTGGTCGTTGCCAACGCCCTCAACAAGCTTGAGGAGGCCAAGGCGGCGCTCGACAACATTGACATCGAGCAATCCGCTGCTCGCGACGAGAGCTCTGCTTCCTCCGGCATCGCTTCCTACTACGTCGATGTCGCCGCCAACAAGCTCATCCTCGAGGCTCTGGAGGGCAGCACTGCCCACGCCGAGGCTCTGGCCACTCAGGTCGGTCTCACCGCGTCCGAGTTCGAGGTCGTTACCGTTGCGGACATGCCCTCCACCTTCGCCACTGTTCGCGGCGGCGATGCCTACCTCATCAACCGCTCTGCCCGTTGCTCCATCGGCTTCTCAGTCACCACTGGCTTCGTCTCCGCCGGCCACTGCGGTACCGTCGGTAGCACTGCCACCACCACCGGCGGCGCGGCTCTCGGAACCTTCTCCGGATCCGTCTTCCCCGGCAGCGCCGACATGTCCTACATCCGCACCGTCAGCGGCACCACCCTCACCGGAACCATCTACGGCTACAGCCGTGGCACCCTCCCCGTCTCCGGCAGCACCGCCGCCGCCGTCGGAGCCTCCATCTGCCGCTCCGGCTCCACCACCGGTGTCTACTGCGGCACCGTTGGCGTCCTCGGCGCCACCGTCAACTACGCTGAGGGACGTGTCACCGGTCTTACCCGCACTAGTGTCTGCGCCGAGCCCGGTGACTCTGGTGGTTCTTTCTACTCTGGCGCCCAGGCCCAGGGTGTCACCTCTGGAGGCTCCGGCGACTGCTCTTCCGGCGGCACCACCTACTTCCAGCCGGTCAACGAGATTCTGTCCACCTACGGCCTCACCCTGGTCAGGTCTTAATCGGACAGTCTAATGTCGACACAGCCGAGGGAGCTTCCTAACCGATATGAAGTTTCTGGACTTCGCGAGGAGGAAGGCAGATCTGGTGCTTGTGCTTGTTTTCTTTTCTTTTATATATAAAGAGTATTCTTTATCTTTAGGAATGAATTTTAGTTAACTGAGATGAATATATGTGCCTTGCCTGATAAATCTTTACACTCCAAACTTACACTGTGATCATTGTGTAGCTGTTCTTATCCAAGATACAGTATCTCTTAGCTAGGTTTCATACTAGCTGCTATCTTCAGTCGCTTAGCCTTACTTAATCTAAGAGACAAACTAGTAATAAAGGCCACAGAGGTGTTGTTTGCATGAATCTCTCCTCCTTCGACATTGAAGGTTCAATCATAGCATAAGTCACTAACTATCCGGCCTTAGTAGATTTGCGGTATAACTTTGTGTTTTATTTGAGAGGACTAAAGCATACAGGATCTCTTGCCCCTCTATTACTGAATGAGGGGAGAACCAAGACTACGTGAAGCGTAGGGTCAAGAACGAATGGATTGGCTAACTGCGTAAAGATCCAGCCCCCTTAGCCAAACTCAGCCGAAAGCTCGTCCAGGAAGAATTGCTCACACACTAAATCCTCCCTGCTGACGGACCTGCATTAAGATATCAAACATCATGTCTTTCGGCAGAGTGCGCATGACCTTTTGCATCTCAGCCTGGTCCATCAACTCGCCGTGGCGGGTGATCATTCCGACGACCACATCCTTCATCTTGCGGTCGTCATCGCAATCAGAACATGAGGTGTAAATCTTGTTCGCCGCGTGAAGAAACTCCTCGGTCTGCCATTGACTGTCTGCCTCGGATTTGAACTTGTCAAAGGCCAGCGATCGGAGACCGGAAATGTCGTACTTGCGTGACAGCGCGTACACGTTTGCGTGCAGCACGAGGCTCTTGTTGGCGGCTGCCTCTACTCCGTTGCTTTTGGACACGAACTCTTCCACCCGATGTGCGGGACTCTGCTTGGCCTCGAGAACTGCTCCGCCTCCTTCATTGTGATTCTCCTGGGTCTGACTGAGTGATGAATCGATTGCTATGAGCGATGAGACCGAGTCGCCCTGGGGACTCGGGGAGCCGAGGACTCCGTTCTCTTTAGCATGCGCCTTGGCGCGCTTCTTTTGCTTCTTGCTGAGTCGCTGAGGTTGAGGCGGGAGAAAGTCGTCCAGAGACTCAACGAGGTCCTCTGACTTTGCGTCTTTCTCGATTGGTTGGTCGTCTGACTTGACAGATTCATTGGGCCCGTCGTCATCTGTAGCGTGACCGTTGTTTTGTCCATTTGAATTAGGAAGACCATTGGCATGTAGACGGTCTGACGACTCTGAGGGGTAATCAAGGTGATAGAAATATCGAACGGCCATTCCAACTGCTTGTGGGTCGTCGTCGGACAAATTCAGATAGCCATCAGAGGCGGCCTATGAAGATCTCTTTTAAGAAATCGTCTTGCGGGAATCTATGCATTTGAGTTGCTTACCTTGGACTTGACATCACGGCACTGCTTAGCGAAGTATGCGGATCTTGGGCATACAATAGCCTTGTGAACCCGATACTCGAAATCACAACTGGCGATAGTAAGGTCTGAGAACTCAGGATCATAGTACAATCTGATGGTGTGTTAACAGTTATATTTCGGAGGTTGTCACCGGGACTTACTGCTTTAGAGAGCTTTTCAGCTCCTCGACGGCATCAACGCTCATATCTAGGGAACTCAGAAGACAGCAACTTGGAGAAGTATCGAGAAACAACCTGAGATGTCTATAAGTAAAACGAACTAAACCTGGGTTATAAGGAAAATATTTGTACTTCTCTCACCTCAATACCTTTGGGGAATATAACGGCTTAATGTTCTTTGGCAGCCCTGTCATCATTCAAGGCATCTAGTGCGCGCCTCGTCTTACCCACCATCACGCAAATGAATGGGAGGGTTAGGCCGTCCTGGGCAGCAATGAGGCGACTCGTATGGCAATTAAAATCCAATAGAGACTGCAATGGGCAGCATCCTGCGCCTGGGCAAGATGATTACGTACATAACACGCGACCCTGACGCAGCCTCTTCGTGATTCTTCCCCCATCTCCAACGGTCTGGACCATCAAACTTCTTCGATGCGGGATGGAGAGCCTCACTTTTGTGGCACACAGCTCTGTTATATGTGGTTGTTGGCGTCGACCTCGCGTCGCACAGCATGGGCAAATGGGAGCAATGCACTGAAACCTGGACACGCCCATCACCAGTGGATAAGTCCCGAGCAGGGACTTGACGTGAAGTCGACTTACCGGTGTCCAATCGCGCACCGAAAGAGACAACACCCTTTTGTGACCGAGTGCGGGGAATCGGCTGCCTTACATGCGTGGCGTCTGCACCCCGGGAAGCATGCTGACTTTTAATTATCTCGGTTGGTGTAGAGGAAGTGAGCGCACATCAATTGACTCCTTCGGCTTCTAACTGTTGATTGAGCGAGACAAATCAAACATCTCAGTTTTACATAGTAAGGTAGGCTTAACATTAAAGTGTAGCTGCATCAGATGCGATGCGACTGTTAACTGTTCTACATGCCAGCCTTCAACATGTTAAAGGCATACGCACGGCTGCCTTGAAAGCGCTCCTCCGCCGAGGTCCAGTTGATGATCTTCCAAACGTTGTCGATGTACGTCATCTTGCCATTTTGGTACTACAGGGTGTCAGTCGAATACACCAAACACGTGCGCGTCAAACTCACCTGCAGATAGTACGCATGCTCCCACATATCAATCCCGATGATGGGCACCTCTCCACCGACGACGGGATCCTGGTCTTTCGTCGTAACGATTCGCAAGCCGCCCTCCTCGCCAGGGGCCTTGACAAGCCAACCCCATCCAGAACCCTGAATACCCATCAGCGCAGCGGAGAAGGCGGTGGTGAAGCCGGCCAAGCTGCCGAACGTCGACTTGATATTCTTAACGAGCGAGGGGGCGGAGCCCTCGGGTTCTGAAGCATCCTTGGTGTCCGCAGGAGCGAGATTCTTCCAGAACAACGAGTGGTTGATGTGGCCGCCGCCGTTGAACTTGATCAAGTTCTGCAGAGCTATCTGGTCAGGGATGTTTGCATCTGCGACGGCCTTTGAATAGTTGCTAAGCGCGGCGTTGAGGTTCGTCACGTACGCCTGGTGGTGCTTGTCGTGGTGAAGGACCATGATTTCTGCGGATATGTGCGGCTCAAGCGCCTGGACTGCAGGTAAGTACGAGGTCTCCTGCTCCTGAGCGTTGGCTTACTCACTGTGTATGCATATGGCAAAGGAGGTAGAGAGTACGTCTGAACAGACAACTGTGGTGGATCTGTCTGATAGTTTCAGACAATTGATCAGTGTTAGCGGTGAATCATGGTAGTGATGGCCTTGACTAGCCGAAGAGAACATGCTGAAGCCCAAAGTGAGACCAACAGTTGATTGCTATGTATGAAAACCTACCATTTCTACATACTGGATCTGCTGAGCAAAATCGTTCGGAACGTATGAAGCTGTCGCCGTTGAGGAAGAGGCCATCGACGACAAAGAGGATGATAGACCGGCCATAGCTCCTTTGAGAAGAATATGCAAGCGACGATGTTGGCGGGGTATTGGTCTGATGTAAAGAAGAAGTATGACAACTAAGATGTTGGGGTAACAAGAGTCGGTGAGGCGATCCAGTGGATTCGATAGACGCTTTCTACAGTGGAACCACTTGAGGTCCTAGGATAACTCTAAGTGAAGCCTTGATTTGATCACTACTCCCCATAGAAATAGCTATGGAGAAATCGATTTGGGCAAGTGAAAGACAACTTGAGCAGTGAGGAAGTGTGACAGGAGGTACCTAATTGGGAAGGCCCTTGGACTTTCTAGCCACGTTGAGCTTTCCGCGCTTTCCGAGAATCAATACTTCTGTTCCTTGTTGCGGGGGTGGCTGAGGACTGTGGCTTACGTCCACCCATTCCGTTGGCCTGGGATATGTATCGTCGCTTATGAATTCATAGGCTTGTCGATCAGCAACAACTGAAAGCCAAAAAACCACATTGTACCTAGGTATTATATTCTAGTCCTCGCACGGGGCCGGAGAATCAGCTGTAGCGTAATGCAGTGGCCCAGTCTCTACCCGTTGAGGCCCGACCGAGTCCATGCGTCCACGGCGTAGGAATGGCTCGAGATGCGATTATAAAGCATTCGACTTTCTAGTTGATCATGTATTTCCTGTCTCGTTATCCAAGCTGCGATCCATGCAAAGGTCGGGCGGCAAATGAAGTCAAAAACAGACACACTGCTGGGGGTATTCATACATTCTGAATGCACTGAAGTACGTAGGATGACTTCGGATCGGGAATAGCTCATTCAAACTCATCTCCACTGGGTAGTCTACCCCCCGCCAACAATACAGTCAACTGCCAACGAGCTGCAACCTCCTCGTCGCACTTCCCCGGCGAAGCACGCAATCGCCTCACCCCATGACGAGCCCATCAGTCTCCCTCATCTGCATCAATTCTGATTTCCTTCGTCCGTTTAAGCTTCTGGGCCCAGTCTTCACGGAACAGCCCGATTGGATGCCGTCTTTAGACCAAAGATCGATCAGTTCTAGTCGAGGAACTCAATCTGAACTTGGCTGTTTCCTACCCCGGATTTTGCGAGCTGTCACGTCAACCTCTAAATGTGCATCACACACCTCACCGTGGACATCGCGAAGTCACGATATGCCCATCAACGAACATCAAGAACTCGCCGCGAACCTCGAGCTCATCCCCACCCAATCCTCCGATCTGTGGAGGCTCTCGGATGCAAATCCGCCCGAGCCGTATGCAATGCGGAATCCCGATTCCCCGCAGCCACGACTCGGGCTCCTGGCGGCGGAGGATGGCCTGGACACGATGTTTCCAATTTGTCAGCGCCCACCGGAAAGTGGCACCCGCTGGCTGGTCTTTGTGCTCTTCTGAATCTTCGTGTTTCTCGGCTGTCAAGTTAGCAGGCACGCAGGTCAGACTGATGGAGCCATTGGTTGCCCAGTGAGCACGGAAACCGGTGCTTCCCCCCCATGTCGTTGTCATTGACATGCCCGTCGTCTCACTGTCGTTCTATTCATATCAGCGCAGCCCAACCCGCAACGATGCATTAGTCAACCAGACCCGCCCGTCGAACTTGACAGAAACGCCCGATCACCAGCTCCTGCCTTCCACCGCCTTTTTTTGAGGACAGGTGGAAGGTTGCATCCAGCTCCAGCTCTCCTACGATCTTGCTGGCTTTGTTGTTGACATATAAACCGGCCCTCGATCCCTCCTAACATCGTCCATTCTGCAACATCAAGTCATCTACCAATTTCTATCCAGCAACCTCATACACCCACACAAAACCGCATCCGTCCGGCCAAACCACCACCGCTAAAATGACTTACACTCTCTACGACGCCTCCGTTCCCCTTCTCACCGCGGGTCTCAACACCCTGCTCAACCTCCTGACCAAGGCTGAGGCCTACGCCGCGGAGAAGGGCATCGACGTCAAGACGCTTCTCGATGCCAAGCTGGCCGAGGACATGTTCCCCTTCACCTTCCAATACCACGTCGCCACCGACTGCGCCGTCAAGATCGTCGCCCGCGTCCAGGGCAGCGAGCCCGAGGCGTTCGAGAACAAGTTCGAGAGCGTCGCCGACCTCCGCAAGCGCGTCGAGCACACGCTCGCCATCGTCAAGGCCGCCGACCCCAAGACCTTCGAGGACCGCACCGACGCCCTCGTCCCCCTCGGCCTCGGCTTCGGCAAGGGCGAGATGCAGATCCGCGCCCGTGACTACCTCGTCGCCTACGGCATGCCCAACTTCTTTTTCCACATCCAGGCCGCCTACAGCATCCTGCGCAAGGAGGGCGTCCCTCTCGGCAAGGCCGATTACCTTACTCCCTTCATGGGTCCCTTCGTCGAGCAGCACCAGAAGTCTCAGCAGCAGTAAACGGGGGTACGACGTGGTGAGAGGAGGAACGAATCGTCACAGGATGGCGCCCGGGACAATCGAGAATCGGGATTGATGAAACTGGTATACAGAAAAGGTTATAATAGAAACGAAGATAACGGCCTTGCGACTCCAATCTTTTGCCTCGTGACTTTTTGAATTGGCCGTGTGAGCACGTGGAAGTTTGACAATTGTTTCGGATGTCCTTGTGAATCGATTTGAACGCACTTAGTTACACGAGCAACAACCTCAACCGGGCTATACCGCCGCTTGACTTTCGCGTTTCTCATATAATGAAATTTGGCGACTTTGCCAGATGATTCGATTTCGAATTTCCCCTCATCAACAACCCCTCATTCAGGGGTTCGGGTGAAGCTGACTCATCATGACACTGGTGCAACAACACTGTGAACCAATTATGAAAATCTGGGTCGCTCTCCACTATCGGAGGAGACTCCGACCATCCGGCTCCGGCGCCCCGCAATAGCCCCGCAATAGCCCCGCTACCGCGCCGCGCCGCGCAGTGCCGCAAATTTCCAATTTTTGGTTTTCTTTTTTAGGTGTTTTTTTCCCCCCTCCACATTCACTCCGCTCCAAAAACAGCGTCACTATTACCTCCAGCCATAATAAGGTCTATCAGCATTTCGCTTGGCATTACTCGGCAATTTGCTCGATACGAAGAAAATATTTCCCCCGCCATACTTGCGTGCTTCAACACGCTATGCCTGCCGAACTCAGCGAGGCCGAGGCCCTCGCCACGCCCGAGTTCTGGAATGAGCGTTATACCCAGTCGGACGGCTCCAACCCGACGCACGAATGGTTCCGCACCTTTGCCGCGTTGGAGCCTTACTTTAAGAAACACCTCTTCTCTCAATACCCGCCGGAGACGGTGCCGCGCATCATGCATCTCGGCTCCGGCGATAGCGTATGTACAACGCTACCGACGACGATCTCATCCATCCCCAATCCCCTTCACTTGTGACCGTTCCACTTTCATCTCCATTCCCATCTCATCCGGACAGCACTCACTAACAGCCGCAGACCATCCCAGCCGATCTGGCAGAACGCGGCTACAAGAACCAGCTCTGCCTGGACTTCTCCACCGTCGTGGTCGACCTCATGAAGTCCCGCCATCAGCCACTCGGCGGCATCGAATGGCGCTGGGCCGACGTTCGCGACATGCCCGACGCTGCGCCCACTAAGTCCATCGACGTCGCCTTCGACAAGGGGACCATGGACGCCATGATCCACGGCTCTCCTTGGTCGCCGCCCGATGACGTCAAGGACAACACGAGTCGCTACCTTCGCGAGGTGCACCGCGCGCTCAAGGACGAAGGCGTCTTTCTGTACATCACCTATCGCCAGCCTCACTTCATGAAGCCGCTTTTGAACTCCGAGGGCCTGTGGGAGCTCGAGATGGATGTGTTGTCGGGCGGTGAGAGTTCTTTTGATTACTACGGCTTCATCTTGCGGAAGAAGGCCGAGCCATGACGAGTACGCATACGAGGATAGACAAAACTGCACGGGCTGTGTTTACTGCGGTAATCGCGAGAATAGAACATCTGACTATTAGTTGACCCCCCTATGCTGGTTGACCAGCCAAGTTACGTCCGTCGGAAGCATGGCAGGATGCTTGTCACGAGTGCTTCTTAACCGAAACATGTGCAATCCTCCTCAGAGGACGATTAAAAAGAAGGTCCACTGACCAGGACTATAGATACACGGCATCACTTCGTAGATCAGAAACCCAAATACCGATTCGCTCTTTCGATCAGAGCCCTCTCGCCCTCTCCCTCACCCGCCACCTGCAGTCTTGCCAAACCCATAGCCCTCCTTGCCTCGGGAGCAACAATAGCATCCTCCCCAGGTCGCCCGACGTGTGCGCTCTCCCCCTTGCCACCGGGGAAGTCTGGTCCAGGCAGTCCCTCCAAGAAGGCCTCCCGCTGCCTCTTGAGATACTCGACATTCTGATCCGTAAGCGGGCAAACGGGAATGTACAGCACGCTCGAATCCCCCTTGCCTTCGTGCACCAGGTCGACCGCATGAATCGAATCCGCGTGCCAGACCACGAAATCCCCAGGTTTGATCTTGGGCATGTGCACCATCGACGTGCCCAGCTCCAGGTGAGGGTGCAGCTTCTCTGTCAACTCCTGGCAATGCCCCGGCGTGGCGCCGTGCAGTTCCGAAATCATCCTCTCGCCGCCGGTAAACACCCAGTTGTCCTCTCTCAAGAACACCTCTCCGTCCACATCCTCCCTGAGCGGGTGGAAAAATGGCCTCAGGAGCAGGTACGCCGTGGTGTGCTGCACGAGCGGGTTGACCAGCAGCGTCCCCTCCCGCGGGCCGCTCGCGCTCATGCTCAGCCACCCCTGGAACATGCGGAACATGCTGCACGCGCCGGCGCCGTTGTAAAGGTCCTGGACGGCGTGCACACGCGCGCTGACGTCCCAGGGGTCGTACGACTCCCACTCCCCGCGGAACACGGCGTCGTAGGTGCCCGTCTTGCCGTAGCCGTCGCGCTCCCACCGCTCGAGTGAGCCTCCGTCGATGTGCGGGCCGAGTGCGAAGGTCGCGTCGCCGGGCTGTCGGATCCGCAGGCGGTCCGCGTACGAGAGGGGCTGGAGGGAGATTTCCGCCGACGGGGACTTGTTCCAGAGGTCACGCATGAGGGCCCTTTGCACCTTGAGCAGGTTCGGGTGGCCGCGGGCTTTGAGCTGAGGGTGGGACCAGTAGAGCTCGTAGACTTGTGGGTTGTCGGCGGGAAAGGCTGCGGACGTCAGTGGTTTTTGTTGATGACAAGAACGAAGAGATATACACACCTTTTGTGGACGGGTTTTTTCGCACGTATGCCTCGACCTCTTCCTTGTATCCCCTGGCCTCTTTTTCGTCAATAACGCCCCGGACGACAGCCGCGCCGCGCTTTTTGATCTCGCCCTTTAACCTGTTAATGTCGCCGTCGAGATCGTCGAACTCGATGCTGGGGATGATGGCGGGACCCTTGGCGGCGATCAATCCGTTCTCTTCTCTTAACGACCGCAGCAGCCTGCCCCAGGACTTGACCACGGCGTCCTCGCGCCCGGCCACGAGATGTTGTTTCAGGAGGCGGAAACGGTCTGGCAGAGGCTCTCTTGTCTCGCCGGACAGCGAGACGAAGACGGACGAGATGTCGCCCTCTTTCTTTGGGGCGTGTGCAGCTGATGCGCCCATCATGACGCCGCGTCGTTGAGGGACGCGAAGAGGGACGGGGGCAGCGCGGGCGGTACGAGATAAGGTAAGGAGACGAGACATTGCGAATTGTCTCTCGGTTGACCGAGAAGCTTGGCTTACGCTACAGTGGGGGATGTTCAAAGACGGAGCTGAGATGGTCTGTAAGTTGTGTTGGCCAAAGATCGTGTGCTCGGAATAGCGAGAAGAGGCTCCCAGAAATAGACAATATAAAGGGACGAACAAAGTGACTTCTCCCGACGAAAAACGATGATCAGTTCTCGCCGTCAACAGAGAAGCTGTCGTCCTTTCTTATAAAGGCTGAGCACCACCCTTCGTGTCGTCGGTGATTTCCTAAAAGGGAAGTCCGAAGACCTCTCGCGCGGACGAGAACGCGGGGCCCCGCCGGGGACCCGGCGCAGCGGCCGCAGATGACATGCAGACACCAACAATTAACCTTGCGAATTGGAACTGACTGCGAGCGAGCTGGCAGTGCGAAGGATGTCGCCGCTAATTCGTGGGGCATCCATCTATGCCTCCGCGGATCTAGACCGAGGGTTGGTTGCCGAATCAGAGCGTCGAGGGTGGTAAGACGTCAGCCGCGGAGGGAAGTCCGATCGTGATTTGGCCTGCAGAGTCGGAGTTGCCAAAGACATCAATCCTTAATTTTCACCACCAACTGGGTTGCATAGATGACGTGCAGATCATTCCGTGCCGTGTGAAGACACCAGCAAACCCGAGTTTCGTATTAAGTATCCCAAAAGGCGGCCGCTCTCCGCAAACTCCCCCAGATTCCCCGCCAAGACCGTCCTTCGCTGTCGTTACAGATGCACAAAAAAGGAACAGGTCGTCTACTCCGGCCCTACTTGCGGGTCTAGCAATACGATGAAATGGTACAAAAAAAATCCGGCCGTCTCCATTTCTCCTTCACTCCATGGCCCCGTTGGCCCTGCGTATGCGCGCCACTTCGCTCTGCAGTGCGCGGTTCTCCGTCTCTAACCCACCCAGTCTCTGCCTGGCGGCGGAGCGGTCTTGAGACCGCCCTTCACGTTCCGCCTTGAGCTTGTTTTCAAGATCACGCAGCTTGAAAATCCATCGGTTGTCGGTCGGATCTCGCTCCGCCAAAGCTGCTTCGAACGGGTTGTGATTAGCAGACCCCGGCGTCGTCATGGTATGGCTCGAAACACTGCGCGTCATCGTTGATGTTCGCTCGCCCTTACGTGGCTTCCTCTCACGGTCGCGAGGACCGGTCGGAATAGACGGAGACGGACTGCCGCTGATTGGCTCCGGGGCGACAGCGTTGGGGTCGTTGGAGGCCGAGTAAGCGGCCCTGCTTCTAACGTCTTGTGCGGTCCGGAGTGTCGCGTTCTCCACCTTGAGTTGACGGTACGCATCCTCCAGACGTGACATTCGAGCCTGATCATAAGCCCCAAGAGTGCCAGAAGCCATGCTGTTGCGGACAATCGTCTCGAGCCGCTCCAGCTTCTTCGTCCGAGTTTCCAGGTTCGTCTCGAGGCTTTGGTATTCGCGCCACAGGTCTCTCTCTACACCCTTGATGCGAGAGGAGAACCCGCCGATCATGGTCTCGATAGTCTTCACTGCCGCTAGCAGGTTTTTGCTGAACCCTGGAAGCATGGTGGCGACCGCCTCGAGCGAAGGCAAGGCACGACCATTGATCAGACTGTTGTCGTGAGCCCAATCGGTTCCACAGAGAGCCGAGAGTCTTGTCCAAAGCACAAGCAGCAGGTTGTTGCGCTCCGTCAACTGGTCCTTGAAGTGCGCCTCAAGGTGTGCAATCTTCTTCTTGTCTTGAGTGCGCGAAGACTCGAGCTCGGAAATACGCAGGTCCTGCGTGCTGACGGTCCTTGTAACGTGCTGATGCGTCTTTTGGAATGTCTCAAACGAGTTCTTCGTGGTGCGGTGTGCCTGGATCTCCTTCTCAAGCTCAACTGCGAGCTTGCGCGACTCCAAGCCATGTGACTCGAGCAGGGCGTCTCGTTGCTTGATAATGCGGTCCTTCTCGACCAAGGAGGCTTTTGTCGTGTCCAGTTCGCGGACGGTGTTCTCGAGCTCTCGTTGAAGCTTGGCAATCGACTGGATCTGTCAGCGCGTGAAATCCCTGTGGTGGAAATTCCGCTCACCTTGAGGAGACTGGAGCGTGTCCCATTAAGATCGCCCAGCGCCTCCCTGAGATTGTTCTCGAGCTCCATGAGCCGTTCCTTCCACTCAGTGGCCTCGACTTCGCGGGAGGTAAGACTCTTACGCAGCCTCCGTGCCTCGTCTTTGGCGGCCGACATCTCCCGGTTAAGGTCGTTGACGAACTGTTGCACCTCCTCCTTCTCTTTGTTGGCCACGATCTCGCGCTGGCGACGCTCCGTTGCAAGTCGCTGCTCGAGTTCTTTGATACGTTCGCGCTCATCACGAAGGCTCTGCTCGGTGTTGGCGATCGCCGCCTCAAGATCTCCGATGCGGATCTTGTCGCCCTCCTGCTCTTCACGGAGGAACGCGATCTCGCCTTGACTGGATTCTTGCTGCACGCTGAGCCGCTGCGCTTTATCGTTCGACTCAAGCAGCTTGGCCTCAAGTTCCTCCGATTCCTTGTTAGCGTCCGAGAGTTCTTGCTCCAGCTGCTGTATTCTGCGAATCTTGGCCGCTTGGTCGTCCTCCAGTCGCACCAGTGCTTCGCTCATCTTTCGCATCTCCTCCTGCAACGCATCGAAATTCTCGGTCCTGTCGTTCAGCTCAAGCTTGAGCCTGTCTATTTCGGCCGCGTGTTGATCGGCCTCGCCCTCGAGCGCGTCAATCTCCTCCTGGGCCTCTTTCCGCAGTGAGTCGAACTCGGTTTCCATGTCGGCCTGCTCCCTGAGTGCCTCGTCCCGCTCGGCCTGTAGCGCTACAAGATCATTCATAGCATTGTCGAGGTCTTCTTGGAGGGCACCAGCAAGCTCTTCGGCTTCTCGCTTCCCGTCGATCGCAGTCTCAAAGTCGGCCATGCACCCCTCGAGTTCGCGCTGCAGTTCCTGGTTTTGCAGTTTGACTTCGTTGATCCTGTCTCGCGTCTCGGCAAGCTTTGTCTCGAGCTCCTCGCGTTCCAGCTCGTCGATCTCAGTCATCTGGGTCCTGCTGGCGCTCACGCGGGACATGGACCGACGGTGAGCTCCGGCTCGGGATGCCGACCGCTCCAAGAGAGAGTCGACAGTCGACGGCGCCGGTCCTCCACGTCGCTGCGCCATCTTGAGATCCTCGATCTCCTGGTACAGACGCTCCTTTTCTCGGTTCCTCGACGTGAGCATCGACGTTTGCGCTCCGACTTCGCGTCGTAACTCGGCGTTCTCGTGTCGTAGCTGCTCACTTTCTCTTCGCAGCTCCTCAACAAGGGTGCTTGCGGCACTGAATCCACCGTTTGTTTCGATATCACCGGAAAGCCCCGAAACCGGGCGACTGGGCGAGGTCTGGCGCTGCTTCTTCGTAATGTTGTAAATGTTGGTTGTGTGATGCATTCCGCCGTGACCACTGCTCATCTCTTGCTTCATGCGAAAAATCTCATCGCGGAGCTTGCGGTTGTCCTCGTCGGACTGCTCTCGACGGGCCGTCTCCTGTTCGAGGAGATCCTTCCAGACGTCGGCCTCCTCCTGGCTACCGAGGTTTCCGCCCGTCCTCTCGCCGAGTGATTTGACGACCTCGGCCAGCTTGCGCTTCTCAGCCTCCTTAGACATGCTGTCATTGCGCAGCCTCTCGAACTCGTTCTCGTACGCCTCCATGCGCTCTCTAAGGTAAATGATCTCCTCCTCGCGGTCCTGGGCGTCCTGATCGAAGGAATCGTTGGAAGAGGTTCCACTTTTCGCAGTTCCGGGTCGTTCTTGGTCGTCCTTCAGTTGCTTTTCCAACTCCTTGACCCTCTTCCGCAGGGCCTTGTTGTCGCGCTGGATGACGGCCAAGCTTGTCTTGAGCTCCACGTTCTCCGAGATCATCTCCTTGACACCCTCTTCAGACAGCTTGTCAAGGCGATCGCTCAGAAACATGACCTTGAGCTTCAAATCAAAATTTTCTTTGGAGAGACGCTCGATTGTGCTGCTTTGCTCCTTCAGGGTCAAGTTCTTACCAGACCGTGTAGATGCGCCAAGCGGTGCTTCTGAGGGTTTCCGAGGCGTGACAAAGCCGCTCTTAGACCTGTATTCCTTGGCCAGCGACTCGGGTACCTGCACGTTCCTGACATGGCGGGCGATGACGGTATCGGTGGGGGCGGTGAGGTTTTCCTTGGACGGCTTCGGGGTCGCCAGGAGGTCTTCGTTTCTGTTGGTGCGGCGTGGGGTGAAGCCGGTCTCGACCTCTTCAAGCGTCTCCAGCTGGCTTGGCAGCGACTCGGGATCGTCCAGGCCTGAAGCCATGCTGCCGATGCTCACCGACCGCGACAAGATGCTGCTGAGGCTGCGGGGCAAGCTCGTGGTCGTGGCAGCACCGCCAGACTGAAGGGCGAAGTCGGCGCCAAGATTGGCGGTGCCGTCACTTTCGAGATCGTCGTGGGAGTCGGGGTTCGTGACGAAGGAGGACACAGAAGACCTCTGGCTCGTGGCACGGCTGCGCAGATACTTAGGCCGGCTGCCGTAGCGCAAGGCGAGTCCTGGAGTGTTGCCTGCGTCCACCGGACCGCCGTGTAGGCTCCCATCGGACCTCTTGCTGCGGAGGGTTGTGGAAACTGACTCAGCGGCAGACTCTGCGCGGGAGTGTGTCGGTTCCTCGTCCGTCTCGTCGGCGAGCGGCTCTTGCGAGTGCTTGTCTGTGCGGTTGCTCGCGCTGGAGAGAGTCCGAGAAATAGTTCTTGCGGCGGCGGCGGCGGCGGGGGAAGAGGACATTTGCTCGAGAGATGATGTGGTATTGGAGAGATTCACAGACGCGGAGTCTTGCGGCTTCAGCTCGGAGAATCCATCGACTGTTGAGTTATCGCCAGGGGGGCCGGGACTGGGACTCGCGGGGGGCTGCGTCCGAGTGGTAGACTTCGCAGAGGCCGCACCGTCGAACAGGTAGGTATCGTCGGCGCCTTCGTGAGTTATGGTTGGTATGGGAGAAAGGCGGGAGACGAAGCTCGACTCGACATCCTGCAGGTGAGCTCGAACAGCGGATTCGGCAATGGAGTCGCCATGGCGCGAGTCGTCGTAGGAAGGGCCTTGGACGAAGCTACTGTCGAGGGCGGCGTTGGTTTGGGGACGCGGGGGAGGAAGCATGGAGTCGTGTTGAGGTCGCGAGTTCGTTTCGATTATGGGGTTGGGCGAGGATCTGCGGTCGGGAAGGGTCTCATAGTTGTCGAAACGAGTCTTGGTGGGCGTGAGTTGCGATTCGTCCGGCGTGGGTGTGGTACTGTTATTCTGTCGTTGATCTGAATGTTCTGACCCTTGCCCTTGGCTTGGTGTGAAGTCGTCGACGGTCAAGCTGTCGTCGTCGTCGTGGTCGATACGGCGGGCTGTGGTTGGGCGGGAGTCTTCGTCAAGGCGGCTCCTGGACCGGCTCGCCTCATGGTCCATGATGGCTTGTGGCTGGGTGGATCGGACGATGCATTCGGCTGGTGGGAGGGCCCAATCCTTTGTCTGTAGCTGACAGTACTGTGTAGTCGTGAGTGTTGTCGTCAAAGGGGGGTATAGTAAGGTCGGGTCGGGTGATGATGTTTTGTCCGAGGTTTCGTATAGGGGTATTATCGATTAATAGGCCGAATTGCAGAAATGCTGGAGAAGGAGGTTGTCGGCCGCGGCGACGTAGCTATCTTGGGAGATGTCAGAATTTGCAAAGAAAACGCCGGCGGTAGCGGTGACACTGGCGTCCAGCCCGATGCAGATTGACTGACGGGACACAAGTGCACGTACGTACCTTGATCATTCGGGCGTTCCTTCTGTTGTTGTTTTTGTCGTTCGTCGCCCGCGCTGCAGTCTCCAATTTTTAATCGGAAGGGACGTGTCTTCTTCCTGAGCTGATCGAACCGGCCAGATAGCTTCCCCAAGCTGCGCGACAATTGCAACACGATTGGAATGAAGCGCTCGGTCCCTCTGAGATGTTCATATGTCGTGCCTTCTTTTTTTTTTTCCGCCTTGCCCTTCAAGCTTGAAGCATCACATTACATCTGGCCCCTGTCTTGTTCACGGTCGAGATTCTGTGACATGCGCACTAGTCCGTATTAGGACATGGAACAGTGGGGTCGATTGACGAAAGCGGTTCAATTGAGTCCTGCGACGCCCCATCCACAGACGGCGGCGTGGTGGGGGCGAGTGCGGCCGGAAAAACATGTCGGAGACCTGGACTGGCGGGCGGGACCTGGACCTAGTGGGCCCCGTACCGATTCCGGCTCCATCCGACATCACGTGACTGAATTCAGTGTCTCGGCTTTACTCCGGTTCCACCCGTGCGTCCCCGTCCCGGGCATGCCTTGGCTCAAGTCACTTTGTGGCTGATGCCTACACAGAAGAAATTTCAAGGCATCTCATCCATCACAGCTTCCAAACAGCCAAATACCTATCTATTCGCTCGCGGGCACTCATTCAGAGCAGCGCTTAGGTGACGTCTGATCTGTTGAATTCCAGCGTCTCCTTCAGCAGTAGCCAACATACACCATCTTTCAACTGCTGAAGCGTCCTCTCATACGACCTTGGCCCGCGAACCGCAAGTGAGGAGTACGATTGTATTAGGCGTTATGCTTTCATTCATTCCAAGTATATCATGAAATAAATAGTTCTATCGAGTGCTAGAGAAATCATTGCCGCATTGTCTTGAATGGCAGAAATCAAACGTATGTTAGGTTTCACTCTTCCAACAATTCAGTTTGTTTCCAAGTACATCTTGTCCCTTGGCATGCTGTGGACCGAACCTACTTGGAATCTGTGACAGGCCATTTCTCGGAACAAGTCAGAGGTGATAGCAGCAGTGAGATTGGTTTGAACGAATGAGATCCAGAAATCACTCAATCGGGTCGAGGAGTGAGCCTGGGGGTGGGATACCTCTCGAAGACGCGCTCTGTGTAGTGTGTTCGCCTTCTGTTACCCGATTGAGGATTTCAGGTCATGGTCGTGCGGCTGAAGGAGATGAATGGGGGGCCGATTCCCCGCTGATTACTTCAGTCTGTGGGGTGAAGATCTGCCACGCGCGCCAAGTCAGAACAATAAATCGCCGCGTCTTCACGGCCAATGGCGGGAGATTGAATTCATTTGTGAAAAAAGCGATTGGTGCTGTGGTTGATTGATCATTGTGAATGAGATGACGGACCCCAGATCGCCAGACACTGAATTGATGCTGGAAATGGAACGCAAACTTGAAGACAGGTACGCCAACGCCGCGTCGCTAACCGACGTGACATGTTCAGGGCCCGCAAGTGAGGGCGCGTGACGGAGCAATAAGTAATGGTCTTAAGTCCCATCGATCAACACTGTCCACTGTCTGCGCGCGGCTTGAGCCTAATAGTCGAGTGCAACGCCGAGTCCGAACGAGCGGTATGTGTGTTGCAGTCGCTTGCAAACTCTGTAGCTATCATCAATTGACGTCCGTCGACACTGCGACACTGCTAAATCCATGAGAATACGCATTTGCTTGACATCGTCGTGACGGCACGCCGACTGGAGATGACAACTTACTCTTATTGGCTTTAGCCCTGCTTTATCGGTCGCTGGTGCGTGGCTAGTATGTGTCAAAACTCATTCATTCACATCATAGTAAGGTATGCCCTGCGCATGGCCGGAAGTCCGGTACAGCTGTCGAAAAAGGCACGGCTATGAGTGCCGTCAACGAGGCTTCCAGATGATTGCCAGTTGCGTATGGGACTCTTCTGGCTCCGCTGTGAGGGGACAGACTGGAGGGGCAAAGACACTGAGGACGGAGATTAAGGAGGGAAAATGACGGTAGACCCAGCGTGCCTGGTGGCGGATGGATCAAAGGGAAGATTATGGAACTCACTCACCTCCGGGCTCATGGTGTCGCGCCGGCGTCTGCGAGTCCCGCATCAGCTTCGGGTATCCTTCCATTGTATTCTGTCGGGTCCGGTCATCTTACAGATACTGTACCGTTCTCAACCTCTCCATAGGCGCCCACGATACGTGTTGTGTGGGTGCAAGTGTGTGGATAAGTCTTCTTCCCTTGGCCTTGAAGCCTCGGCTTCAGCTCGCACTTCTTTGGCTCATGGCCGCGCACCCCTTTTCCCTTGATGCCATGTTCTATTCGACTGATCTTTGTAACAGGTTCAGCCCGATTGGGTGGCCAGGTCTGTTTTTGGTTTCTCGGACGAACGTTCCCCACGTCGGCCCCGATGACAACCAGTCGTGCTTAGGCGCGGTTATTAACTTCGGACGACCGTTCGTTTCCTGCCGTTTCGCATGTCGAAACAACCCTGCTCGTTTTAATCTATCTGCCATGAGGTGCCCAATCAACGGTAACACCTTTAACATAACCCCCCCTTTGTCATTATGTCCAGGCCATTAATGTCATCAAACACACTGAAAAATTCTTGACCCTCTGGCGACGGCCGCGCCGCCATGCGGCTGGCTGACCGGCAAAACCATGCCATCCCAAGGGGAAAGAGTCCTTTGCCGGGCGTCTATCCAAAGTCTGTCGCATCGTGACCGCTTCTCGCTGGCGGCACTGCGTACCAATACCGGGCCCAATGTCGGCACTGGTTTCCTAGCTCGGCCGGGCCCTTTTTTCGCCTTGCCCCGGGGTCCCCTCCGACCGGACGTCACCCGACGGACCCTCAATCCTCATCTATCTGACTCGCCTTACTATTATTCACTCCCCTATTCGTGCAATGCTCGAATTGCGTCCGCCTTCATCGCCCCATGGTGCGCCACTGCCCACGATGCCGGATCCCGACTACGCCAACGTCCTTGGCTGGATCCTCATGGATCTCGGCGTGTTGGCCCCTCGATGGGGTCAAGGCCAGGGACGCCGTTGCAAGCTCGCAGGCGTGCGTCCCGATCTGGGCCTTTGACGGTCATGGCTTTCAGGGGGGATCCATCGCGAAGAAGGATAGATATAATACACTCTTCAGATCCTGATCTTGTCAGGTCGTCCGCTCCTCTCGTTCTCTCTCCATCGTTGCCACAAACTTCGTTTCTGTTCCTCTTGCGCTGGTTGCTCTTGTCTTTCTTCTGCCCTCTGCGACGGGTGTACTCTCTCTTCCACACCATCGTGTGCCATTCATTTCTATACCTCGCCTTCCGACGACAACAACTTAACCACATCTCACACTCTTTCGAGCAACAACGACCCCACTATCCTTCATCATGTTCAAGTCCCTCCTTACCACGGGGCTCCTGGCCGCCGCGGCCACTGCCCAACAGACGACGGCCTACACCGACTCTGCTACCGAGATCAAGTTCCAACGCTACACCGAGACGAGTGGCTTCTCTTTCGGTGTTGCCCTCCCCTCCACCGTCGGCAAGGACTTCATCGGTCAGATCTCCGCCCCCATCACCGCCGGCTGGGCTTCCGTCTCCCTCGGCGGTCCCATGACGAACAAGCTTCTTGTCGTTGCCTGGCCCAACGGAGACTCTGTCCAGACATCACTGCGCAAGGCCTCCGGCTACTCCAACCCCGATGTTGTCGACGACTCTAGCATTACCCTGAAGCCCATCAACGACGGCATTTCCATCAACGCGACCGCCTTCACTTACACCTTCTTGTGCGAGGGCTGCATCACCGGTGACACCACGTCCTTCACCGGCACTGCTGACACCACCACCTTCGGCTGGGCTTACAGCACCACCGCCCTCTCCGACACCACCAGCGCTTCCGTCGCTCTCAACTACCACGGCGCCGGCTTCGGTCTGTTCGGTGCCAACCTCGCCGATGCCAAGTCAGCCGACTACGACACCTGGGCCGCCAAGGCCTCCGACGCCGTCACCACTCCCACCATTGGCAACGGCACCACTCCGGCCGTCCCCGCGAACGTCACGACTACCATCTCCAACTCCACCTATGATTACATTGTTGCTGGTGGTGGTGCCGCCGGTCTCATCGTTGCCCAGCGTCTTGCCGAGTCTGGCTCCAGCGTTCTTCTCCTCGAACGTGGCGGCGCTTCTCTGGCGTCCACCGGAGGCAAGGCCAATGTCGACTGGAACAGCACCGTTACCCAATACGATGTCCCTGCCATGGGCTACTACCTCTCGACTGCCAAGGAGACCAGCGAGTACTGCACTGACACCGCCAGCATGGCTGGCTGCATTCTCGGTGGCTCGACAATGGTCAACGCCATGATGTGGGTTAAGCCTCCTGCTCACGACTTTGACGACAAGTGGCCTACCGGCTGGAAGTGGAGCGATGTCGAGGAGTCTGCCAACAAGCTGTACGAGCGCACCCCCGGCACCATTCTGCCCAGCAAGGACGGTAAGCGTTACGACCAGGGCGCCTACGATGTCATGTCCCAGTGGCTCGCCAGCAACGGCTTCTCCGAGGTTGATGCCCTCGCTGAGCCCGACAAGAAGGACGCCGTCTTCAGCCACCCCCCCTGGTTGATTGAGGACGGTCTTCGCGGCGGCCCCGTTCGTGACTACCTCCCCTTGGCTCAGGCTCTTCCCAACTTCAAGCTGCAGCTCAACGCCAAGGTCATCCGCGCTGTCCGCAACGGCACTCAGGTTTCCGGTGTTGAGATTGAGACCGGTAAGAACCAGCGTCAAATCATCAACCTCAAGGCTGGCGGTGCCGCGATCCTCTCTGCCGGTGCCCTCTCCACCCCTCGCATCCTCTACAACAGCGGTATCGGTCCCAAGGAGCAGATCCAGACTGTCAAGAGCGGCTCTACCCAGGTCACTCTTCCTGCCGAGGCCCAGTGGATTGATCTCCCTGTCGGCGAGAACCTCAAGGACCACCCCATCTACACCGTCACCCTCAAGACCAAGTCCAACCTCAACTCTCTGGCCAGCACCGCCTTCACCTCGCCCGACCAGACCGATGTTGACTTGTTCGCCAAGGGTTCTGGTCTTCTCTCCCAGGCCGGCCAGCGCTTGAACTTCTGGACCAGCGTCCAGGGCTCTGACAACCAGAAGCGCTACGTTCAGGGCACCGTCAACTCTCCCAGCAACGACACCGTCAAGATCAAGGTCTACCTCACCCACGGTCTGACCTCGTCCGGTACCCTCGGCATCTCTGCCGATGGCTCCACCAAGATCACCACTGAGCCCTACCTGACCACCGACGGCGACAAGGAGGCCATCACCTCCTTCATGAGCCAGCTCATCTCGTACGCCTCCAAGTCCAACAGCACTCTGACCATCTCTGGCAACGCCACCGCTGAGAGCCTCATTGCCGAGCACACCACTGGCAGCCACTACGTCGGCACTGCCATCATGGGTGCCGAGAACGACGGAAAGAGCGTCGTTGACACCAACACCAAGGTCTGGGGTACCGACAACTTGTACGTCGTCGACGCCTCCATCCACCCGGACCTCCCCACCGGCAACACCCAGGCTATTGTCATGGTTGCCGCCGAGCACGCCGCTAAGCAGATCCTCGGCGGTGGCAACGCCGGTTCCGGGTCCGGTTCCGGCTCTGGCTCTTCCTCCGATAACTCCGGCTCCGGCTCAGCTTCCGGCTCGGGCTCGGGCTCGGGTACCGGTGGCTCTGGAAAGGCCGGATGCAAGCGTTCCACCAAGCGCGCCAGCAAGCTTCAGCGCCTCCAGCGCTTCCGCCGTTCCCACCACGCCTGAACAACACCAACCACCTTCATGTTACTATAGCTTCGTCATTTGACTCATTTCGTCTGTAAATAAAATGCCGGGTCAATCCCGCAGTGCGTGTACAAATCCAAAAAGTTACCATAAACTATCTGTCTTCCAATAGTCTGCCCCTAGCGGTGGCACTGAGATGCTTTAGCCTTCTCGGTCTCGCCAATGCACTTGCACTTTGACTTTTGACTGCGGGCCCACTGTGGTATGAGCAGGGCAGCCGCTCAGATGATCCCAGGATAAGCCATGTGCCGAAACGTCTCATGAGGGCGCGAGCACGGCCATCAGTCAGAGCACTCGAAGGAAGCTTTGAGTACAAATAAACGTCAATTAAGGTTCAGTTTGTCTGCCCAGGGACCGACAGCTTTGAAGTGGTTTTCAACCGAAGTTGCGAGTCATTTCCTGTTCCCCCTCTCCCGTATTCGTGCCGTCAAAAGCAACAAGGCGCGTGAACATGTGCTCTTTCAACCTTGCGAACTTGCCGCAAGCCCATCCCACGCGCTTCTCGCGCAGGACTGACCAAAGGCCATCTCGTTGATGTGAGGTCAACATGGGGCCTATCCAGATCCTGCCGACGCTGACCACGCTCGCGACCCTGGTATGGGTATGTCGCGGGGAGGTCGATCTATCGCAGCGAGACACCAACCTCCCGGAATGCGCAGTATGTCCGATCCTGCTTCTTCGTTGACACCGAGTGTCGCTGATGGGCCCATGATCCTAGGCGTCCTGCTGGCGGATGGCGATCCCGTCAATGTGTGGATCGTGGGAGAACGCACAATGCATCTGTCAAGATACCAACTTCGACCTGGCTGTGACCCAGTGCATGACCAAGTCGTGTCCTAGGTTGTCGACATTTGGTATGTTATCTGCAGGCTAAGGACTGTGTTTCTTGCTTATGATTCGATAGCAACTTTACGAGAATGGGATACGATGTGCGACAAGCCCCGTGGTGACCGCAAAGGAGTTTGGCCATTTCTCCCGGTTCATTTGTTCGCCATGATATGTGTCTTGGCTCGTCTTTACTCCAAGTCATGGGTCATACGCCGATTCGGGACGGATGACTGGGTCATTACCATCACCTACATCCTATACATAGGTTGGTTCTCGATTGGACACCATAGTAAGTAGATCGCAAACCAGAGGAAACAGGATATGTGTGTGTTTTTAACGCAAACAAAGTATTCCAGAAGGCCTTTGGAACGGACATCTGGTGGACCGATGCGGACACGCTGACGTGGGCACTTAAGGTAACTAGCCAGTTGATCCTAAAGAAATGAGGACGACCTCCCGTCAAAGTAATTTACTAACCTGGCAACCAGCTATTTTATATCGACGCGCCGATTTACTTGCTTATTCTCGGACTGACCAAGATCTCCATCTTATGCTTCTACCTTCGGCTTTTCCCATATCAACGCTTCTGCCGACTTTGCTACGTGGTCTTGGCTATCGTTACAACGAGCACGAGCTTGTGGGTGGTACTCGCCATCATCCAGTGCAGGCCCATATCATACAATTGGGAGGGTTGGAAAGGCGACTTCCCGGGACCGGTACACTGCGTGAACTTGAATGTACTATCTTGGACCACTAGTGCATTCAGCATAGCGCTCGACACTATCATTCTGATCATGCCAATGCCACTCATAATCAGGGTCAAGTCAACGCCCCGGCGCAAGTTTGCAATCATCTCCATGTTCAGCCTGGGCATAATCATCGTTATTGCTAGCTGTTTGCGTCTCCGGTTCAACATCCTATACGGGGACTCAGTCAACATCACCTGGGACTACGTCGACCTCATGATTTGGACCGGGGTGGAGGTCGCAACCAGCATCACAGTGACCAGCTTGCCGTCCATTCGCTTGATGCTGCATCGACTTTTCCCCGGGTTCTTTGCTCGGATCTTTGCGTTTGGCGGGCACGTCGAGGAAGATCGCGAGCAGTACCTGGAGATTAGAGAGACACAGCATCGCGACATCGAGCAAACAGGTGCGAAAGGTGTCATTCGTCGCTTGAGGATAGCCCACAAAAAGCATGAGCCACCACTTACTGTCGGAGGCGGAACTCCTCAAGCCAGAGAGAGACGAGCGAGTGCTGCTGCCGGGGCTACAGGTAGTCCAGGGCGGCCTGCGCGGACGGAAGCAAGCCGTGTCCTAGCTAGTATCATGGGGAGCATTGCGAGTTCTTTCAGGGACTCGACGTCGACTGCGAGGGACTCCGTTGACGACTCGATTACGGTCACAACGGAAATCACTATCACTACGCAAGAGGAGCGTTTGGAAAATGGAGATGCTGAGAGTTCTGCCACCCAGCAGTCCCGAGAGCTGATAGTCGGCGACGAACGATCGAGCTTGGGGATTGGAGACTGGAGCGACAAGAAATGGGATTGGAATTTCAGTGGCAGGCATAATGAGGACTTCGGATAGTCCGTAGGTTGTATGTTACTATATGATGACTGGAGCTCGCTCAAGGAACAACGTGAGCTTGGCGGTTGATGATTTGATGATATCAACTCATATCAACTCTCAGTGCACTCTTCCGTCGGACAGGTTGGCCGCATTCCTCAGTCTATAGGTGATATCGGCTGGTCAGATGCATGAACACTTCGGTATTCAACGGCCCCATTATTAAAAAGATGGAAGGACGGCACGGATCGGATATGCCCCACTTTAAAGTCGGACCGGATCCGCCGCAACCGTCACATCCGGCATCAACAAACACAAGTTTGTGGTTAGCTTTGAGCGAAATCTTATCGCGGCCCCCTTAGGAGAGAATGTATCACTCGAACAAGTCCGTATCCTATACCGTCGACGCTGATAAGGAGCCAGCCCACGAGAGCACCGCAGAATGCCATTTTGTTGCTGTGAAGCGCTACAATGTTTTCCAAGTCACAGCACACCACCTCGCATCTGCCCCGGATGAAGTGAATAAGTCGCCGAGATGAAGAGATGCGACACTCAGCCTCTCCAGACTTTCGGCCCGAGCATCGGCTTTCTCATGAGCTGTTTTTCAACAGCTACTGGAGTAACATCCACCCAGCACTGCTCCCACATCCCGTATTCGGGAAACCTCCGACCTTTTCCGCACCGACAAGCCGGGGATTTTACGGCAGTCGGTTCTCCGAGCTCACATTTTCCATCCACCGACTGCCGTTGTTCATGAGCCTCGGACGGTGGTGGATATTCCACGGCGCACGATGTGGAGGCTAATTAACATTGGCTCAACCGATGTGACGGCACCTCTGCGCCGATCCTCCACAGCACGGCAGTTTACGGCAATTGATGATCGCTGTTTATCAATCGCATCTTATCAGATGCCGGGATGCGGGAACGGGCTACACCGTTCGTTTAGTGGACGGGATGGTGGTTCCTTGGAATGGTGCTGGATCGCATTCAGAGACCCCGTCAAAAGACCAGGGACCCGGCTTCGATGATGAAAATTTTGGATGGACTTCAGTTCAGTCAGCCGATGTCGGGAAACACGACGATGGCTGGACAGATGTGATAAAGTACAAAAACTTCGCCGTAGCTCATGCTGCCATCTCGCTTCCCTTCCTGCGCCAGGCCTTTCTCTCATTCCCTCACGCCACATAAGCCCTTGCTCACCATGGCTCGCCTCACATCTTTCGTCACCGCGGCTGCTTTGCTCGGCTTCGGCCGCGTGGTTTCGGGTCAAAACAGCACCACAGACCCGTGGCCCTGGCAGACGTACCGCTCCGAGCCTGCCCTTCAGCCCCCTTCGCTCAAGATCACTCAGACCGGCGAGATCGCCGAAGGTCACTTGTTCTTTGACCAGTCCGGCTCTGGCGGTCACAACTACTCCGTCTTCATCATGGACAACGGCAACGAGCTCATTTGGGAGGGCACGTACGGTGACATCTCTGCGTACCGTGCCCAGGTTCTGGACGGCGAGCCGGTCATTACGTACTTCACGGGCATCACCTTCCCCGAACCCTACGGATTTGGGTATGGAGCAGTCTTCATTTTCGACCAGACGTACACCAACATCATCAACGTCACCTTGCCTCAAAACAAGGACGGCTTGAACCTGCAAACATTCTCAGGCTGGGATTCTTCCGGTTTGGCAGAGGGAAGCTGGATCGATATGCATGAGAACCTGATCACCCCCGAGGGCACGATGTTCATCCCAGCTGTCAATGTCACCCAGACCGACCTGACGTCTGTTGGTGGTCCAGCCGACGGGTGGATCGTCGACTCCCTTTTCTTCGAAGTTGATGTGAAGACCAGTGACATCCTCTTCCAGTGGAGCCACCTTGATCACTTGGACGAGATTCCCTTGGTCGATTCCGCAGCCGTGTACCCCTTGGGTGACATGGGTAACCAGTCGTACCCGTGGGGACCTTTCCACATCAACTCCGTTGAGAGGTTTGCGGATGGTGGCTTCCTGGTGTCTTCTCGGCACTACTGCTCCATCTTCAAGATCGCCAAGAACGGCTCTGTCGAATGGACCCTGAACGTGAGTTGCACCGTTGATAACATATAGGCGATGATGAATCCCTTACTGATATTCCTTCAGGGCCGTACCGGCGGCGACTTTACCCTCAAGAACGGTCTCTCATTCTGCTACCAACACGACGCCCGAATTCACGCCGAGGGCAACGGCACGGCTCTCATCTCGCTCTTCAACAACGATAACAGTGCGGTCGAGTCAGGCATTAACCAGACGTCTGGTATCTTCCTGAATGTGAACACAGCCACTTGGGAGGCCACCATGACCAAGGAACTCATCGACGAGAACGACACCATCTTCGCCGTCTCCCAGGGCAATGTTCAGGTGCTCAACGACGGCACCGGTCACGTCGTCATGGGATACGGCAGCACCCCCAAGATCAAGGAGTTCAACGCCGACGGCGAATGCGTCTTCACCGCCCAATTCGGCGAGGACAAGCTCGTGCAGAGCTACCGCAACTACAGACTCCCTTGGGTTGGTAAGCCGTACTACGCCCCCAAGGCGTTCGCGTGCAGCAGCGGCAACCAGACCGAGGTCTACATGAGCTGGAACGGTGCTACGGAGAACAAGAAATGGACTGTCTTTGGCGGTGACGCGAAGGACGCTTTGATCGAGAAGGTGACTGTTGACAAGTCTGGATTTGAGACCAAGGCCACTTTCAACGGTGCTGCTCAGTACGTGAGGGTTGAAACCGCTGGCGAGGGCATTGAGACGGGTGTCAGTGACGTGATTGCCGTCGACACCCAGTGCTAGGTCGTCTAGCCCACTATATCATTATCATTATATGTATATTTTAATTTTCTAGTCAGAGGAATCGAATGTCAACTCGGACCAAGAGGCAATTCGACAACATGCATTACATCAAAACGCATTGAAACCACAGTGAACTCCAGGACTGGACAGTCTTGATCTCGCAGTATCAAGATGAAAAGCCGAGCGAACAAGGCAGAGAGACAAGCTATTGTTTGCATTGGGACGTCCTGGACACCAAAGTAGGCTGTCAGCAACAGTATCGGGGTCATGGGGCCTCCCGGGCGGAGACTTTTCGGGTGGCGGCTCACATTATTTCCGGAACGTATAGAATGGCTGTTCTTAAAGTAGACCATGGTATCCAAATGAAATGAGTAGATGTGTCGATGATAGGTCGTGCATGGCTTCCGGGATATTCCAACTGCCAAGGTCGGGATTTGGGATCAGTAATGCGAGAGCAAACGACCGCGCACCTAGATGCGTATCCTTGTGCACGCAATGCGCCTCTACAAGCCAGGGAATTATGCACGATAAGTCTAGACCTCACCAACGCTGGCATCGTCATCCGATCATCAATCAAACTGCCGAGCACTAGGAGCCGTAGTCTCGGAAAGAAATTGCATCGCGGGAACGGGATGGTCAGATTGCAAGGGTAATTAGCATCTTTCAATATGAAGCCAATCCGGGAATTCGCTGCAAGATGATTGATTCATCCGGGGATAACGGAGTGGAAGCCTCTTCTCGCCAACACCAGGATTGTGGGATCGGCGCCGGGTTTCAAGTTAACGAGCAAATCTGGCACATCGTTTACAACGCGTACCTGGCCTGCTTATTAAATGACCCTGCTTCTCCACGAAATCCCATTAGAATGGCTCGGCGTAGGGGGCGAAGACTGGTTAAAAAGGAGACGTGCCGCGGATGTTGGTTCGTAGATGCGATGAACCACGGCGATTTTGACGCCATTGTCACTCATTTGCTGAATTCACAGTCTTTACAGTAGCTTCTCCAAAATGCACATCAGCAGGTTCGTGGCGTCGGCCGTCATGGCCTCGACCGTAACCGCTGAGACCAAGTTCTGCGGCGCGCCCAACGATTACGAAGTCCTCATGGGCACTCCGTGGATTGTCTACTCGATGAACTACAACTACAAGTCGATCAGCGGATCATGCTGCACGGCGTACTCGGGCACGTCGGGCGAGGGTGATGCGCAGCGCATTCAGTGGAGCAGCATTTGGGAGATCGACCCGAATGTTAACAAGGACGTCGTCAAGGGATACTCCTTCATCGGCCTGACGCAAAACCTCGAGACCCGTCTGAGTGACATCAAGAGCATCCCAAGCACGTACGACTGGACCGTCTCCAACACCTCTGCCTATAAGGGTGAGTTAATCAAAAGCCATGCCGCTTCTCAAGTAAATGCTCACGACACAGGCAACGTTGTGTACGACTTCATGACCTCCGACACCAAAGGCGACAGCACGTCGAGCTCCGCGCAAGAACTCATGTTGTGGCTTCGATACGAGGGCGGCCAAGTGCCGATCGGGTGGGCCGAAGGGCCGACGGCGACTATTGATGGCCTCTTTGGCAAGGACGGATGGAAACTCTACCAGGGCAAAAACACGGACACGGGCATCACGGTTTCGTCGCTTTTGGTGCCGGAGAACAACCAGTTCGGAGACCTAGAGAACGGTTCCTTTGAGGGAGACATCAAGGACTGGCTGTCTGCGTTGGCGAAGCAGGGTGTGTTCTCGGAGAGCACATACGTCAATGTCGGAAATGCGGGCATGGAACCTTATTGGGGTACCGTCACGTTCAACAACACCCTCGGCTTGAGGATCAACCTTTGAAAGGCTGGAGAGTGCATTTACTTCGTGTATTGTCCGTACGTATCCTAAACGTTGTATGTTGTTTGCTCGGAGAGAATCTCTGCAGCAGCCTTAGTCTCGCAATGTGATGACGCCGCTCATGACCTTCGTCGCCTTCCCTCCAAGGTGTAGCGTCCTCAGCAAGCGCGTGCCGTCTGCGGCCTGGCCGATGGTGACATCGGTGTGGATGTTGCTCTTGCGACCCATCTCCACGCCCTGGGTGATTTCGAAAGAGACCGAATCTTCCTTCAAGACGTGCAGGCTTAAATAGCTAGACAACGCGCACGCGGCGCTGCCCGTTGCGGGATCTTCCAGAGTGGGAGTGATCAAGCGGGTCCTGATCTTCTGGACGACGCGACCGTCGATAGTCTCGGTGCCCAGGCGGACGAAGTAGTAAGGCGAGATGAAAGTCTCGCGCCATCCCTCATCCAGAAGCTCGTCTTGTCGAAAATCAATCGGGCCATGCTTCGCCGAGCCCAAAGCCTCAAGCGAGGGCAGCTCAGTCAGGGCGAATGTCATGCCATTGACGATGCTGAAGATCGGCGCGTTCTCCTCGGCGACAGCGATGTCCCCCTTGGCATCGCTGAAGGGGCCCGAGCCGAGATCCTTCAGTCTCTTCTGGTGAAGTCTGACATTGTGCGGGATCGCGGCCCTCACGGAGTCAGCACCGGTCTCCTCGATGGAAATCGGGCCGGCTTTTGCATGGAGTTTGGTGACACCCTTGGGCTTCAAGAAGACGGCGGTGCCGATTGTCGGATGGCCCGCGAAAGGCAACTCCGTCTCCGGGGTGAAAATATCGAAGCGGCGCTCGGCCGACGTGGCGTCGTCGACGTCGTGAATGAAGGTCGTCTCTGAGTAGTTGAACTCCCTCGCGACGGCTTGCTTCTGGTTCTGTGTTAGGGACACAGACGGGGGAATTGTGACAACGGCAAGCGGGTTTCCCTCGAAGGGTGTATCTGTAAAGACGTCGACTGTTGTGTACGGGAGCTCCATGATTGAAGATGATGTTATGAAGTAATTCAAGGCTCGAATGACAGATTTCAACGGGGCCCGGGCCGGTGGTAGCGTTAACAGGGGCCCGATTTGGGGGGGGGGGGGGATTGAGTGCGAGGGAACAGCGGGAATTCCGCAAATTCTCGGGCGGGTTGCTGTTTATTAGTACGTCGCTCACGCCTTTTGCGCCTTTTGAGAGACATTCGAACCCCGCCGTCCGTGACTCACTCGCCTTCAAGCGCCTGGTGAATGAGCTTCTCAACGAAGATTGTTTGCGAATGATGAAGAAGAGGGAATATTCTTGGTTTTGTGATGCCGGATTATCCCCGATAGACATCACGTTAGAGCGTTTGCCTCTGACGGCTTTCAATGCGAGAAACCTGTCGACAACGCCTTTTCAGTCGGTCACTATTCGCGGTCCACGCGTCTCATGGCTCGATCTAGGTGGTTCTAGTTCTCATAAATACCACGTCTGTTTGATGGGTTTTAACTGATTGACTCTATCTCATTTGAAAGAATTGCATCGAAAATGGCGTCTGGAATAAGAAGCGTTTACATCAACCAACGTGCCGGGCTTCTCGGCCCCGTTGCAGACACGTCCCTCGTTCAAGCATTCCACCAACAATTGCCCTCCTTCGAGCGAACCCCTCTCGTGTCTCTCGACGAGCTTGCTGAAGAACTTGACGTCAAAGCAGTCTTCCTCAAGGACGAGAGCAACAGGTTAGGACTTCCAGCATTCAAGATTCTCGGCGCATCCTGGGGTACATACCGAGCCATCACGGCCGAGCTCGGCTTGCCTGCGAATACGCCCTTGGGCGATGTCGCGCAGGGCGCTCAGAACAACTCCATCTCTCTCTATGCCGCAACTGAGGGTAACCATGGCAGGGCCATCGCGGCCATGGCCAAGATCCTCGGCATCCCCGCGCACATTTACGTCCCCAGCAGCGTGAACGGAGAAGCTGTGACACTCATTGCCTCCGAAGGCGCCAACGTTATCGTCAGCAACTCCCATTATGACGATGCTGTTCTTGAGGCCTGGGAAGCCTCCAAATCTGCCAACGGCGGTCTCTTGATCCAGGACAACGCTTTTGAGGGATACGAGCAGATCCCCGCTTGGATCGTCGAAGGTTACTCAACCCTTGTTGTTGAGGCTGAGCAGCAGGTCGCTGAGAAGGGCCTCAAGCCAAGCTTGATGGTTTCTCCCGTCGGTGTCGGCTCTCTGGCGCACGCTGTCGTGTCTCACTGCAAGTCGGACGGCCGAAACCACGCCGTCCTGACCGTCGAGCCTGATACTGCGCCGTGCCTGTGGAAGAGTCTGAGGGAGGGCAAACCCGTGTCGGTGCCTACTTTGAGAACCATCATGGACGGTCTCAACTGCGGCACAGTCTCTGTCACCGCGTTTGAGGACCTTCAGTCAGGTGTCGACGCCAGCGCGACTGTTTCTGACTTCGAGGCTCAGCAAGGTGTCGACTATCTCAGAACCAAAGGCGTGAAGAGCGGTCCTTGTGGAGGTGCTACCGTCGCTGCACTTAAGCGCCTTGCGAAAGTCAGCCCCCGGCCGCACTTCTTCTCGAAGGATTCCGTTGTTGTACTGCTCAACACCGAGGGCCCGCGGAAATACAAGGCACCTCTCGACGTCTCCATCGATGATGTGGTGAAGTTGACGCAGATCCTCACAACCATCGACTCATCCAACCCCGACCTCTCCAAAGCCTCAGGTGCGGGCGAGGCCGAAATTGCCAACTACATCTCCGCCTGGCTGCAGCACCGCGATATTGAAGCGCACTGGCTCGAGAAAACTAAGCCGGGACGCCCTTCGGTCGTCGGCGTTCTTCGCGGCAAGGGAGAGGGAAAGTCCATCATGCTTAACGGTCATATAGACACCGTCAGCTTGGGTAGCTACTCCCCCACACTTGACCCTCTCAGCGGAGAGCTGAAGGAAGAAGATGGGGGGAAAATCTTCGGTCGCGGGTGCCTCGATATGAAATCTGGCATCGCCGCAGCCATGTCTGTCATGGCGCAGCTCAACTCATCAGAAGCCTCGCCTCTTCGAGGGGATGTCATACTAGCCGCCGTTGCAGACGAAGAGAACTTCTCCTTTGGGACTGAGGAAGTCATTGCGGCTGGATGGAGGGCTGATGCGGCCATTATTCCCGAGCCGACGCTGCAGGAGGTCATCTATGCTCACAAGGGCTTCATCTGGGTTGAGATCGACATCCTCGGCGTCGCCGCACACGGTTCCATGCCGGACAAGGGCGTGGATGCCATTCTACTCGCTGGCGCAGTGCAGACTGCTCTTCTCGAGTATGCCAAGACACTGCCGTCGGACCATCGCTTGGGCAAGGCATCGCTGCACGGCGGACTCATTCAAGGTGGCGAAGAGCCGTCAAGCTATCCGGATAGGTGTAGCCTCACTGTCGAATTCCGCACGATCCCTTCACAGACCAAAGAGAGCATTCTACAGGACGTCGAGGGCATTCTTAAGGAGATCGCCTCCAATACGCCGGAATTCAAGTATGCCCCGCCCAGAGTAACATTTGAGCGGCCTTCGTTTGCACTTGATGAGAACGACGCGTTTCTCAAGACGTTCATTGACAATGTCTCGAGTACGCTGGGTACAACCCCGAAGCCAATTGGGTTGTCGTTCTGGTGCGATGCTGCGCTGCTGTACCAGGTAGGTATCCCGTCTGTGGTTTATGGCCCCAAGGGTGCTGGGCTGCATGGCAAGGAGGAGTGGGTTGGTGTTAAGAGCCTCCGAGAAGTCACTGCCGTGTTGAAGAATACTGTCAAGGAGTTTTGCGCGTAGACGTTTCCTTGGAATTGTACATAGCTGACCCTAAATACGAGGGATGCTGTAGTTTTGCGTGGTGTACTGACTTGATGTGACGCACGATGGAATCTGAATGCCCATACCGTGTTCATCAAGCGCTTGACTTTGGATCTTGAACCAATACAACAAGTACACACAGGCCTCAGTCCATGCCAAAGCCCAGATAGTGACTACAAGTTTAACTTAAGCATGTTAGTCTTAGGATTCTCGACCTTGATATCCCAGACGATATAGACAGTGCTGATGGCGTTAATTAGATCGATAATGTCGACGACGTTAACAATGTTGACGATATTAACGATCTCGACATAACCATTTCCTTATGTTCCTGGTGTTCCTGGTGCCCCTAGTTCCTCCCTCTATGCCCATCAGTCGCTGGACCCCGTTCAATCCTCTACCTCAAAAACGTCAAACCTCAAGAGCCCGTAAAGGGCCTGCTGCTCATTCTCAAAGCGAGATGGCCCTGATCCAGCACCTGCAAGAAATCCCCCGCAGATTCTTAGGTTGCCTCTAAAGCCTATCATCCAAGGCGTCCCTGATTGGGACTTTCAGTCAGGGCCGATGGGTGTCCGGATGCTCTTGATCGTATTAACCACAGAGGAGCGTATGACTTGAGCGTTGACAGATACCATTAGGACTTGAGACTGCAGATAGTGTAGGATGGTAAGTCTACCATGAATGGACAAATTACGGTATGGTGTCAATGGGTGAGCAGGCGTGTGTGATCCTTGATAAATTACTTATTTCTGATGATGCTGTTGCTTTACTCATAAGGTGGGATCCTGTCAGACGCAAGTTCGGATGCTCATCTTGATCATCACTTGGAGGAGCAAGCCGAAAGAAGTCATTGCAATATTATTATGTTTATTAAAATCCACTTCCACTAGATTACGCTAATGCAAAACACGCTCAGTTGGAAATTTTGGGATTGACCTTCTTGCTATACCGTAGATATCAGTAACCATCACTCAGCTTGTACTGACATGGTTGACTTACCCAGTGACCTTCTCATACATGTTACGACCAGCATCGGTGATCTTCTCGTCCGTGCTACGAGGCATGTCATGGCCAGACTTCTTGGTGACAGCGTCGAAGACTATACCAAGTTCAGTTTCCAGGGTCTTGGAGAAATGCATCGGATGTGTTGTGATCTTACCTTTGTCAACGGGGTCCATCTTCTCCTGGCCAGCGGGCTGTGCCTGGTTGTTGCTCTTAAGAGGGTTCATTTTGATTGCTGAATGTAGTGTAATGTTTGTGGATTGAGTAGTGCAATTTTGATCGAGGTGGCTCTATGAGGTCAGGAATCCCTCGTCCTTAAGTACACGTCCCGTCAATCCAAAAGCATACATCATACCTCCCGCCAGTCCGCCCCTCCCCCGCGTCCATCACACCTTTCCCACCATGACCTAATTGCCCGCGCTAGCCTGCACCCGCAAGTTCCCAGTTTCGGAAAAGCCGCGCCGCCAAAGCCAAGCCGGAGCACGGGCGGACATGCTGCACTACGTCATCCGCACCCAGCCGGTTCCCACTGCGAAACCCAGAAACATCCCGTGGGATCGAATCAGAGGAGAAGAAAACAAGGCTTACATCGGGCCCCTGATGCAATGAACCAGTCTGCCCTTTGCCTCCCGTCATGCCCCTCGCCGCCGATATCCAACTGATAAGCTCTCGCCAAGCCTCCGCGTTCTATGAAAAGAAGCCATCAGGTAGGGAGGTATACCAGGGGCCCTCACTCTCGGGTACTCATCCCACATGGCAGTCGGAACAGCCTCCTGTCGCGTTGTGTAGTACCTGACCGGCACTTGGCCCGGCTATACGGCACATGAGGCGCACGGGGAGCCATCCGAAGAGCCCTCCTACGTCAGTCCGTCCGGGGCGCGGCCGTCTCAACATGTGATGGGTGCTGGTATTGGGGTCCAGCCGGGAACGGGCAGTGACGACGGCGTCCATCCGATGTTGCTTAGAATCTGTGACCTACGGCTGATTGAACTCTGAAGGAAGGCTCTTCCAGGGTCGGCCGATGTTGCAGTTACGTACGTGGTCTACCATAAGGTAGCACGTCTGGACCGAGGACGCATGGACTTGCCAGTCACGAGAACCGCGATCAAGGGACGGCGCCGTTTTCATTGAATCCTCTTTCGTCATTCAAGCCCAATTGGTTGTTGATCAACCGGCCATGCTGGCCGCAACTATCAAACCATCCGCATCAAACGCCGGTATATGCAATCGCAACAAAAAAACACGTCGCTCCTCCATATTAAACCATCACACATGTACTTCGTAGACGAAACCCAACCAGACAACCTCGGCAATATAGATGAGAAGGTATGTAGCAAGGAATTTTCACCGGAACGTCGCATATAGACACCACACGGGATCGATCATGACGCAGCGAAGACCTGGTACGCCATGACCATGATCCAAACCAAGAACAGCGCCCCGACGAGCGCGAACGAAAACACGGCTTGCCACGCTTGACCTGCTGGCCGTCAGCAACACGCTCGCACCGCCCGCCAAACCCGCCCAGGGCCAGCAAGGCAAGACAAGAAACCGAGACACGGGAGAGACGACTTACATATACTCCTCTGCTGCAACCACGCGAGCGTGTCGAGGCTCTGTCCCGTGGGACTGCGGTTGAACACGGCCAGGTTGCAGGTGCTCGAGATGGAGCCGTCGGGGCCCCAGAGCTGTATGCTCACTACCACGAGGCCGACGAACCAGAGGATGAAGAGTATGAAGGCGCCGATCATGACGATGGCCGGGAGGAGGCGGCGTTGGAAGACGAGCCAGAGGAGCAGGCCGATGAAGATGATGACGAGACTCGCGACGGTGATGTAGTAGGGGAAGTACCTGGCGTGGGAGTGAGATCATTTAGCACGGTTCGCGACCGAGGCGGGAGTCCTCGAGGAACGAGGCGAGAGGCAGAACGTACCATGGGATCGGCAGAAGCAGCTGTTGTTGCACCTCGATGAAGGACGCGAAGACGCCGATGATCAGGCACGAGGCGACCAGCATGATCAGGATCCAGAGGTTGAGCTGGATGCCTGGCCATTGGTAGCGGTGCACGCGCTCGACGACGCGGCGGTCGTAGTATGAGCTGCTCGTTACGGTGGAGGCGACCATCTTGAAGAGTCAAGGGTGCGTAGGTATTGAATCGGTCGGTCGCGGGCGGTCGTCTGTCGCCGGACGTGACGATGCCGGGTCGTTTCTATCGTAAACTCGATCGCGGTAGGCGAAGAAGGAGGATGTTCGGAAATCGCAAGTCGGAAGACAAGCAACCGGGATGAGGCTGTCGCGATGACTCCAATTGTGAAAGAGTCACGGATCTCGGCTTCGGTCGATTCGTTCGATATGTTTTCGTAGTCGTAAGTATCGCGGGACACGCAGAGCGCACTTGAATTGAAATGCGCCGTCAGAAGGACGCGGGAAGCGGTAGAAAAAGGCGCAGCAAAAAAGTGCGACCCAATCCAACCCAACCTAATGAGCCAGTCGAGTGTCTGACGAAGCAGCTATGCAATGCAATGCGTCCTGAGTGAGCCCAGTTTGGCGCAGAAAGTATGCCACGTCAAGATGTTCGTACTGCCGCGAGAGGAGGGGGAAAACACGCCGCCGACGTGCTATAAGGCTCTCTATCTTCCTCTCTGCGGCTTTTCCAACCCTGGTCGGGAATACCACCCTGGTTGATGCTGATGCTGCGTCTGCGTCTGCGTCTGCGGCGGCGGCGTCGGGCTGCGACGGCAATTCGTTCAACCAGCTCGCCTCACCTTTATGTGAGATCAACTTGAGGCGCGACTGGATGGCCTGATGTTCGAATGCGAGGACATGTGCCAGGACGGCGATCTGGTATCTCAATGCTCAACAAGAGCGCGTCGGGCGCGCGTACTGGACTCGGAATGGCGGGTTAGGAATTGTAATGGTGACCGGGGTTCCGGCTGGAAATAGGAAAATCTAGAGTCGCAGGCTTTCGGATCATTGACCGACACCGAGAAGATGAAGATCCCAGATGTTGTGAGCTCTCGGCGCCAATCCCAAGTCTCGGGAGCATTGCCTGGGATCCTCGAAAATAGGTGGCTGGGCGAAATCGCGTCTGGTCGAATCGCGTAAATGACGATGGCTGGGTGGCTCAATGTCACAAAGGATATCGGTATTGTTTACGGATAGAGGGAACCACCTTCAGCAATTCCGCTTCCAGCAGCCACTCGATCCGTTCACAAAAGATCCTTCTATTGACTATTATGGCTGAAGGCCATCTGTAGGTCTTGAACCAGCCGAGAGCCAGCCCCGGCCCGCAGCTGTCAGTGACCCGCGCCGGGCCCGAGCCCCACTTCCCTCCACCGCCGGGACGCGGACGTTTCGGAGTCGCCATCTTGCTGTCGCTCCTCCTCTATCCATTTTTCGTTCCGAATCAACAGAAAGCCCCCAAAACATACATGATGGCCGGTCCTGTGGAAGGCGCGACGCGTGAGCACATGTAGTTTCTTCTGCGTGGTATTAATAAATCATGACATTGGGCCCATTTCTTGCACCTAACTCCGCAATTTATCCATCCAGTCTCGAGACCATTCACCGAATGGTTCCCGTCTATCGCCGTGTATGTCGTGGCATTTTCTCATCCTCCGACGCAGCTCCGAACTCACAACAGCGACTCGCCCAGGGCACACCGCACCAGAGAGCATCCCGCCCTCACGGTCTCGTTCACGCCGGCTTCGTCCTTTGCCAGCCGGGGGTTCACCTCGACGAGGTCGACCGCCACGAGGTTGCCCGTCTCGTGCACGCATTCGCAAATGTAATCGCCCTCGCGCAGCGTCAGGCCGCCTCGCACCGGCGTGCCCGTCGACGGCGCCCACTGGGGGTCGAGGGCGTCCACGTCGAAGGAGAGATGGATGGGGGTGTCGCTGCCGATGTGCGCGAGCGCCATCTCCATCACGCGGCCGATGCCGTACCTACGTCGCGTTCTCAATTAGCCGCCATTTCGATTCCCGGGGGGTCTTGCAGCAAACGTACCGGTCAATGTCAAACATGCTGAAGGCCTTGATGCCGTTCTCCCGCAGGATCCTCTTCTCGCCGGCGTCGACGTCTCTCAGGCCGATGTAGACCAGCTTCTTGATGCTGAGCATGTGCTCGTCGCCGAGCCAGCCAAAGTACTCGGGCTTGTCCTCCTTGGCGAGACCGGTGACGAAGGCGACGGGCATGCCGTGGATGTTGCCGCTGTCGCTGGTCTCGGGGGTGTTGATGTCCGCGTGGGCGTCGACCCAGATGACGGCGATCTCGCGGCCGAGACGCTCGCGGGTGGCCTTTGCGGAGCCGGCGATGGTGCCGATGGCGATGCTGTGGTCGCCGCCGAGGGTCAGCGTCAGGCGGCCGTGGCGGGACTGCTGGTAGACCTGGTCGGCGATGCGCTCCGTCACGGAGGAGACGTGCTTGGGGTTCTTCATGTTGCGGTAGGGGGGATCGGACTCGGGGACGAGGTCTGTGTAGAGGTGGACCTCTTCGTCGCCGTGGAGCTTGTAGCCCAGCTCATCGCGGAGCTGGTTGATGAGGCCGGACTCGATGAGGGCTTGGGGGCCGACGTCGACGCCAGCTTTGCCCTAGAGAGAGAGAGGAAAGTTTAGCTACGACGACAGACTGAGGCGGCGGGCGTGGAGCGAGTGGGCTTACCTGTCCACCAGAGAAGCCGACGGCGACGATGCCGAGGTCCTCTGGGTGACTGAGGAATTTGGACTTGATCATGGAGGTGTGCATGGCGCCGGCTGAGAAGATGACGGGGCCTAGGGTATAAGAAGAAGCTGGAGGTAGAGGCGAAGAAGGTGAAAGGATGAGGGGAGGGAAGAGAAGAGAGAAAGAAGCCGATGGGAATGGAGAGAGAAGGAAGGAAAGAAGACGAAGAAGGGGGCGCTCGAGGTATGTAAACCTTTTTCGGTCGCGCCTTCGCCTTCGACGACTCCAGCCAGGGCCATCATGGAGACAAGACCCGGACCTTGACCACAACCATGGCAGCAAACGGGACAGGCCGGGATCTGGACGTCGCCCGGAATCGTGTCGACAGTGACCTAAGGTAGGCAGTCGAATGGATTGACCGGGGCTTGACTCGGCTTCGTGGCGGTTGCGGATGGTGCATTCGCATTCCAGTGTTGTCGGTGACTCGCCGCGACCTGAAGGGGACGGATGGGAAAGGGCGAAGGAGGGACGCAAGTGGCAGTTGCTGGCTGCTGACGCCGATGTTGGCGGTATTTTTTTCTTGGGAATGGCGGGGTACTTTTTCTTTTTTCTTCTTTTCTTCTAGGTACCCTCCCCTCTTTCCTCTCTTCATCTGATTGTCTCCATGTCCTGCCATGTATCTTTTGGCCGCATTCCGGTCAGTGAAATACCTTCCTTCGTTCCTTCCTTTCCAAATGCATCCGGAGCGGCAGCGGCGACGGCGATGACACGAGTGTTCCAAGTGTGGGCCCCGCAAAGGTGGGGAGCAGTGGGCCACGGGTAGACCTGCACTTAGGGGAACATCAGTGGATCCCTCGCGGTTGCCCCCTCCGTGGCTAGCGGCGCCGTCGGGCTTGGACCCCGCCAAAGGCCGCTGCTGGCCGCTGGAGCACCTGCACTTAGGGGTCTGGCGCCTCCGGAGCTGTGCCACTTAACGGCAGGTGAGCCCCGAACCTCCACCTCCCACCTCGCAAGGCCCTGGCGCCCGCGAGGCATTATTTTCTTTAAGAAGGCCCGGCGCCCCGTCGCCCGTCCATCGTCACTTTGCTCATGTTCCCTAATGGCAGGGCGACCCGAACCATTACTCTCGATAATTCCCCTCGCCCTCGGATGGAAAGGAATTGTTGGGGGGGAAAAACGAACAGACACGAATCAGCCGACCATCCGCCCCCCCTCCTTCCCCCTTCTTTTTGCAGTCTCTGTGTTCCCGTCTTCTCGTCCTTCATTTCCGCACTTGCCTGTCCGACTCTACCTCGAACTCAAGGTGTCGATTTCTCGAGGTTCACGACAAAAATCGCCTATCTAACCCCTTATCTAATCTTATCGCCTCGGACTATCGGCAGAGGTCTACTTCATCTCGGACTTTTGGAATTGAGGCCCTCCACGCCAAAACATCGAATCCCACCATCGTCATCGCGATCCATCTCCAAAAAGGACCGTCTCACATCAGATTGCATCTCGCAAGAGTCAAGACCGCCCACTAACCCCTTCTCATCCACAACTACAACCCACACCGGCTGCTCTCGGCATCCACGGCCCCATTCCTGTTATCAATCAACCGACGGCCTCCCCTCTCACCTTGTTCTCCCTCCGCCTCTTGGTCTGCGTACGTCCGAGGACTTATCAGATCTCCCGCAGGCCCAGACCGACAACAAGGACACATCCCTGGCTTTTACGTAACCACCATGCTGAATCTCATCATGCTCGTACACCTGAAAACCTCGTGATTTGCGCCGCCGGCCTGTGCGGTCTGGAGATGCGTCAAGTGACCCTTTTCTTGGACAGGACGACTGGACTGCGACTGCCCTCGTGGCTCCGAGAATCATGCGCCGCGGTTTCCGACGCCCTGGACCGGCTTTGGCGCGGCACCCCCGGCCGTCGTCGGCTCACAACCGCCGTCTGCGCATCCGACTCCGAGCCGATGACACAAATCATAATCCTTCACTCAACTCACTCGGCCAAAAGAACATCAATCTCGTAGACCAGATACCCTGGATTGTCTGTGACTGTTGTATGCTGTACCTAAGATGATTCCGTCGCCCTCTACTTTTTTCCCTTTCGAGAGCCCTTGGTATCCGTAAATGAAGAGGAAAATAAAAGAGAAACCGAGTCTCGACGAGACATGCCAACGGACCAAGGTCTCAACCTGCCAGAAACTCCCCAAACGCCATGCCTAGATCCGCTCCCGTCACGAGTAAGCCAAGACGCCTTGTGTGCTCATGCTCTTCCTCACGTCGCCGTGTTCTCCGCCAGCAAGTCGTGCACCCACCCCATCCGCTCTCTCCTCTCGTCCGTCACCCGCGCGTACTCGAGCAGCAGACGCAGCGTGTAGATCTGCATGTCCTCCTTGCGCAGCGCCTTCTCCGCCCACGCCTTGCCGTCCATCGCGATCTTCTCCGCCTCGCTGTCGTGCGCCCGCTTCTCGCCTCCGTACCCGAGAAAGTACTCCATGATGCCGTAGTAGTCGTTGAACCGGCTGTCCATCGGAACGAAGTGCTTCCACGCCACCAGCCGGCTGTCGTGCCACTCGCGCCATAGCGTCGCCTTGATCGGCAGGCTGGTGCTGCCCAGGAACGCCAGGTACCTCCCCGAGAAGCTGTTGCCGTCAATGTCCGGGAGGTACTTGGAGTCGTACATCTCGGTGAGCATGACGCTCTCCGTCAGGTTGAAGTACGGGCTGGTGTAGTTGCACGTGCCGGCCTTTCCCTGCGGCTCGCACATGAGATCCGTGAATCCCACGTCCGCCCACGACCCGATCCACTCGCCGAGTTTGTTGACGGCCTGCGCCGCGAGCTTGTACATCTTGTCCGGGAGCGAGAAGTTGACCGGGTCCATCGTGCCGTCCTCGGCCCCGGACACCTTGGTCGCGTTGTTCATGGCCACGAACCGGTGCCGTTGGAAGCCCCTCCAGTTGCTGGCGCGGTTGCGCCCGCCCGTCGCGACGCCGCGCCACACGACGGCGTCCTTCTTCCGGCTCCATGGCCCGCCGTGGTAGCCGCCGCCGCTGAACCGCTCCTCCTCCGTCCAGTACATGGCCGCCGGGAGGAGGATCTCGTTGTTGATGGCCAGCTTCGACCCGCCAAACATGGGGAAGAGCACCGTCGTCGCCGAGGTGCTGAGCGGCTCGATGAAGATGCCGTTGAGGCCCTGCAGGTCCGGCTGGTGGCATATCTCGGTCGACAGGGTGTAGTTGGACACGAAGCCGTCGCGCATGTGTGGCTTCGAGTACTTTGTTCCGATGCTCGGGCGTCGGTCGAACGACTTTTGCGTCGCTGCCAGTCGCGCGGGGCTGTCGGGAGGGCATCCGCGGCGGGCAATCAGCCAGTATTGTTCTGGAAACGTTAGTCCGAGACACTTCTTCACGGAGGCCGGATTGGAACGTACTTGTCTCTTCCCAATGCTTGCTCTTGATCTTCACATTCCGATCGAGCTCCTTCTTGCTGTTTGGGAGGGCCTGGAATGTGTTCATGACCTTTTTCGGATCGGGCATGCCCTCCGTCATCGCCGCGTCCCGGAGGTACTGCGCCATGTCCTCATGCGGCACCACCATGCGCGGCTCGTCCATCGGGTTCAGGGCGATGTCCATGTCGGGCAAGAGGTGCTCGATGGTTTTGATCATGTTTGTCCAATGTACCGTCCAGAACCATTCGCTCGTGCGGGTGGCGCGTCCTTTACGCACTTTGATGGTCATCTCGTACTCTGCGGCCTCCTTGCGGATGCGCGAGGGCTCGACGCCCCAGAAAGGGCGCAGGTCGTGGTAGATCTGGTCGAAGAAGTCCTCGACGATGACGGCCTTGCGCTCCTGGGCGAATTGGAACCAGGCGTCAAACCCGGGCGGCGGGTGGCGGCCGCGGCGCTCACGGTAGGCCTTGGCGGCGGCCGTCAGCGTCTTGGACTCCTTCTTCAGCAGGCCCGCGAAGTTTTCGTCGGCTTCCTTTATGAGGGTGTCGATGGGGTGCGGCTCGGACGAGGAGGCAGGCACCGCGGGCTTGGGGACGGAGCCCTCGGCGGCGGTGGGTTCGTCGTCGATGGGGTGTACGGGCTTCGGCGCGGGCTCGGGGATGGGCTTCTCGGCGTCTTGTTGTTGCGGTCGTGCCAGCGAGACGGGGTCTGGCCTTGGAGGTGGCGACTGCGGCTGCAGCTTCTCCGGTTGCAGCTGTGTCGCCGAAGGGCCTCGGCGCGGGTCGAAGTAGTAGAACAGGGTCATGACGAGAACGGCAGCGAGGGCGTACCGCAGCAGGCTCGACGGCCTCCGCGGGGGGAACGCGGGCGACAACAACTTGACCATGGCGGGCGGTCGTGAGGTCTGTCGAGATGGGCCGTCGCACTGCGCAACAGAGTATTGAACGAGGCGGATTCAATCGAGGGGGATGGACCCGATGGCCGGCTCAGCCAGGCCAATTGAGGATGCGGCTCGCAACGGCGGACAAGGGGGCCAGCTCGAACGGACGAGGAGAGTTAGGTCGAGCAGGGGTCGGTCGGAAAAAGGATTGCGATGGGATTCTGGGTGGTCGAGGCCGGGGGATCGTCGAGGGGGGGTTGGTCGCAGAGGACGAGCGAGGACGATGTAGCGGCGCAGTCGGGATGAAGGTCGAGGTTGAGTCGCCGTCGTCGTCGTCGTTGGGAGAAGGAGGGACGAGCGTCGATTCGAATGGTTTTTGGATGAAGGAAAGGAGCGGCAACGGCAAAAGCTTAGCCTGACAAAGCAAACTAGGAGGGACAGAAGGGGAGGCAGGGGGGGAAGAGGAGGGAATCGGCGGAGATCGGACGCATAGAACAGAAATAAGAAGAGGCGATCATGGAGCCAACAAGTTGGAGCGGAGAGAGGGATCGTTAGGGAAGACGTCAAAAAAAAAAAAAAGAAGAGGACGCAATGATGGTCTCGCTCGGACGGGTCTGCACTAGGGCGGTCCTGGCGGCAGCGGACTTGGATAGATGGATTGTGAGGTGTTGTCGGATGGGTAAAGTATTATTATTCGTAGGTGTGTGAGTGTTGGTGGTGGTGGTAAGGATGTGGACTCAAGTCAAGACACAATTGCGATGCGCTCACATCCATGCAGGGGTACGTACCTTTCTGCAGACTGCCGTACCTAGATGAACAGCGCCATTGGCAGAACAAGTCCAGCCAGTTTCAAATGAAACATGGGGGTTCCCAAGGTTGAGAATATGAAAGAGTGGTCTCTCCCGTCCGTTGGAACTTGGCTCCTTGCGTGCACACTGTACTCGATGAGCAGAGACTCGTTCTGAAAGTGAGATGGTTATTTCACTCTTCCAGAGACAGTCGCGGGTCACGATGTTCTAGGCCGAGGTAAGGGGCATGCGACTGTCGGTCCGTAGGCAAATGTGGTAGGCGCCTCAACGAACAAGACAAATGATAGATGCGATGCCGGGGACTTGTCAGAGTTCCAACCTGCTTCCAGCCGACGGGATCAAGCCGGGACGAACAGACGGAGGCCGGGCCTGACCGCGGTCAGAAAGCAGTTGACGTGCAGATTTAGGGCGCTTTTCAAAGTCAATGTTGAAGTCCATGAGCTGAGCTGTTGTGTACGTATGACGGGGGTGAGTGAACGTCATTATCATGAGTTCAACATGAGTTGAATATTATGATTGTAAGTAGCGATAAGGACTCTGCGTCTTCATCCGCGAAACCTTGATCAGCTGCCGTTCTCGCCAAGCTCCAGCCCGAGGAAACAAACGGCAACTCGGATAAAACGCCAACAACGTCAAAGACACAAAGCAGTAGGGAGGAACTCGTGAGGTTTACCATCATGAATGGCTGATTTGATAATCCCTTTCATGGCTGACACGGACACCAGACGCCGGCGCGATGCTTCGCCTGTGTGTACTAGTACACCGTCATGTACTCAACATACACCCATCATCCTGTATCAGTACATCATCTCCGAAAGCCCAGACGCAAGCGTCACCATTGACAGCCTGGAGGCTGCACTTCTGCAGGCCGGTCTCAGACTGTCTAGCTGAATTAGGGACTGAGAGACCAAACATACATTTGTCTTGCCTGCACGCACTCACAGCGTGCTGACTCCCACGGTGATGACGGACGTTCAGATCTCATGAGACCTCTCACCCACATGTTTCTCTCATCTCACACTCATCTCCTTGCTTCATCAGCCTCAGCTCCAGATCTCAAGCTCGGCCGCAACGTGGCCTTTTCTCCTTCTTACCACCTTCTTACCACCACAGCAAACACGCAACTTCATACTGTGACATGCACCGTAATCCACCACCCTCACATCACATCATTTCATACAGATGAACATGTGCAATCGCACATCAAAAGCTGCCTTCCCCGTCTTCCCAGTCCACCAGCGGGGACCGCGTCACAGTTCCCGCTCCATCCGCCAATTGAGACGCAACAACCCATCCGGATTCCAGAATGCCTCTCAAGTTCTCCTGGCTCTGCTCTCCGCATCATGGATCAAATCATGGCTGTGCTCAGCGCGAAAACCGGGCCTTGCCGCACGTGCGATTCATCGCTCATGTCAGTTCTGCCTCATGAGCCCACAATCGTCTGCGCAAGCCCTCGTCAATCTGCTTCTTCTGAAATTACCCTCTCACATCGCCCTCGACTCTCACCGCACGCTTCAATCTTAATCAAACAAGCACCGCCCGTTCAACTCATCGTCCTCTTATGCCTCAGCCTCCACTATCGACCCGAAAGACCCCAACTCGGAAACAAGATGCTGCCGGCCGCATATCCTTCCCGGCCAAACATCCCCGTCTCGAATGCCAAATGTGTCGTCATATGCCATCCAGTCGTCTCCAGACCGTTTAGCTTGCGTGTTCACCCCCCGTTCTTCTGTGCACCCGTTCCCCTGTCCCACCCTGCCGATCAACCACCTGCCGAACCCGTCAATCCCAATCCGCACAGTTCCAAACATGTTCATCCTGGCACCTGGTGGCTGGTCCACGTCCCTGACTTGACGCCGCATTCGCCAAGGAGGGATGGACGTAATCTGCCGCCGTCTCCTCGCCGGCGGTCACGACCGTCTCATCCGGCAGCCGTCGTATTCCACACGAAGAATTTGCGCGGAACGGTCTCTTCCTCATCGGGCCTATGTGTTCCGGCTGGAAACCCGGCTTCCGTCACGGACGGCCGCTTGCGTCTGCAAACACTTTGCGGCAGCCGTCTCCGTCTTCCATTCCCGAGTGAACACGTCGGTAACAAATGTTACAAAGTATCACGAATAATGAATCCGCACATGTGCCCAGTACTTCTGGATGAACATGCATAATACGAGACTCGGTGCCGCGACTGGGCTGAGTGATGCTTACCGCGTGCGTACTCGAGAACTCGGGCGCCGCCGTCTCCGAATCCGAATCAATTACCGCCAACAAAGTTGCTCTCATTTATCTTTGTCCCGACTTGGACTGGCGCATCGCTTCACCTAGTTCACCTTGGTTCCTACTCGTCGTCGGCCAACAACCACCGATTGGATGGGGTTTTGCTGGCCATAATATTCGTACATTTTTAACACTATCCATCATACAAACCTGGGCATGACCAGGGTCTATGTCTACGTAGGTCGCAGCCCACATTGTCGTCCAATCGTGGGAAATGCCAGGCCCAGATACACCAGCGTGTGCGGCGTCGCGCCTCAACTCACAAATTCAACGCCGCGTCCGCGGAGAAGCTGCTCCCGCCAGCGCCGCTGTCATTGGTATCGCCCGGAATCTCGTCCGCAAACCGCGCGATCAACTCGATATACGAGGGATGGAACGGCCATGCCATAAACGCCTCCAAAATCTCCGTCCACTGCTTCTCGTTCAACACCCGCGGACACAACTCGGCGTGCCCTGACCCCTCCGTCCCGCCCTGCTCCGGGTCCCGCAAACTCGGGCAGTTCGGGAGGACCCCGTCCGCCGCGCCGGGCCAGATGCGATCGAGCGCCTTGCTCATGGGCTCCATACTCGACGCCATCAGGGTCCGCTGAAGCAGCTCAAACATGTCGCCCGCCCGTGACGACCCGGGGCCGATCTCCCTATGCAGGCGGTGCATCGCCTTGGGCTGGATGTCGAGCAGCGCGCACCCCACGTTCGGGAAGAACTCTTTCGGGTCGACGTTGATCGGCTCGTACGGTCGTCTGTCCCAGAGCATCACCGGCGGGCTTTGGTGGAAGACGTGCATGTTGTCCCGCACCATTCTGAACTCGCCTTTTTCGTTCTTCTTGAGCGAATCGACTTTCTCGTTCCATTCCGACTCCATCTTGTCGATCTCACTCTTGGACTCGGGGTGCGAGCGTCGGAATTCGCGAATTCGCTCTAGGTCGTGCAGCACCGTCTTGGTGGAATCGGGCAGTCGACCATAAGCCTTTCTGGCGCGGAGGAGAAGGAGCCGCGACCAGCTCTTCCGATCGCTTTTCCTAGTCAACGTACCTTCCGTGACCAGCTTCTCCAGTTTTTCCAGCTCCTCTAAGAACGGACGCGCGATGTTGACGTCCTCTTGTCCTGCGAATGTTTCTCCGCTGTCCTTGTAGGGCTCCGCCTCTTTTGTGCTTTTCTTCCTGCGCGCCTCGGGCAATTCGAGACCTTGCTCTTCCATGCGCTTCAGCGTCGCGATTGTGCTGTCGATGTCGATCCACTTGTCTCGGACGTACCAGACATCACCCTCGGAGGGCTCAGGACTGGCCACGTTGGCGAACCACTCGCACGAGACCTCGGCCTCGAGCGCTCCCTTTTTCCTCGTTTGTAGGTTTCTGGACACATATGATTGCCAGTCGTCGGCGCCCGTCCAAATGAGCATCCGCACGAGGCCGTATTTCTGAAAGAGCTGGCCCAGACGGATGCTGCTGACCAATTGGAACAGGACGAGCTGAGCCGCCGAGTCGAAATTGCCGTACGGCTTCTTGGGGAAGAACGCCAGGTTTGCCGTGACGAGCAGCGTGTCGTTCCGTTCGGGCGTGATGTCGGGCCCTCTCGGGCGTGGTGTCTGGTTCTCGATGTGTCGCAGTGCCTCGCCGAGATCCCTCCAGACGATACCCGATTTCGGCAGCAGTTTTGTTCCCGGCTTTTGTAGTATCGGTTCGAGAAATGGTCCGTAGAGCGTTTCGTCTGGCTCCATGAGGAGGTGCGAGCGAGGCTTGAGGAATTCGTTTAATTTGCGGCTCCAGAGGCCTGCGCCAGGGTTGATGTCGACAAGGTCGCAGCCTTCGTGTCGCCTCAGCGTTGGACCGATGTAACTGAGTATGTCATCTGTAAGCGACTCCGTCAGCGACAGCTCAGGACGCGAGGTCCACGACGGAGGGGGCGCCTACCGCATAGCTTCTCGTCGACGATGTTGACGCGCCTGCCGTCTGAATTTGGCAGCTTTGCTTCCGCCTCCAGTACTTCCTTGGTCTTTCTCCCCGGCTTTTTGGGTTTCCACACTCCCGTTGCCGCAAGTTCCTTAGCTAAGGGTGTTGTACCTTTGACAAGGCTGGCCGCAAGCTTTTGTTGTTTTTTGGCAATTCCCCGCCAGGTGGGAGCCCGAACTATGCATCGGGCAGTTGGAGGCCTCGCCGAGACATGGCTGAGTATCGCCAACATTGGTTGGGGTTCTTGCTCTATGCGAGGTTTGGGTGTGCCGTGGTGGCGTTTGTAATTGGCAAGACTGGGCAGTGATTTTTGCGACCGCAATGGAAATATTTTGCCGCTGCTCACCAGCCTGCGGGTCTTATCGATAACACTGTGAACGAGCACGATGATGGGGCCGAAGGTTGGCCCCGCCACGCCGGACCGCGGAACCCCGCCTACCCAGGCGCCGTGCCGGGGGCTTTAGTCTCCGCTTGAAGCCTGAAGCTCACTCTCAGATTTTATTGCAGTTTATATTCAAGAACCAGTTGCTATGGATACACTCCCCACCTCCTCTCTCTTCCGGATCTTGCCATGGCTTTGCTCACTTGCACTCTCAATGGCATACTTTCCATTATGAACAGCGCTCATTGCTTCCTCAAGTCGGGTACGCCGCGGTCATGAATCGGCTTGGCGTGGTTCCTCGAGATGGGGCCACTGCCAAAACAAGTCCCAAGGTCTTCTTGACCGGCCGTACGTAGTTCTTTAAGCCAGACTAATGTTGGGGACCAGCCAGAGAACGTGACCCTGCCCAGTGATAACGCCGTGTCCTGGGTCGGTCCTATCATTTTCTCTGCGCTGTAGTTGTCTCTGGCAATGATCCTTCAACTCAGTAATCTTTGCCTCAATATCCTAGGCGAACAGGATCTTCGAGGATTCTGAGCCCTACTCGAACGTCATACCGTCGTTTCGATCAAGCTTGATTCGAACCCATGAAGTAACGTAAACGGGAGAGAGGCCGAGAAGAGTATTAGGAGGATGGTGACTATTTTTGATGATTGGGCCCTTTCTGGCGACATTGGAGAGAGCCGTCACGCCCGGGATGCGTTCACTACCAGGCGCATTTAATGGCCGTGATTTCTTACGCGAAAGATTGATATGTATCAACGGATTAATCTCGATCTAGGGAGCAATGATGAATCCAATGTTTCTTAGTTTTTTTACCTTCGGCAGTGAAGAAGTCCGTGTCATGGCGAATCACAAACGAATTGGATCAAGTTATTAGGATTCACATAGTTATCGAGGGGACAGTCCTGGCATCGTATTGAAAAGCCGCTACGCTCGCTCGGCAGGGCAGATTTCAAAATGACCGTAGGGCTCAATAGTTTGCAGCCTGAGAACCGTAATGGTGCAGGAGTGCTTGGTATATCGTGAGAATTATATTAGCCAGCTCTCGGTGTTCGGACAATGAACAGCGGGCCGTTTTGGTGCTGCAGTGTGCCTTCCAGGTGGAACCTAACTGTAACGTCGGACTCGAATGACACCCCGTGTCCGACCAGATTTTCGCCCGTTCGTGGACCTTGCCGCACTGAAACGCGGGGGAAAATGTAGAGTTATCCCGATTAATCGTCGGTTGTCGGAACCGGCGTGGGCGCGCTCCCCCACCACTTCCGGGCGGGATTTCCGGCCCCTCCCTGGCTTTAGCTGTCAGTGATATTGAAGTGAGGCACATTGGCCAGCCATTCTAGACATCTTGCTCGGAAATCTATCGTCACTTTACTATAGTAGAATCCTGGACTTCATGCCCGGCGCAATGGCTTTGCTGAGCTTTGCGACTGTGGGTTATTGCCTGGCTGTAATTTTTACAGTCTTTTGTGCTCGTGTTAGTTCTCTCGGCCCAAAGCACTCAACGACGGCCTCACGGTAGAGCTCAAAAGTTTGGCTTCACTGACGAGTATAAAGATCTTTTTCACAGGCCTGACCTGTTCCATCCGCCATCTCCCAGGGCCTTGGTACACCGCATTCTCGCACTATGTTCTCAAGTACCACACCCTCACCGGACGGCGCATGCACTATGTACACTCACTTCATCACCGCTACGGACCTATCGTCCGGATATCGCCGACTGAGGTCGCCGTCGCCGACCCAGAGGGCTTCAACGCGATCCACAAAATTGGCTCCGGATTTCTGAAAGGGCCTTGGTACTCGACGGTGACGGTGGGTGTCGAGCCAGGGATTTTCGCCATGGTCAACCCGAAGGAACACGCCGCGCGCCGGAAGCTCTTCGCCAGAGCGTTCACAAGTGCATCTCTGCGCCTGAATTGGGAGCCCGTCGTGAGACAAAAGGTCGAGAGAGCCGTCGAACGTATTAAGACCGATGCTCTGACCGGCAAGGCCGACGTATTAAAGTGGTGGACGCTCATGACCACCGATGTCATTGCTCATCTGTCTTTCGGAGAGTCTTTTGACATGTTGGAATTAGGAGAGGTACGGCGCTTACGTCTCGAAAGACCACTCATTGACGCTGACATCGAGAAGAAAAACAGTTACATCAAAGCCCTCGAATCCGTGTTCATCATGGGCACTCTGCGCGAAGAGCTACCGCTAGTTTACATGCTTGCGCGTTGGCTTCCAATGGAGTCAGTCCAATCCGTCTTGCGAGCACAAGCGGTCGTAGACGCACATGCTGTTAAAGCCGCAGCCAATCTTCGTCAAAACGGCCACTCCGCAAACCTCTTTGGCAACATGCTTGCTGAGTGTGAGGTTGGCGAAAAGTCGGACCTGACTCCGGAGAAAGTGCAGGCGGAGGCTGGCAACCTCATCGTTGCCGGTTCCGATACCACTTCGGTTACTTTGACTTATCTAGTTTGGGCTGTACTTAAGCGACCATCCCTTCAAGCTAGACTCGAAGATGAGCTTGCGGAAGTTGGTGATGGGTTTGATGACGCCACGCTCGAGAAGCAGCCTCTGCTCAATGCTGTGATTGATGAGACTCTCCGTCTTTACGGGGCTGCCCCGGGAAATCTGCCCAGGTCCGTTCCGCCACAAGGCGCGACATTGGGAGGCTTCTTCATCCCTAGAGGAACGGTGGTGGAGACACAAGCTTACACATTGCACCGACACCCGAGCATCTTCCCTGATCCTCTGCGGTGAGTCTGGTGTTCTCACTACTTTTAGAATAAGGAAAGCTGACATAGGCCAAGATTCAATGAGAGTCGCTTTCTGGATGAAACCTCATTGTCGAGGCTACAGAAGCAGCTTTACTCCCCCTTTGGGGCCGGCACACGTGTCTGTATTGGTCTGCATCTGGCTCGCATGGAGCTTCGTCTGGCTACTGCCGTCTTTTTTCGGAGCTGCCGAGGAGTGAGGCTGGCAGATAATATGACCGACGATATGATGGAGATGCAGAACTTCTTCCTGATCAGCCCCGCTGCGCATCATTGCGACGTCACGCTCATGTGAGAGATGTAGGGGCGTATGAAGCCCACTATGAACGATGTTATGCGCAAACTCATGTACTGTTAACTTCACTTGAAATGTCTGCAATTGACGTCGCAGTATATAGCTAATGTTCTACCCCTATACTTTAATAAGAGGACTACGCTCACCTTAACTACCCGCTTCCTAAAGACTCTAGATGTCACAGCGCTAGTGTCCCCAGCGGCCCCACCCAGTAGTCACGTGACCCTCATTACGTAAGCTAGGGCCTCGCGCGCCTAGCCTATAAGGCTGGGATCTCACGCGCGCCCCACAGTAGAGTTTTCTTTCCTTCTTCAGCTGAGAATTTGCTCAATATAGTACAGTTTAGCACGCTAGCTTAGTCTATTTAACTATTTATAATACTAGAAATTATAGGCGTTTAGCTTAATAATACTTAATATAGCTCTATTAGGCGTTAGTCTATATTATCTACTATTTATATACTTTAATATAAGTATAATTTTAGCTCTTATTACTTTTAGTATAGTAACCTAAGTAATTAATTTAATTTAAGGGGTATAAATTAGCTAATTAAAAGTAAATTTAGTTAAAACTTAATTAATTAGTTAATTATTTAATTAAATTAACTAATATTAATATTCTCTTTATTTATTTTTAACCCTCCCTCTAAAAGTTTCTTAATAGCTTAATAATTCTATATAATAGATAATAAATATCTTAAGTATAACTTATTATTAATTACTACTTATAATTATAAGTAATTAAGTTATTTTACTATAGACTTTATAAGTAATAATCTTAAAGTTAAATATTAAAACTTAATATATAATAAGTAGTATAATATACTTCTTTAGGTATATAATATTTTACTATTTTCTAATAGCTATAATACCTATATTTATTAAAGCTAATAGTAGCTTATATTAAATAATATTAATATATAAACTATTATTTACTTTAAGTATATTTAATAGCTTAAAGAGGCTAAAGCTATAATTTAAGAAGCCCTCTAAGGAATAAATAGAATCTATTAATAAGAGGTAGCTTTTAGTAAGTAGTTAAAGCCTTTATAGTAATACTATATAGTAACTATTAATATATTAAGTAAGTTTATATAAAATAGAGAGCTTTATTAATAAGATAGAACTACTTAAATAGTATTTAAATAGCTTATAGATTAAAAGAATTAAAGTTATATTAGTTTAGAAATAGTAAAGAATAATATAAAGTATTTAAAAAGATTAGTATAATAGTATTTCTAATAGGCTATAATATAAAAAGAGGTCTATATTATAGCGTTTAGTCTAATTAGTATAAAGGTTTAATATAATTAATATTAGCCTTTAGCTACTATATTATATTTAAAAACTATATATTTAACTAACTTTAAGTTTAGCCTTGCTAACTTAATTATATAATAGCTATCTAGTTATATAACTATATATAAGCTCTAGCTTTCTATTTTAGCTACTATTTTATTAGTTTATACTTTAACCTCCCTATTATAATAATAATAATAATAAATATTTTTACTATATCTCTAATACTTTAAAACTCTTTCTTAATACTACTCCTTTTTACTATTTACTACTTAAACTTTTTAAAAGGCTTTTAGCTTACCCTTAATACTTAAGACTATTATAGTTTTATTACTTACTATTAGTAATGCTATTAATATATTATAATCTAGATCTATAGAACTTATAGATTCTTAACCTTAAGCTTAAGATCCTTAGCTATTTAGAGGAAACCTATAAGATACTTATAGGTTAATAGATTACTATTAATATTTAGGATAAATACTTTAATAATATTAAAATCTTTATTCTTAAGCCTATTAAAAGTAAATATAATAATACCCTCCTTATTAGGGTTTAAAGCTAATAATATAGTCTTATAGATAAAGTAAGCTATAGTAACTTTTATATTAAAGTTTAAGTTATTATATTTATAGCTATTAATACTTTAGATACTATAACTAGATATATATTAATTCTTTAATATTATTATTATTAAGCTTACTATATAGTATATTAAGTTAAATAATATTTATCTTAGAGGATTTAAAGATAGTAATAAAGAAAGAAAATAAAGAATAGGCTTTTAGCTTAAATAGTACTTTAGCTTATACTATCTCTTAATATAATAATCTATAACGTAGTTAATAAGTAAGTAGGCTAGATAAGTAAGTAGGCTACCTAACTATAATAAACCTATCTTCTACTTTCTACTTTTTATAACACTATAATAATATAATACTATTAGAAAGTAATAAAGCATAATTAAATTTAGCCCTCTAAGCTATTTAATAACAACTTAGCCCTAGTATCTAAGTAGCTATAAGGATCTATAAAGTTAGCTATATTACCTTAGCCTACTATTTAAAGGGTATACTACTATAACGTAATACTATATTAAACTTATAGAATTTAATAGTACTTAAAGAAGAGAAGCTTATTAAGTATATTTTAGACCTAGATTCCTAATTATTTCCTCCCTAAATTAGTAGTATAGAAGATATAGCTAATTAACTACTTACTAACTATAATATACCCCCTATTAGGAAGTATTAGGCCTTAAACTTTATTAAGTAATAACTATAGCTTTAACGTACTTTTTTTATAAGTATAACTATAAGAGGGCTTAATATAAAGACTTAGACGTAATAAATATATAGTTTTAGCTTATAGTAAATATAATTATAAAATATAGTATTATAGACTTAAATATCTATAACTTTAATAAGACTAAGTTTATAATAAGCTAGATTATATTTAGAATAATTATAATAAGTACTAAAAGGCGTTTAAATATAAAGATAATATAGCTTAGTAATTATAAATAAGTTATAGTTATTTAGGCTATTAGTTTATTAAGCTATAGCGTTCTACTATATATTATTATTATAGAGTAATATTACTTCTCTACTTAGTATATAGAAATAGGTCTCCTATATAACTAGGTTATTATAATGTCTAAAAATAGATAGACTATAAATAAAAGAGGCCTAGATTAGCTTTAGTACTTTAATTAGTATATAAAGCTATATATAAGTAGTAGTTATTACTTTCTTATTATAGATAGGTATAAAAGTTACTATACTATTAACTTTAAGATATATTATAAGGAAAATAGTATTATTACCCTCTATATATTAGCCTATTTCTCTTATTTACTTTAGCCTTTAGACGTTAAGTATTTTAAGCCTCTAAAGAAGGTATATAGTTAATAAATTAAGAATAAGATATATTAAAGTAATACCTATATTATAAAAGAAGACTTCTTCTCTATATTTTATAACGCCTTTATATAAGCCTTTATAGTTAAAAATATCTAGGGAGGTTTTAGAGAGGCTAGATTTATCCCTCTAAGTATAGAAAGTATACTTTTAAAGCTAGATATAAAGCTATATATATTAATACCTCTAGGATTCCTCTTAATAATACACCCTACTTAGACTTTTTAGATATTAAATAACTTAATAGAAGTATCTTCTTAATTTAAACTTATTAAGAACTAAATCTCCTACTTTTAAAATAGCTTACTAACTTTAATTATTAAGGCTATTAAGTATTTATCAAAGGGGGTATATAGATTTATATACTAAATTACCTTATTAAGGTTTAAGAATAAAGTCCTTTAGGAAGAGAATAACCTACTTAGCTAACGCTAAAGGGCTAAAAAAGCCTAAATTAGATAAAGAGGGAGTCTTACTATAAGTAAGGCTAAAGACCTTTAATTATAGAGGGAGGCTATAGCCTAAATTAAAGAGGAAATATACTAAAGTAGTAGTTACTAGCTAAGGATAGAGATAGGCTAATAGTAATATAGCGTCTATAGAAATACTAATTATAATATATAAATATATTAATTTACTAAAGAAATATCTAAAAAAGAAGACCTTAACTAGTTTAAATTTAATTAATTTACCAAGTATAATATATTAGTTAGAAATATAGTATAGTTATAGTTAAGTAGCCTACTTACTTATCTAGCCTACTTGCTTATTAACTACGTTATACTAATAGAAATATTAATATATAAATACTTTTAAAGTAGCTAAATATCTTATTATTTAATTAGTAATATATATAAATAGATTAATAAGATATTTTCTATCTCTCCAATAGCGTATATTAAAGTTGTTGTGGTTAAAAAGCTCGTAGTAGAACCTTGGGCCTGGCTGACCGGTCCGCCTCACCGCGTGTACTGGTCCGGCCGGGCTCCCACCATAGTCTAACCGCATGC